AAAAAATTCCGCAATAAATAAATTAATAAAATTTCACTTATTGCGATATTCAATCCCGTTCCTTTCCTTATTCGCGCCCTCTGTGGTTTTTACTTCTTATAATTTGTGACTCTCTTCCTGCAAATAATTTCAGTTTAACATAATTTTTTAATTTCAAAAGAAAAATTGCGTACGATTAATTATTTTTTTTGAAAGGGTATACTCATAGATTAAACTGAAATTTACCTTTGGAATATTTTGTTTTACAATACAGTACTTATCCGGTAAAGTCAAGTCCTCGATTTTCTCAATCTGTAAAATTTGATATAAATAACTCGAATAATTCCCACTAGTAATAAAAAACGTTAAAAACGACGAAGAATGTTGCGAAAGAACGAGATGTGTGTATAAATATTATTACTTATTAAATTTACTAATGTTTGAAAACGTTTTGTGGGGTTAAAAACATAAAAGAAGGATTTTAAAAAGAAAAATAGGCCAATAATAAAATAAAATGTTCGGTGAAAACACGTAGTCCGTAAACATTCTACGACTAATTGCACAGATATACCGTACGCTGAATATTTTTATTTCATTATTGGCCTATTTCTCTTTTTTTTAATCTTTCCTTGCAGTTTTTAACCGCACGAAACTTATTGAAACATTATTAAATTTAATAAATAATAATTTTTATGCATAAAAAAATGTTCTTTCGCAACTTTCTTCGTCGTTTTTAACGTTTTTTATTACTAGTGGGAATTACTCGAGTTCTTCATATTAAATTTTACAGATTGAGCAAATCGAGGACTTTACCGGATAAGTACTGTATTGTAAAACAAAATATTCCAAAGGTAAATTTCAGTTTAATCTATGAGTATACCCTTTCAAAAAAAATAATTAATCGTACGCAATTTTTCTTTTGAAATTAAAAAATTATGTTAAACTGAAATTATTTGCAGGAAGAGAGTCACAAATTATAAGAAGTAAAAACCACAGAGGGCGCGAATAAGGAAAGGAACGGGATTGAATATCGCAATAAGTGAAATTTTATTAATTTATTTATTGCGGAATTTTTTTAAAAGTTTATACCGTCAAGCCTGTTTGAAAACTATATCATTTTCGATTTTTCGAAGCTTTTTATAACTCCTCATCAAATTTCAGGAAAGACGTTATATTCAAAAAATTGAACACCGTTATACTTTGGGAAGTTTTTTGAAGGCTTTTTTTTGTTAGAAGTACCAATTTGATACAAATTTTACGGTATAAATGACCTATCGAAATAATTCAACAATTAATTAATTGTTTAAAAAATAATTCAATAATTAATTAATTTTTTAAAATGTTTTAAATAAATATGTTGCCGAATAGAAAATGTGTTTAGTTGTTTTCATTAAACTAACGGACACTACAGGGTGGCTGAAAATTACCCGGACTATATGAAAACCAATGTATTTCAGCGAATAATTGTTCAAACACACTCAAATTTCATATTTAGTTTATTTTTACAATAACAAACATAAATAGATTATCGTTGTTCGATTCGATCTCCGCGGTTTCTGATGACGGCGCGAAGACTCTTCGGATATGCGTCGACCGTGGCGCGCAGGTATTCCACCGACAATTTGTCCCATTCCTCGACCAGCGCTTTCTTTAGAGAGTCCAAATTCGGGTAGGGCCTAGAACGGACCTTACTCTGTAAGACCCCCATACGGAGTAGTCCAACGGATTAAGATCAGGAGACAAGGTGGGCCATTCTGTTGACTTGATGAAGGAGGGGAAATTGTTGGCGCACCACTCCTGCGTAAACTTTGCAGTATGAGCTGGCGTCCCGTCCTGCTGGAACACCCATCGTTGTCCACCAAAGTGTTTTTGGGCCCAACGAAGCAAGTTCTTCTTCAGGATCTCATTGATATAGTAGTACTTGTCGATTTTGACTCCCTTTTCCACGAAAATCAGAGGACATTTGCCATTGGAGCAGATGGCACCGAAGACCATGACGCTGACGGGGTGCGACGTACGATGAATTGTCCGGCCGAGTTCTGAAGCTTCCTCGGACGTTCGGGCAAGCACTCGATTCCTTTAGCGAATTGAATTCGGTCTCCACGGTGAACAGCTTCCCGTCCGAAAAGACCGTCGACAGATGTTCCCCAACCCCGCGCGCGCCAAAAGGAGTTTTGCCTTTTGGTGCCGTTTGAGCTTGTTGGATTGAGAAAGGATGGCCGCTTTTCTGACACAATAAGGAGTCAACTTAAGCTTCTTTTTGACAATGGTTGTCATTGAAGCTCGTGACATATTCAGGGCGGAAGCCATCTTTTTGATGCTCTGATGAGCATTTCGTCTGATTCTGTCTCGTACGATCTTAACGTTCGAAGAACGTCGTCACCGTAGTTTTTCTTCCTCTGCCTGCACGGTCCTGGGTTGTGCCAAGATCCTTGAAACGAGAAATTGCATCGTAGACGGTGTTTTTCGGAATTCTCAGATGCTTCCAAATTGCATACGTGCCTATTCCGGACTTGTGCAATGCGATAATTGCGGGTCGGTTTGCATTTTGCTTCGCCATTTTGCTAAAACCGAACCAATTATCATGAAAATTTGAGAGATAGTAAAAAAAACATTGCTAATTAAAAAAATTTAAAAACATTGCGCTGAAAAAGCACCAGTGCGCCTCACGAAGGCTCGAAATTTTAGTCCGGGTAATTTTCAGCCACCCTGTACTAACAAAGTCAAATCATATATTCTAATTGACTTACTACGGATTTTCGTTTAACTTTACAGTGGCCTCCATGGATGGATCGCTACAACTCGCAAATTTCCTATTTCGCCATTTTGCCCAATTTTGTTCTAATTCAACATTTTCCATTAAGCAATTGTGATAATTTTATAATGGTTGTAGTATGCCTTCAAACTACAAAAATGACTATTGTGAATTCCTATTTCAAGGAAACATTTAAAAGTAGTAAAAAAAAACCCTTTTTAAAAAAGGTGTTAAAAATGGGAGCAAAAATCGTTTAAAAAAGGGGAGCAACAAAAAAAAATTGGGGCAAAAAATTATTAAACTGGAAGCAACAAAAGTGGGTGCCAAAAATCAGGGGGGTAGCAAGAAAAGGGGAGCAAAAAATTATTGGCCCAAAAAAAAGCATATCGAAAACATTATGGGACATCTGCCGCAGCATTGCAAAACAGTGCGCCGCTTTGCACAATGCGGCCACGCCTCACAATTTTCGAAATTCGTTTTCAACATTTTTGCTTTTTTTCGATGAGTTTTCAAGATTTTTTTTTGTGATCCTTTTCAAAAACAAGAAAAATGTTGTCTACCGTCTACTTCGAATGTCTCGTATGTCTTTCCGTAACTGCAGAAGTATTATCAATGACTATATTCAATTAAATGAAAGGCTTTATGAAGGTCCTATATTTTATTGCAAATATCTCTGTTACAGATATTCTCATCGAAGGTGCTTTAGGAAAGATGCCACAAAATAGTGCAAAGCGAAGGCTCTTCGCATGGCGCGAGAAGTTATTGATAATCTTAGGTAAGATTTTACACTATGACTATAAATTTCTTAATTTAATTTAGCGATCGGATGCGACAACAGCTCCAAAAGAAATTTGTTGTATGTCAGGAAGCGTTCACTGCACAATTAAAGAAGAAATCACTTCGCACGACCTCAAGAATGGCCGACAGAAGCTTTGTGAAGAGATAATGAAGAAATACGCCGACGTAACCCATGATTAGGAAGATGCACCAAATCGAAGGCCAGCTTGGAGTTGAAGCCGGATGCCGCTCTAATCTTCCGAAAGTCAAGACCAGTCCTGTATGCTGTTCTCCCACGCGTAACTGAAGAATTGGAAGGCCTCATCGCTCAAGGAGTACCCTCGAAGATCGACAATTCGAATTGGGCCGATACAATAGTCGTCGTCTAGAAGGACGTCGTTTCAGATGGACATCACAAAGTCAAGCTGCCTTCGATCGGATTAAGGGCGTCATCTCATCTGACCTCCTGCTCACGCGTTATGAACCCACACTGCCGCTCATAGTCGCCGCTGACGCATCAGCCAATGGAATTGGAACCGTTCTTACACAGCGCATGCATTATCGAACGGAAAAAGCTGGACGCTGACGGAAATACAGTCAAATCGAGAAAGAAGCACTTGGCCTCATCTTCGCAATCCAGAAATTCCACCGATTAATTCATGGACGGGCATTCACTCTGCTGTGCAAATTTTTGCTTGCACCTTTAAAAAAACTAGCGAAGAATTACGATATATCGCGTCAATAAGAAATTGAAAATTAGGAAAATGAAATAAATAATTTTTAAAAAATTTTTTTCATTGCATGAATAGGTCCATTTCTGAAAAAAGGAAGAATTCCTCACATTTACCCCTTTGAATCACATTCACCGGCGCTCGACAAAAAACAATGTTCATTGGGTGAGGAGCTATAACTTTGAAGGCATAGTTTTTTTTTAGCACCTTTCCGAAATTATATCTGCCATCTTCTTTGCCAAACGATCGTCAATTTTTTCGGCATCCTCCTTTGCCGACAATATTAAAGGCAATACTTCACTTGAATATGAAGTATCCTTTTCGAACTTAAATAATTGGTTTTATGTTTTGCTTGTTTGTTCATTTACCGTCTTAATGCAGTCATAAAGGGGCTCACAGATATTGATGATAGTTTCAAGTAATTCTAATTCCTTTTTCTTGAGCAGCTTTCTTTGAAGTGACTCGATACCGAGCATTGATCGGTGGTACAATAATTAAATTATTTTCATTCATACAAAAGCTTACGTGAATCTTGACACTGTTCAGCAGTAAATACATTGATGCCCATCGAGTTGGGGAGAGTGAAAGTGGGAGTGCGTGTCGAATTGATTTTTGCTGAGAAATTCTTTAAAAATCCGAATATACTATATGTTATGTTATGAAAAATTCGTACGATATCTATATCGAGCGTTCTTTTTTCCTTCTTGATAAGTGACTAGCAATAGACTGGCACTTCTTTATGAGCTTTTCCACTTTCCTCACTTTTGAAAATTTCTCAAAAATGAGATTCGCGCAGTGGCATCCGCAGTGGTGACTGAAAAGAAAGTAATGACTTCTTATTTGAGAAAAAAATTACTTCGAATAAAATGCGCATTTGCGAAAGAACGGAGAACGGCAGCGCCATCAGTTACAGAACCCACGCAATTATCAAGATTACATTTCAGACCTCGTAAATCGCAGTAACCATCAGTAATGATCACATATTTCTGCAAACAAATATTATTCTTGTCAATAAACTTGACAACCTCAACATCCTTTAATGCATGTGTGAGCTTTTGAATGTATTCGGCATGATTTTGCACAATAAGATTCTTCATAACTTTTTGTGATGGAAGGTGAAAATTTGAATTTAACTTTTTACAAAAAAGTCTGAATTCCTTATTTTCGGCGAATCGAAATGGAATCAGACCGGTGCAGAATGCTCTAAGAAACTCAATAAAAGTTAAAGGAATTCATATTTTTAAATTACTTGGCTAACAGCATTTCCGTTGACTGTGTGTTATCCTCTTGGGTAAGGGTTAGTCCCTTATCCCGTTGAGTCTTTCGCATTGTTTGTATGTATTGAGCTCCGTGCTTTGACTTTAGGTGTTTCACTAATCCGCTAGTTGTTCCTTTGTAAGTAATATCTTTGCCACATTCCAGGCATCTCACCGAGGCAGTGGATTGATTCATAGGGTTACGAAAAAATCTCCACGCAATTGATGAATTCATTTTGCCTAAAAATTATATTAATTAAAACAAATGATTAAAGAAAGAATTTAAACTAATGAAGATATTGCATACATATATGTAAATATTTTCGAAACTAAAATACTAGTTGTTTACTGTTTCGCTTTAATCGCGACGCATACGCGTCGCGTCGTTTCGGTTGTTAAGTTTCGTCGGCTAAACACGCCAACTTGAAATTTTGGTCTTGGTGAAACATATGGCTAAAACCTTATGGTACGAAAACCTTGGACATAACTTTAATCGCAAACAATCGTATGCAAAAAAAAAACGATTTATTTATGTATTAATCCCCTTTTTATACGTGCGAACATTTTCAAAATATGTTGACTATGCTAGTTTTCAAAACCCTACTAGTTATCAATTTAACTTGAAATCGGAATTCGCAATACTCATTTTGTATTTTAATCTGGCGAATGAATAAAACATATTTATTTGAAAAGCCAATTTTTACTAAACATATTAAAGAAAATAACATTTAAATAGATGGAGAATAGCTCCTACGTGCCGCTCTCTTTCTCGTCACTCTTAAACTGATGTTTTTAATTTTGTTCGAAATTACTGGTATACAGGCTTCTTTCTTCATAGCTGTCGATTCCAACACCCATTAGAATTTCTTCTGCATCGTGTGCTGTTGAATGTGCAATTGGACGCAGATCGGCCGAATAGCCAGAAAATAATTCCGATACTTCTAGCGAAACAACTTCTCCTCTCAACGTACTAATCTTTAATAAAAAATTTGCTGATATTTAATTGGAAAAATTAATTCTTACGTATCGATTTGAAAGCTTCTGACATGATTACTTTTTGAGTGTTCCGCGTTTTTCCGAGGTGTTTTCTTTCTTCCGCATCCTTTTGGAATAGACTTTCTCACAACTTGATTTTGCGTTATGGATTTTGCCCTCGTTTCAAGAATTTCGATCGCTTTCTGTTGCTTCTTCTCGTCAAAGTTCCGCAGAACGAGGAATCCGTAAAGCCCAACATAAGAAACACTTAATTATTTTCAACTTACAAATGGATGCAAATCTTTGGATAAAACTTCTTGTAAGCATTGTACCCACAATTCAATTCATTTTGATCAAAAGTGACTTTTACTATTCTGAATAATAATACATTTATTTATATAGAAATTGCTTTTTGTAAAGCAGCATGTTAACGGCTACAAAAGCCGTGGAAATTGATTCTTAACGAGTTTTCAGAAATGTACAGGGCACATTAGTTTTTCTTTGTCGCTTAGAAAGACAAAAAGAAAGACTCAGTTTCAACATAATAATGATATCGTTTTTCCGATGCTGTCAATGCCTTTGAAGCAAATGCTACCGGGTAAATTTCTCCTTTTTCATCTTCTTGTGCTAACACTGCTCCTACTCCCTTCTCTGACGCGTCCGTAAAAATCATAAATGGTCTCATAAAATTTCGCACCGCTTCAATGTCAGGTTGTTTTAACACCGGAGATTTCACCAAGCACTCCTTTAATGTCAGGAAAGCCTCCTCCTGCTCTCTTTGCCATCTCCAGTTTGTCTTTGCCGACGTAAATGGATGCAATGGAGCGGTTATCTTACTATATCCGAATATAAACCTACGATAGTAACCTGCTAACCCCAAGAAAGATTGAACTTCCTGTCGACTAGTTGGCCTCGGATAATTCTGGATCGCTTTTGTTTTCTCATCGTCCACCGTCACTCCTCGTCTATCAATTCGATGCCCCAGGTATTTAACCTCCTTCTGTCCAATCGCACATTTTTTTTTGCTTTCACCCTCATTCCGCATTCTTTTACCCCCTGTAACACCCATCCCAGATGCTTCTCATGTTCTTATTCTGACTCACTCGCTACCAGTACGTCATCAATATACACGAACACCGATTCTCCTAATCTATCCTTTAAAATTTCTTCCATAAGTCGTTGGAACAACGCTGGACTCGTACATAATCCAAACGGCAACACGTTGAACTCGTACAACCTATCCAACACAGTAAACGCCGTAATTTTCTTACTGTTTTCCTCCAAAGGTATTTGCCAATATCCGGCAATGAAATCCAATGTCGAAAAAACTGTTTTCTTAGACAACGACTGTACTGTCCTCTCTATGTTTGGCAATGGAAACGCATCGTTTTTGATCACATTATTAACTTTCCTAAAATCGACACACATCCTTATAGTCCCGTCTTTCTTTTTAACTAGCACGATAGGCGATACCCAAGGTGATGTGCTTTCCCGTATCACGTTCTTACGCAACATTTCCTCTAGTAACTCTTCAGCTCCGGTACTAATACTAACGGTACTTGTCTTGTCTGTTGTCTGTTCGGTTTCTCCTTTTCCAACATACGCTCTCTCTATTCTCCAACAACTTTTTAATCCTGACATCCGTGACTTTACCATTCTTCTCGATCTGTTCCATCAACCTTTCATACCTGCTGTTATCTTGCACTGTTCTATTCTTCCACCCAATGGCTGCAATCGTTTCCTCTCGCTGTACCTGTCGGTCACACCATTCCTTCCATCCTTCTTCCTCCGGCGTCGTCCTCATTTCCGTTGTTCTTGACCATTCTTGCTGAAACATATCCGGATATTCATGTACTTCCGCGAAATTCTCACCTCTTCGCTTCTTCATCTCATGCATTTCGTTCTTCAACATCAGAATTTCGCCCTCCAGTTTGTGTGCCTTTTTCTCCCATTGCCTCTTTTCCTTATCGGCTTCGATGTATTGCTTACTCAACTTTTCCACGTCCTCATTAAGTCTTCTTATCTGCAAAATTAACTGTTTTTTCTCTTTCCGAACTTCTTGATTGAAACCAATCATCTCCTCTACCGCTGACACATGTTCTACCCCCAATAGTTTCAAATAATCGACAAGCTCGTCCTCCTCTTCTCGGTCCGATTGCTGTTTCTGCTCTTCACACAACTCCTCTGCTTTTCCATCTATTATCTCCCACCACCTTTTAATTTTTTCCCAATCACCTTCACATATGTACATCCATTACTCTTTCCTTTTGTCTCTCCGTCAGCCGAATACTCCCCTCATCCAAAATCTCCCTCATTCTAATTTTACATTTACTATGTTCTTCTATTTTCCTTCCTAACGTCTTAAAATCTTTTGTAAATTCCTTGAATTTACTTGCCTCTCTTTGCGCCTCGTCATCCTCCATTGGAATCGCCTCTTCACTTTCTCGCTTCTCCATGTCCATTTTCGCTTGAATCTGAAATCACAGACTTGTCCGTTTTCTTCGTGAACAATTTTTCAAAATCAGTGAACCGATTTTGAATAACAATCAACAAGTTGACTGTCTTCCCCGAACTGTCTTCTTTATACAAGAGCAACTTCAATTGCTCCGTATAAATCAAACTGCTCGTTTGTTTTTAACTACAAGAGTAAATTCAATTACTCCGTAGTATTAGCCGTTTCTTTTTAAATTTTAATCACCAAGAACAAATTCAATTGTTCCGATAATAAATTTTTTAAACCTTTTTTTTAACCAAGCATAAGTTACAAAAGTACATAAAAATAAAAGGTTCACCTATCAGGTGTAAGACAATCGGTACGAAAAGAATTAAGGACAGGCGAGGTTGCGAGTGCACTTTGGTCTAGAAATCAAACTTCCCTTATTGGCGCGGTTTACTGGGAGGGATTGGGTCGTCGCGCGCGCGCGGTCAGGCAATTTTGATCACCACGGTGTGCAATAAAACGTTAGGGTTTTTCAACCCTTAACAGTAATACATTTTTGCAATGTGGGAATCATTCACCACTAAATTTACGTATTGAGCTAAAAAATATTTTTACGATTTACCAATTCGTTCCTTTCTTGCGAAATCCGTCTGTACTTATTGACAACAGTAAGGTGACAGAATTGTGATTGTTCAAGCACTTTTATGCTCTTCGTGGCCTCATTATATATCGTGGAGTACTGCCAATTTCATCAAACAAACGCGTTTTTCGTGTGCAGCGATTCTAAATATGTATATAATATATTTATATCATTATTGAATTTTTTCTCGTTTCACGAGCTGAGATGAAAAAATCGAAAATGAGTGGTTATGGAACGTACATATTGTATTTAAAAAAAAATCGTCATTTTTCCACAATAAAAAATAAGGAATGTGAAAAGCTGCAGCGATATCCTATGCATTGTGTGCGTACACCAACGAACAACTCAATCTGGGCTACAGTAATCTCAACTGAAACTTATTCAATTAATTTTTTATCGTTTTTTTTTCCTGTGTTTTCTTGGCGAATTTATGGCTTTATGTAAATTTTTGAGTTAAAAAGTGCAATAGTAATTATAATTGTATATAATTCAAAATTAATGGTTGTCTTGTCTTCGTTTTCTAAACATTTAATATGCAATAATCAATTTTCAATCTCTTAATAAGTTCATGCAACGTCATAAAAAGCAGAAATTTGTGAATGTTTCAAACAATTATACCTTTTATATATGTATATGGTTATATATTAAAATTATTTATTTTATTCTTCTGGAAAAAAAGGTTGCTCCCATTTACATCAACTGGCACCAGGATAACGACAAATATCAATTAATTAAATGCGAAAATGTGCAAAAACCTGATTTGAAGAAAATGGTACTTGTTAGTTTATGTATTTTTTTAAATAATGCCTTTAGATAATTCGAAAGCTTAACGATAGGTATTTAATCCAATACATCAAAATATCAGAAACACAATGGCGCACGGTGAACAACACAAGAGAATTTTGTTAAATCAAGGTTTTAATTTAAAGAATAAGCATATAACCATGTCACATATTTCAAATAGAACTTTTTTTTACTTTAGATACGAGATCAAATATGGCATGTCAATCGGAAAATGAGGACCGAAACCAGTCGCAACTCCTTATCAATTATCGCTCCCACACAATTTCAGACTGCAAATTTTCCGTTAAAACTTTTTTTCAGAATTTAATGCAATTTTAAAAGAATAAATCGCAAAAATTTGTTGTATATTTCGAATTTTATTCCACTTTCAACAATATTCCAAGATTTATGTGTCTTTCAGGCTGCGACATTAATTCCGTGTCATTCCATCAATATCCGTTCTTCGATTCACTGTTTTTTTTTGTAATTTTTGGAAAATTTGGCTCATTTAATTGTTTCCTTCCCTTTCTAATTTAATATTGTTTTTCTATATTCCTTAAACGTGGTAAATTGTACTAAAAATTTAAGCCTATTTGGCTGCCACTATTACTTTTAGGTAGTTGATTTGCGAGGCTTGCAAATAAGCTTGATACAAAAAATGCGCAATTGGACACTTGAAATATTTCCAATTGTGAGAATAGATTCACGTCTACGAAATTTTTTTAGAATAGTTTATTACTTGTTAAGATTTTCAGCTTTTCATAAGAATACTCATAGTTTCTAAAAAATAACCAAATTGGGCAAAAATTACTATTAAAAACTGCAAATTTTGACTTGAAAATCTGCAAATATACTATAAATGGTCATCACTAATTTGTTACAGCTTTTCAAAGAAAATATTAGTAAAATAAATTACGAGTAATTTTTCACGACCAATTAATTACGAGTAGAGTATACATAATCACGACTATATGAAAGTTGGTCAGAGACATTCGAGAGCAGAACAGAAAATTTAGTAAAAAAGACTGTATTGTCGAAGACGGATGAATTTGACAACTTTGAATTATCAAACGCGGTCGCCATTTTTGATCAAATCAACATATTTTCGCACGCACCTTTGATATCTACTGTAATTTTCAATGCATTTCTAATAAGATCAAATCGAAAATGATTAGCATGGCGCGAACTTGCTTACTTACTCACTCCTCGGTAGTATAGCGGTGAGTATCCGCGAGAATTACAGGACAATCACGGTACTCCCTGTTCTATACCTACTTACTTAGTCACTTAGTAGGTTTGTCCTTCGCCTGTTGAGGCACGAACCACAGTTTCCAAGCTTTTCGGTCCTTTGCTTGGGTGGACCACTGGGTGATAACGGCTCCTTCAGCTAAGTAAGTAAGTTAGCATGGCGCCAAAGTTTGAACAATAAGAAACGTCCTCCTCATTTTCTGAAAATTTCTAAATTTACAAATTCAGACCTCTTAGAACCCTTTTGAAGAAATTTGTAGTAAAAAATTAGCCAAAAAAAGAAGCAAAAATGAGAGGTTAAAAAATACGGGCTAGAAAAATGGGTGCAAAAAATACAGTCAACGACAAATATGAATGTTCATTAATTTGGCGAATATGAAGACCTTGGCTCCATTTCGTCGTTTGACGCGGGCAAGAAAAGCTTGAACCATAACGCTCTCTTGGTGTTGCAACAGGAAAAAATGAGCCATTTTTTTTGGAGAAACGCACTATAATTAAATTTTGAAAATCGAAAGGAATTTGTCGATTTTTGGTCCCGTTTTCTTTCGAACACTTTGCATTTCTCTGTTTAATAATCGAGCATATCAAACAAGGGCAGTACTGACGAAAAACGGGAATGTCGCATAAATGTCGAATGGGTCCCAAGTCCCATAAATACGGTAGTCATTGCTCCTTTTGTGCGCATGTCAATATGCGAATTGGTCTCATGGGGTGAGCAAACGAGTTGGTCGGACAAGCGTCGAAAAAAAAACGCGAACGCATTCATTTCAAGACTGTTTTATTCGAAAAAATATCATATACAAATTATTATAATTTTTTCTTCTTTTTGACGACTAGATTCCACAAAAAAGAACAACTAGGAGCTCGATGGAGGGGATATATATGGCATGATGATGATAAATTGAGAATGACTAGGAGAACATGGCGGGAGCTGGAGGAGGTATCGACATGTTGAGGAGATCGGTGATGATTGATTCGATCGGAGTCGTCCCAACTAGGCGGGCGAAAAAGATCCTCGAGATCGGCAGTGTTCGGCTTGTTCGAAGCACCCCAAGACACTCTTCCAATTGCGAAAATCGCTGCAATTTTTGAGAGGTATGTGTGCACGCGCTTCTTCTGCGCAGAAAAAAATACCATCGGCGGTTTGTTGGCCTTACAGTACTCCTCAAGAGCGTTTTTGAGTTTGCACGAGACCTCATCGATTTTCGATTTCTCGCAAAATTCGTGATTCTCAATATCTGCAAAATCGCAATTAATAATTCAATAAACGCGTTAGCGGGCGCCAAGTTGGCAGTTTATTATCGACCGACTCCATCGGAAGCGTTTGTTCGCCGCTTTTCGGAACATCGCCAAAAAAAAGTGAGAAGCGGGCGTTTTGGACTCTCGCAAATAGTGATGGTTATGAGGAGACGCAGACATCCCCGATGATGGCTAATGGCGATAAGGAGCCGACGCCCCGCTCATCCTCTCACCCTCACCCCTTCCCCCTCCCCTCTCGCCTCGCCTCCGGTGTAATCCTTTGCGTGCCCCCTCCCGGGTTACGGTAGGTCGAACGCCTCCCGTCACGAATGCACATATGCTTTTGCTTACCGCTGTTGAAGAGCAATAATGCGCGCAATGAAGAGATCTCAATAATGTCGAGCGAGAATTCGCGAATCTTCTCGATTTTGTCCTGCAGGAAAGAAAAGGATAATTTACAGAGGGAAAATGGGGATTAATTTTTTACGCATTTTTTTCTTAAAGCACCAAAAAAGCAAATTTTCTGAACCTATTCATGAAATGTAATTTTTTAATAGAAAATCTTTTAAAAAATAAATTAAAACTTAATTTCTCACAGCCGTGCATAGGAAAAATGTGTCATCTTTTTTTTACATTATATAATTTTCATAAATTGGTTTATTTCGGTTGGGCGATCAAAACGTTACACAGAAAAATATAAATTTTGGCTATAGAGCGCATTTGCTCACAAATTGTTTCTATTTGACAACAAGCAAGCGAGGTTTGTGTTACTACTTAGGTTTTGTGGAAAATGAAATATGGCCTATTCTTAAAGGATCATGATGATTTATGAGAATGCGAATACCTGAAGAGCTCTGACATGCTCATCTCCATTGCCTTCCTCGTCATCAGAAGTTCCTGCTAAACACGCGAGCACATTGAAATTGGAGTGCGCCAATGCGAACACGAATATCGATGTCCAGCAATTTTGAAGAAGCGCTACGTGATCGCCGCGATGAACACTCGACGCCATGCTCGTCTTCGCCCAATGCACAGTGGAGAAGATTGTTTGAGCAGCGAACTCGAATATCGATTCTATAAAAAAAAACAAGTCAACTATTGAAATCGAGAATTTCTGGAGAAGAATTGGTACCGAATGATTTTTGGAATTGGTTGAAAATTGGCGGTGGCGGTGGTGGCGGTGGCGGCATAAAATTGAGAGGGCGAAGGAATGGCGATGGTGGCGGAAAGAATGAGGGAAGCGAGACAGGAAGACGGCCGCGTTGAACTGCTGAAAGAGGTCGTAATCAATTGGCTCTGATGGGTTTTTGAAAAATATGGGGTTTCGGATGAAAAAAGCCCCCCAACAAAAATTTGTTCGCCGATCGGAATGGGCGCGTTTCTATTCAGCAATTCGCAGATCACAAACCGCGATGAATTTCGATGCAAATAGGGTAACAACATGGGCGATCAGCCGTTTTCATTCCAGGCCTTCTGAACACTATCAGTACGACACTCCATTCAAACATCGCCCCCAGTTTAGCGTGTCGGCCTAACCCTTGGACGACTTTTGATTCATTGAAGATATTCCCCCCTGATTGTCCCAAAACACCAAAATCAAAAAGAGTGCACTGTTCACCCCAATCGAATCGCCGAGTAGTTTATTTCAACTCTCAAGAATTTCAACAAATTTCAACACCTGAACTCGAACCATCTGCGGACATTGTTACGGGTTTCCTTTTTGTTTTCAACCATTATTTGATGTCGTCAACACCTACCTTCTTTCCGCATTCCCATCCGAATGCACTTTTTCAGTCGGCAATATTGACACTGATTCCGATGCTGCACGTCGATGGCACAATTTTTCGTTGCTCGACACGTATATGACAGCGATCGGCGAATTGATCTGAAAATTTAAAAAAAAAACATGCGTGACCGGATTTTGGTGATTTTCAAAAATTGAGTTGATCAATTACACATAACCATAACAGGAATAATGAACAGTAAGTTAATTATTTTATTCAGCTAGGCTTGAGTCACTCTTGAGCCGAAGCCTTGAGCCGAAGCCTTGAGCTGAAGCCTTGAGCCGAAGCCTTGAGCTAAAGTCTTGAGCCAAAGCCTTTAGCCAAAGCCTTACGAGAGCTTATATGTCTTGAAATGTAAACTACTAATTTAAAGGGACATTTGCAGAATTCCTTCTTGTTTGCATTCTGATTGCTACTATCATCTCAGTTTGCTATTCAGCACCAGTTCAACGCAATTATCAAAATCAACGTTTTTTCGTCGATCAATATTCGTTTCGCTAATCGATTTTGTTACAGATGAGCATGAGCAAATGTTGAAGAGTCTGTTGAAGCGTCGCCCGCGCGAGGATCACGGACGGTTCGGCATCGGCTCGGGGACCGGACTCGGCAACGGACCAATCGGCCGCCGACCAAAACATAGGCCAATCAAAAACTCGAAACCAACCGCTTAAATCCGAATTCGTTTTCTACATATTTATGAAATGAAGTTTTGTTTTGGTTCGAGTCCGCCCGAGTTGATTTGAATAAATGAATAGTGTTTTGACGAAAACTTTTAGATTTATAAGAGCTGTGAAATTAATGGAGAATACTGGTGAAAGTAGCACCGTCGATGGGCCAACATTTTCGAACACGAATAGAACGTAAGCGAATGATGTCCAAAATTACATTCACATTTTACAATTGAAAATTTTGAATCGTGGCTGGGTGGGAGATCGGATTTAGAGCAAAATTTAAAAATTTCACCCCAGAAAATAAATTAGTCAATTCTCAACTATTTCAATAATCAAAAAGCGTAATTCGCGGGAATATTGAGAAAAGACATTAATGGTATTAGGTGCATCTTTAAATCAGGTCTCACCACGATGAGTCAAATTGCTTAAACACATTTTTAACATTTTCTATTGTATAAAAGTTGTTTTTTTTTCATTAATTAGAAAAAACTTGTTGATGGGCCAATGCAGAGAAAATTAAAAATTAAAAAATCTGGAAAAAATGTTTTTTTCATTTTTCTGCATTAAAATTTTCTCAATTATTTATTTCTTATTTTTTCTGCATTACCCTATCCCCCTACAATTGATCATAAAGGGACGAATGGGTTTCAGAAAGGGCTTCGGAATTCTACTATCGTTGGTCACCGCAATCATAGTACTCCTAAGCGTTCTCGACCTCGTCCTATTCTGCATGCTGTCGACAAAACTCAAACACCACCAGCAGTCAATCTCATCTCAATAAACCTTTTGAAGAAGCTTTTGCATCCCTCGCAACTGAATTGTCCGTAGTGTTTTCCGCTGGATTTGTCGCCGCACACGACGCATTCGGTGCCGTCGTTGGCCGCATCAGAGCTCGTCGGCGAGCCGTCGGTGAGCTGAAAAAAATTCCAATAATAATCCCTCCCTCACCGAAGAAGAACGAAATGCAAAAAAAAAAATGTATATGGGCGAAATGGCGGTCGGAGGCGAATAAATCAAAATTGCGGTTGGGAACCCGAAACGGTTTTTAATGAAAGGCTTTTCAATGCGCGCGTTCATCGTTTTTAATTGTCGCGTTGAGACCAGAAGGCGCGGCGACGGACCCCCCGCCGAGTACACACACACACGGCGATCATCATTTTACGATGATCCCGTTTATATGATGTGAACGATGACATCAATGGATGTATGTGTGTGTGTGTGTGTGTATGGAGATGAGGAATGGGGATTTCGATTCAATGAATTAATGTGGCTCGTAAAAAAAACTATCAAAGTTCAACATTTGACCGAATTGTCCGCAGATGAAATTTCTATTCAACCGTTTTGTTTAATTGCAATTTCAATTGGCTGCTCGATTAGATTAAAAAATGTCATACCTTGAATTTCTGCTCGAAAATGGCGTTCGTGGTTGCCCTTAGAAGCGGCCAATTGTCGACGACACCGTTCGGACCAGTGGCGTTTCGCCACGGGAAACCGGTTGCCGCGGCGGCGGCGAGCCACGGAAAACCGGAAACCGAAACCGAAACGGGTAGCATATAAATCAGGCGAAACAAGACGGGTCGTGGTGTTGTTGCGAATTTATCTCGGACGACGTGCCTTCGGTGGGAATAAGACGAATGGTGCCCGATGGGGAGGGGGGGGCGAGAAGCTCGAGAATGAGCTTTAGGGGGGCGGCGGACGAGCGGGCGGCGCAGTTGGTGCAGCTCACAGCCAATCACATCGCTCGACGGCATACGGTAGGCAGAAGCTCGGCCAGATGTGGCATGACGGCGGAGAAGCAGCGGGCAAACGTAGATGCTCTCGAGATAACCGCCCGAAAGCAGCCCGAACAGAAATTCATTTATCATCGGCTCTATCGAACGGGCGAGGCGCCAAATGGGTGCTAAATACGAAAAGGCCGATTATCTCGCGACGCCATTGTTTTTTTTTTCCTCTCGCTCCTTCCTCTTGCGTTCCTCTTCGGTTTATTGGTTTCAAGTTCGCCGCCGCCTCTTTTCATCGTTTCGGTTTGCTCGGTTCCTCGTGATTTTGACGGCGAGATAATCGAGAACGAAACGCGTGCAAACTAATTATCTTTTTGTTCGTCATTAATTATTTATTTTAAAATTGAGCCAAAAATTGAATTATGGCTGTTTAGAAGCGATTTTTCAGAATGTACCTTCAAATTTGTGACAAATTTCCAGTTCAATTTCTATTCGTTTATTAATAAATTATTTTATTAATTGTTTTTCAATTCAAAAAGCTTAGTCTGAGAATTGAATATCACAAACCTATTTCAACGAAGAAAAAATGAACATTTCAGAAAATCGCCGTTCAGAAACTCATAATTATTCTAATGTGTCTCTAAAATATCAAAAAAAACTGAAATTGAATAATTAATTGTGCAAGTGTGCTCTAATGAACACCCAAAAGTAATTTCGCAAATTTCAAAATTCTCCATTTAAGGCTTATAAATATGGTCTAAAAAGCAGTTTTTATGAAATTCTATCGAATTTTCTTTTTTTTTTCCCAAAACTTACTATTTTTTGAATGCTTCCTACCAAAAAATATAAACAATTATCACATTCTCCAAAATTGTCGGCAGCACAACTTTATTATAAGATATTTGTTTTGTTTTTTCATGTTCACGAAAATATTATGCATGCCAATTTCCATTAATCGAGAATCTAATGATCAAACGACAATTTCAGATTTAAAAAAAGGCGAATCACTTTCATTCATTGCGAAATTGCCAAAATAGTATTCGGAATATTTTTAAGAGAGGTCGTTCGCTGATCGGATTGCTACGGTAATTTGTGTTGGTTATTCCGGATGGCGTCAGGAGCTCACGAATTCGATTATGATGAGGCTCTTCTTTTGGCGCACCCAATTTTCGCGCCTTTGTGCACCGTATTCCGAAATCGAATTTGTGCGCCACAAGTGGCGCGCCGGCGGCCACACAACGACCACTTGTGGGAAATTTCGAAGAAGAAGATCTTGGTGTCGCTAATTGCATTTTTCATGCTTTACATTCGATTTTTTTCCTTTCTGTGTACAATAGTGTAATTTCGATGAGGGGGGAAGGATCGACGATTCTTGGCTGTATGAACAAGTTTCAGATGATCGAGAACGAATGTTTCGGAATTGCATCAAAATATTGATCTGCGAGATTCCTGATATCAAATTCCTTCCAAGCAATTTTTTTCGAAGCTAATTTAATGCAAACAATGCTGGTCAATTTTTGTAAAAAATAAAAATGTCGAAATTTTTCAAATCGATATTCATAATTGGCCCCAAATGCACTATTTTTGAGGTAAAATCTTAGCATTTTCCATTCAGGAGGCATTCTCGCAAATTGACAACATTCGACACGGGAGCATCATTCACAATATTCACAATATTTGATTTGCCGCAATTGGAAAACATTCGTGTCAGGACACCAAACTACGGGGGCGCCAACAACCAACAATCGCGCGGTGTTTTCCTATTATAGAATGAGTTGTTAAATCTCGGCTCGCGGAGCCAAAAGCGAGTAGAGGGATAGACGAAAAAGTAAACAAAATGCAAGGCGCGATGTTTGAAATTTAGTGGTTTCGAAGAAGTGTGCTAAACAGAACCGACAAAAAAAAACGATTTGAATTTGGGTCTCGTATCGAAATGCTTTTTTACTTCCTTCAGGGGAATAAATGTTTTATTATTTCCTGAAGAATCAATCATTGTCTTTTAAACCAACTTTTTTTTCCTGAGAATTGTCCGCAGAAGGAATTGACCATTTTCTAATCAACTGTTCAAATGTTTGCTCTCGGTGTGTAATAATGTTGGGTATTCGATCGGAAGGACGAACAACGAACTTTTTGATTTTTAAAGAATGCAAGTGTTGACGGCTTCAAGAAATGATAGAAAAAAAGAAACCCGCAACAATATCCGCAGATGGTTAGAGCTTAGATGTTGAAATGTTTTTTGAAATTCTTGCTTCGGGACAATCAGTGAAATTCTTTAATGAATCAAAAGTCGGCCACTGGTTAGGCCGACACGCTAAATTGGTGGCGATGTGTGAACGGAGTGTCGTACTAATAGTGTTCAAAAGGATTGGAATGAAAAGCGGCAGTTTTTGGGAACTCTTGTGAAATGATAAAAAGTCAACCTTTCGAATGATACTATGAAATTTATAGTAGGCTTTTCAATAATATGTGCGGACTTATGAATTTAAAAGTCACTGTATTGTCGAGAAGAGAAGAAGCCATGCAAGTTGAGCTTCGTGGTCTCAGAATTTATTTCGATCTGATTTATCAATTCGATCCCAACAATGGCAAGTGTCTAGCGATTTTTGCTTTCACACATCTCAAAAAATACATGAAATTCTTAAATAAACATTTGTAGTCTTGATTCCGACGCAGATTCTGAGATTCAAGAGTTTCTGAAGTGTGAATCGCGTGAATAGTGCTGCCAGAAGAAAAAGAAAACAAGAATTCTTGTGATGATCGTCTCTCAACAAGTTTTCCCTTTTCAACATTTTGCTTCATTTTTTTTCCTTTTACTTTGCACCCCCTCACTCATTGACCTTCAGAATGTCGGAGTAAAGTGCATCGATGGAAAAAAATCTGAGCCGGCGCGGTAAAAAGGAAGGGGGGGGGTCAACCACTCAACCGAGCGAAACTTATCAATTCCAGGGCGTGCGCGCGTGCTCTCAACAAACACGGAGCGATCGGATCGGATGCGGCGGCGGCGGCGGCCGACTGACTGATGATCGAATCGAGCCGACGACGAGTGGTGGTGCGCGGCGAGAGGACAAACAAAACTTCGTGTCCGCACCGGTCAAACGAAGTAGTTGATGGGGTGAGAGCGCGCGAGCGTAATCGACCGACCGACCGACCGACCGCCGGTCCGATCGACACTTAAACTCCGCCCATTTCCCGTTTTTGGCGAGGGCGACGCGGCGCGGCGTCGCACGCATCTCGCAGCAGCAAAAATGAGGAAAGAGAAAAAGCGAGGAGAGAGAGAGGCGGGACCCGCCTACCGTCCGTCACTCCTCGCCTTCATCGCCGCGCCCCCGCCGCCGGGATCCCACCTCTTGTCAGATTTTTTGACGGGCTGGACCATCCCAATCCGCCGATGTCGTCTTTCATTTCATTATCAATTATCCATTTATTATTAATTCAAATAGGTTTTTATCGAATTGAAGCTTCTTCGACGAATAGTACCAAGTGAGTTCGTTTCTTTGCCGTCGAGACCAAAAAACTTGTTCTGATCTTACACACAGATTTTGAGGTGCTTGCGAATTGTGTTTTTTTTTTTTGGTTTGATTGAAATGACTTGATCTTTATCGCTAAAGATCTCGCCATTCTTGAAACATGGCTAAATGATTCGCAATAGATCTAATCAAAGTTGTTGATAGCCTCTTATTAGGATATTGCTGCGGACATTTCGCGGGTTCGTTCCTGCTTTAATTTTTTCTACTAAAATTCCGATTTTTGAAAATTTATGTCCTTTTCAATTTTTCATTTATTTAATCATCTGCTATAAAGTACAAAAATTTACTTTTTTCCAAAAAAAAATGCAAAATATTTGTTGGAAATTGTCCGCAGATGGATTTCATGATAATTCTATTCCAGAAAGTACACAGTATGGAGGCTTCAGCCGACGACTCAAGATCAGGTCGATCTACTTCAGAATCTTTATTTGAATGATGTCAAGGTTTGGTGATTGAGCTTTTTCCTAAATCTACAAGTCACGGGTCTCACCGCGCACGTTGTAACATTTCTTCGCAACAGACCTGTTCCTTTAAATGGGAGACAACAGTGTAATAAGATCATGAATGTTTCAGCTCGACTTTTGGAAATCGCCGTCGGACGCCGGCAAAGAAGTGCACGTGATGTTGGGCAGCGACAAATCGCCGGACTTCCTTCATCAGCTCGATGAGCACTCGATTCCATATTCGGTGATGATCGACGACGTTCAAAAGTAAGGCCGGCGGATTGGATCGGATCAGATTCGGGTGAAAGCGAACATCCGTCCGATTCGCTTCATTACACTATTCGCTTTCAAGGTTGCCGATGTAAATCACAGTAGAGACACAAACACAAACACAAGCAGCCAAATATGGCAACATAATGAACCGATCATTACCAATTTTTCTGTTCAGGGTGATCATTGAGCAAAAGGAAAAAAGGGACAAATTGCGCAAGCAGGTTCGATTGCATGATTGGCGCGAGAATAAGGTTCGATTTGATTATTACTAATATTAGTAGTATTGAATTGTGACGTGAACCTGTTCCAAATGAAACAAACAATCGCTATTCATCATTTTATTAGACTAGTATTTGCATTACAATCGAAATGCATAATACACATAGTATAGCTAATAACATGGGGAGAACTTGAGAAATATAATTTTAAACGGACAAAAAATCGTGAAATCTACATGTCTTTTCAATGCAAAATTTTTTGAATATCCGCTGAAACATATGGAGTGCCATAGAGCGCACTTGTCACAATTCCTCGTACATTTACCCAACCTATTTTTTGTGCGAAAAAAATATTTTTTTCAATTTTTGTTCACATATTCCAATTTTTGAGCGAATATTCTGTAAACATTATCGTTTTTTTAATTAGGTATACATCATTAGACATAATTGAACTTTAAGTTTCTAGGATCTTCGGTTTTGTAGAAATCGTTCGTTGAAATGTCTGTCGCGTTTCGACGAAAAGAAAAATCATTTAAATTTTCCGATTTTTTAATCTATCGAAAAGAAGAATGATGTGTAGTGTGGTCAGGGCGGTCTTCTTAATTGAAAATCGTTACAGATTCAATTCAATCTTGCGCAGTACCACTCGTTCGCCGACGTCATCAACTACCTCAACTCTCTGGCGATCACTTATCCCGAACTGGTTTCAGTTCAACCGATTGGTACAACTCATGAAGGACGACAAATACCACTCATTAAGGTATTTATATTGAGTACGAGAATCAACGCGAACGCGACAATGTTGCAGATAACCAATAAACGAAATGGGGGTGTTAAAAAGGGAATCTGGATTGATGGTGGCATTCATGCGAGAGAATGGGTTTCGCCCTCAACTGTCATTTATTTCATTCATCAGGTTCTTTTTTTTAACACATTTGTATCGTTAAAAACCATTCACAAAATCGATTCGAGAAAAAAATAAAATAAATAATCCAAAAATAATTATAATTTAGTCGATAGATATTAGGCAACTCTATCATGCTTTTGTATTATTCTAGATCTTCCTATTAATGCAATCAAGAATATTTCAGCTGGTGACCCAATACGACAAAGATCCACTGATCCGCCAATTCGTTGACAACATTGAATGGTACATCGTACCTCTCCTGAATCCCGATGGCTACGAATACAGTCGAAGCAGCAATGATCCAGAAATTCGTTTGTGGCGAAAAAATCGATCACCGCCAAAGTGCATTCAACAGGCAACCGGATTGTTCCAGCCACCAACGACTACCTGTTGTCAGGGTGTTGATTTGAACAGAAATTTTGATTGGTTCTTCGGACAAGTCGGATCATCCACGGATCCATGTTCGGAAATCTACCAAGTAGGATTAATATGTGGAGTATCATGTATTGAAAAATTATTTATAGGGCGCTTATGCTTTCTCTGAGCCGGAAACTGCAGCAGTGAGGGATTTTGTGCAGCGACATCGAATTTCCTCATTCTTGACTTTCCATTCATACTCGCAAATCCTTATGTATCCATTCGGACATCAAGTTCGGACATATTCCAATGATTTGAATGATTTGCGATCAACCGCTTTGGCGGCAGCTCAGGCGCTTAACAACATGTACAACACACAGTATAAAGTTGGAACTGGAGCAGATACTCTTTGTAAGCTTCATATCTTAAGACTCATGTGAATCATTGATTATTGTAGATCCCGCATCGGGAGGCTCCGAAGATTGGGCGAAAGGAAAAGCTCACGTCAAATACTCGTTCCTGTTCGAGTTGAGACCCGAAGAGCAAGTTTGGGACGGATTTTTGCTCGCTGAGAATCAGATCATCCCAACAGCTCGCGAAACCTGGGAAGCGGTCAAAGTGATTGCGCAACGCACTTTGGAATTGCCTGCTGCCGCTCACAGATCGCCAGCAAAACGGTAAGTGACTTTATTATCGCCGTCAAACGACTGAAGGGAGGCGGGACATTCAAAATCGTCAAATTAGTGTAGATTGAAATTTATCGTTGACTGAATATTAAATGCGCGTATGGTATAGTGCAATGTACGTAGTATCGCGTACTTCTCGCCGACTCGAGACGCATTGACACATTGCCAATAATTTTTTCAATCTCGTCCAATCGTTTGACAATATATCATGATCAAGAATTAAGTCGTGTTTCATATGGCTTTTATTTTCTTGAAATCAATATGTGGACAATAATCGAGGCCAAGATTTTCTATTTAAAAAATGCAAATTTCAGGTGTATCGATCACGATTCTCTATGTCCATCATGGGCGATGGGCGGAGCGTGCGAAAATTGGCCGGAGATGCGTCTTCGATGCCCGCGAGCCTGCAAAGTGTGCTCGTAGAATGATTGTCCGGGAAAAAGCGATATCACCTCATTCCTCATCCAATTCTTCACTTGCTGACGCTCAAACTCTAGTCAATGATTGTAGAAGTGCGCACAATGTGTGCCAGTCACAAACAACAACAACAAACCAAATTCGGGTCGATTTCCTATTCATTTCTGTATTTTCATATTTATTTCATTAGAAAAACAAAAAAAATAAATTAAAAATTAAAAGAACACTATCGTCAAGTTTACTCAGATTCAATTGAAAACGAGAATTCAGCAGGAATCTATAATCAAACATTGAGATGTAGCTTTAAACCAATTTTGATCAACCTTTGGCTTCATTTCCCATGCATTACCAAATCCAACGATTACGGTAACTTCTTCGTTTTCGTCGTTCGGCGGCGCCTTGCCTCCGATCTTTTGGGATTCGAATTCCGGCGACTCCTTCTTTTCATCATCATGCTCCTTCTGTGTTACTTCTTCCTCCTTCATATCTTCGATTTTGGGCTCTTCTGGAGTCATTGGTGGAAGAGCTACAACTGCTGCAGCAACAGCGGCTTCTTCTTCGGCAAATTGTTTCTTCTCCCTCAAACTCTTGCGATTCTTTGGCGACGTCGTCACGGCGCCGTCTCTCCGCTTCTTCGCCGGCGATCTTCCTTTGGTTCTCGCCTTGCGTTCAGATCTTGTGCTCACAACAACCGTTGGCGACGTTTTTCTCTTATTCTGTTACAATTATTGGCTAATAGAAAACGAGTAGTTCGTTTCGAGACCCACCTTAACACATTTGTAAATTGTGCAAATCGTAATGATGAGCGCTATAATGAATAAGACGACGAACAAAACAATGACAAATAGAGTGTCGATGTGCTCTAAAATTGGTTCATTTTTTGTTTCTCGCTTGTTTTCATTTTTTTTTAAATAACCACTCACTTTCCATTACGATTTACTTAAATTTCATATATCAAAATTGAGAAAAAGAGTAAAACGTGAGATTTTTTTCGAAATCAAATTTCACGTTCTCTCATAGATTTTTTGTTTCTCGCATACACAGAGAATTGCAGGAGTTCGGGAGTACAAATTGGCCATCTGCTAGAGTTGCAAAATACGCCGAAAAACTAAAAAAATGCGGAAAATTCAAAAAATGCAATGTAGATCTAGAGGAATTTCTGTATAAAAAAATTTAAAACAAAACGTCTCACGGGCATAAGGACAGGTTAAAGGCGCATAGAAAACTCTCCTTATTTTTTGAATTGGCGTTTAGCCAATTTTGCGCAGTTGCACGTGTAATTCTTGTGAGTTCATCTTCAAGCAAGTCACGAAAGCCCAGGATGATCAGTGGATTGCAGACTGCGGCATTCTATTCGACCATTTCCGATGTTTTCTTAAATTGATTTGGATCCCGACTATCAATAACTATGTACGTATATGCTCATTATTGGAAAATTGTCAATTCAATGTTCTGTCGAAAAAAAAAACGGAAAAATATCCAAAAAAAGAACTTGATGGAATTGGTCTTGAAGCGACTGATTCTCGGGGTTTTTTTAACGAAGAATTTGACATATAATATGTTGCACACTTCGATCACATCCGGTTCAGATCATCGTCAGTTTTAGATTTGTCGATCAAATCGAATAGAAAATCGCATTGGACAATTCAATGTTTTACGTGTTTATTTCATAATACTGAAAAATGTACAGCGAAAATAAAATGGTTTCAACAAATATGATACGATTTACAAGTCAGCACTCTCGTTTGCGGATAGTTCTGGACCACCGAAACCTTCAGGATACTTTGGTGGTGGCGGCGGTGGTGGTCCGTGTGGTGATGGTCTGGGTGGCAAAACAATGAAGGCCAATACATCAACTTCCTGCAATCAGCAATTGATATTGCTGAATACTTGAGACATCGTTTCTACCTTTGGGTTTTGCTTTCTGATCTGTTCGAGAGCTTCTCTCTGTTGTTTGAACGTTTGGTCCTTATTCGAAAGGACCGCCTCAATTGAAGATTGGACACTCGGCAAATTATTGACAACATTCGTCAAATTTTGCTTGATCTCCTCTTCGAGGGCAGTTTTGTTGGCTTCGAACTCATGGTAGAGATCCTAGAACAATGGATGAGAACTGAAGTGGAAGGTGATCACATACCGACACGCCGTTGGCGGAAGCCCATTCGTCGACTTGGGCATCGACCTCGTTGATGGTGAGATTGCCATTTCTCAGAATATCAAAGTACTCGCGTCTTCCTTCTGCACTATCATTTCGGAGAAATGGTGGTAAGAACTTTCCTAGTCCACCATGACCTCCATGGCCTCCATGACCTCCGTGACCTCCGTGAGGTCCCTTACCACCCGGATGGCACAACGCGAAAGCAACAAGAGCAATTGAAGTCAGGATTAACAACTTGGACATTCTATAAATAGAAATATAAAATATAAATCGAGACCTGATGCTGAAATTGCCTCTCACTCGCCCATATTTATGTCGATGAGATGTCCGTTTGTTTACTACAACTCTTCCAGCTCCGCCCATTGTGATCATCGCGATCATTTGTGCCATCTGACTTGACGATACCGCCCACATACAGTACTGTGTCTGATAACAGTGTCCGTTGCTTTCTTGATTCGAAGGCGAAAAAGTGGACGACCGCAAGACAGAGAAACTTCGAAAAAAAAAAAGAGACCCTCTTTATTAAACTCCCAAAGAATATGTGCATTCAATTTCATGGCACGGGCTTCGCTTTCGACAAATTTTGAATAATTTGAGAAAAAGTGTCAGATCCCGCTCTCAATATCATAATTGCTACTGTTTCCAAGTTTCGAACTTATCAGTGCCAGTTCGAAAAGTTTTGCTACATTATGATCCAATTGGCAGTGAGATTCAAACATCGCATTGAAATTCGCAAGCAACGCAAGCATGTCTGTCTCGGACGGAACCGCCCACGCAAAATGTTCGCTGATGCAACTCTTGGAGCTGATGTATGAAAATTTAAACTATGTTTTCGGTTTTTGAAAAATACTGATATTAAATGCACAATAGGAAATGATGTGTGATAAACAAACATCAAGATCATACATTCGAATCAAGATTGATAACGAATTCAAATAACTTAGAATAATTATATAGTGGAAATGGGATATTAAATAATAAAATGTAAAATTAATAAGATTCGGTACATCAAGACGTTAAAAATTTAATGCAGTTAGGATTCAGATTTTAAGCAGATAGATGAGAAACTTATTGATAGTGTTTCCCCATATCGTCTTCGAGCTCCCTTTTCATTGATCCTATTAAATAAAATGGGTTCTAATCCGTTATTTGACACTTTTGCTGGCGGCAAATTTGCCTGTCCGTGCCATGAAATCGAATGCACATATTCTTTGGGATTTTAATAAAGAGGGTCTCTTTTTTTTCGAAGTCTCTCTGTCTTGCGGTCGTCCATTTTTTCGCCTTCGAATCAAGAAAGCAACGGACACTGTTATCAGACACAGTACTGTATGTGGGCGGTATCGTCAAGTCAGATGGCACAAATGATCGCGATGATCACAATGGGCGGAGCTGGAAGAGTTGTAGTAAACAAACGGACATCTCATCGACATAAATATGGGCGAGTGAGAGGCAATTTCAGCATCAGGTCTCGATTTATATTTTATATTTCTATTTATAGAATGTCCAAGTTGTTAATCCTGACTTCAATTGCTCTTGTTGCTTTCGCGTTGTGCCATCCGGGTGGTAAGGGACCTCACGGAGGTCACGGAGGTCATGGAGGCCATGGAGGTCATGGTGGACTAGGAAAGTTCTTACCACCATTTCTCCGAAATGTTAGTGCAGAAGGAAGACGCGAGTACTTTGATATTCTGAGAAATGGCAATCTCACCATCAACGAGGTCGATGCCCAAGTCGACGAATGGGCTTCCGCCAACGGCGTGTCGGTATGTGATCACCTTCCACTTCAGTTCTCATCCATTGTTCTAGGATCTCTACCATGAGTTCGAAGCCAACAAAACTGCCCTCGAAGAGGAGATCAAGCAAAATATGACGAATGTTGTCAATAATTTGCCGAGTGTCCAATCTTCAATTGAGGCGGTCCTTTCGAATAAGGACCAAACGTTCAAACAACAGAGAGAAGCTCTCGAACAGATCAGAAAGCAAAACCCAAAGGTAGAAACGATGTCTCAAGTATTCGGCAATACCAATTACTGATTGCAGGAAGTTGATGTATTGGCCTTCATTGCTTTGCCACCCAGACCATCACCACACGGACCACCACCGCCGCCACCACCAAAGTATCCTGAAGGTTTCGGTGGTTCAGAACTATCCGCAAACGAGAGTGCTGACTTGTAAATCATATCATATTTGTTGAATCCATTTTATTTTCGCTGTACATTTTTCAGTATTATGAAATAAACACTTAAAACATTGAATTGTCCAATGCGATTTTCTATTCGATTTGATCGACAAATCTAAAACTGACGATGATCTGAACCGGATGTGATCGAAGTGTGCAACATATTATATGTCAAATTCTTGGTTAAAAAAACCCCGAGAATCAGTCGCTTCAAGACCAATTCCATCAAGTTCTTTTTTTGGATATTTTTCCGTTTTTTTTTCGATATCTGAGATGATGATTCCATTTGCATTCTGAAGGACGCCGAACTAAAAACCGAATTATTTTCAGAATCTTACCAGATAGTTTAATCGGCTAATGATTTATCATGTAGGGGCTCGGGAAAATCTTATCATTTCCGGACCATGTTATATAAATTAACCAAATTTAAATTTTATTTAAATATTTTTTTTTCACTTTAACTAAATGTTAGTTCATTTAAATAAAAATTTTAAACATTAATTTTCAATTTTTTTCATTCTTAGATTTTAAAATTCACAAAAAAAATTGAAAATTAGTGTCAAAACTTTTTATAAATTAAAATTCATATAAAATATTATATATTATATACGAATATCGTTATACTGAATGATAATATTTTTTTTATTTAGTCAATAATTTTGTATGAAAAGGGATATTGTTTGGAAAAAATTGTTTAATTCAGAAATAATTCTTTTGTGTGCTATTTAATAGTCGACTGTACATTTCGAACCAATTCAATTCTCATGTGATTTTCAACAATGCCATTTTTGGACTATTTAAGTGGTTCGGAATCTAGAAGGCTCAGTATCAATTGCATCGAAATGTGGAAAACGATATTGATTCTTTTGATCATTTTGCCCGCTGTATTCTCATTGGGAAAACCATTCTGGAGCACAACACAAGCTCCACATCCGGTAATTCAATTAATTATTCGACATTCGTTATTTTTGATATCATTTTTAGCGAAGATACCACATCGAAAATCAGCCACAAATCGCAGATGTAATCACAATTTCAACTGAAACTTTTTTTGAATTTTCATCATTTCAGGAGCCGTTCCGTTTCAATACCATCGTCAACGAAAATTATCGCAAGATCAATGAGCAATTTAAAAGCAAAATTATTGTGAATTAATTAATAATGTTGCCTTGTTTTCCATAAATATTTTATATTATTATAATATTGATTTACTCCGTCATTTCGGATTTTTGTTACCGACTAAGTCACTTAAAATTCGTTGAAATTTTATTATTTTTATTCAAACTGTATTTAATCGAATTCATATTTTTGGCGCAGCCATATCATCAAAAATCTGACAAGTAAGGTCTTTTGCAGTCCGCCTTAAATTTTTTAAAACATTTTCTTGCGTACAGATTCCTTAGAAAATTTCCAATCGAATGAACTAGGTGCCTACCTGTGCAAGCTTCTTCTAGTTATCGATATATGGACCTTTAAAGTTTTAGCCTCCTATCGTGAATTTTGAATTCAATTCTGCATAAACTCGAAATATGTAGTGGGATGTCTTATATCGCGCTTCGTGGGTCAGTTGTGTGTAGGTTCGGTTGATGATCGATGTTTTTCGAATACGGCAATTGAGTCGCGACCGATTCTGATAGTCGTTAAAATAAAAAAGAAACAAACTATATTATAATACCCTGAATCCTGGTTTATAAGCTGCGGAATGTTGTTTCACAGTCGAATTTATTACAAATAATTTAATTAAATATTCATAACATACGTGGAAGAAAGTCTCTAATTAGAAAACTGCTGAAAAAGATGCTTCGAGTGCTTTTTTTAGGGTCTTGATATTTGAATAGTACGACTCCAATCTTTCCAATATCGAATTCATCTTAAAGAACTCAAGTTCGAATACTTCTTAACCATTCTAATAAGATATAAGTCAAACAGTGGTAGTTCCGTGTTAATTTTCCAATGGAATTCGTATTCTTTTCCACAATTAAGCACCTGCGAAATTCTTATGATATTAACATGCAGATTTCGCAAAAAAAAAACGAATTAGTTGCAAAAGAATTTTTGTTTCTTTCTTAAAAATCGTAATAAGAAATAGCTGCACTGGATTTCTCTTTTTTTTTCCTTCGCTGATCGTTTGCTGTGAAATAACAAATCATTTAGACTTTCCCAATTTCCTTCCTGGTTTCTCAAATTTTATATATATTTTTTTAACATTTTTCGCCTTTAAATAACAAATATTTCCCAATTTATAAGTTCGGAAATGTAGGCAGAACACACCAGGAAAATCGAAAAATTTATGTTAAAAGTTGAAATTCTTCCTTGTGGAAAAGCTCGACATATTTCGTTATAAATTGGTCCGTCGATAAACTCGTTTGAATCAACCCGATATGTTTCGCATTTTATTTTCTGTGCAAAGGGCTCTTGGAAAGATTTAATGAGTTTTTCCTAAAAGATAAAGCTTAGGAGTTGCGACTAACCATTAAAAATATTTATATTTAAAAAAAAACCAAAATCAGTTCAAAATCATTCGAAGGGTCCCGATTTTTTGTTTTTCGCTTTCAATTCGGAATTTCGCTACAATTTACACATCGATTGTTAAAGAATAGCACAATCACGAGAAATTTCAAGGCAAAATTCGTGGTGATGTCGGTTGAAGCGATAATTCATTTTACACCTTATGCAAAACTGGTTGGATCATGATTGATTATCGAAACAAAACCATCACTTCCTTCCCAGAAAGCGAATATAAATCCATAAAAGGCCATGGGCGCATTTCGCAAAAACGCTTATCACTGAATCGATGGGAGCGCGCATCAATCGTCGTTTATTCCTGAACGAAACCCATACGAGAAGAAAATCGACCAACCAAAAAAAAAAGACGAAGAAGAAGAAGAAGAAGAAGAAGAAGAAGCGATCGTCGCGTGTGTCACCTGTTTTTTCGTTGTCTTTCGAACGATATCACCGACGCATCTCGAGAAGCCAAACGAAGAGACGACGAGGATGGAGATGAAGTGTGAACCAAAAAACAGGAATCAGCCACGTCAACGTCAGCAGCCGCAACAGCCGCAGTGGCGACCACTGAAGAAAAGAAAAGGAGTGTGGTTCGAGTACAGGAGGAGGCGGAGGAAGTGGAGGAGGTCGTCGTCGTCGTCGTCCTCTTCCCACCTCTCCTCCCAACGTCGCCGCTTCGTTTTCTTAAAATCGTCTCGAAGCATGTTGACGTCGATTCCATATTTATTCATTCTAGTTATTCATCTAATTAGTCTAGTCAGTGCACACTTCTCAGTTTATAGGATCCTTCCAAAGGATCAAAACGATTTTTTGTCGATCAAGAAGTTGTATCAGCAGGCGACATATCATGATGTAAGATTTGCCCCTTAAATATGCCAACTTCTGCGAACCAAAAATTAATAGCAGAAAAGAAAAAAAATGATTAATTAATCATTTTTCCTGCATCGGCTTTTACATATTTTTAAAAAAGTCCCATTTAATAGAGAATTGACTGAAAGTTATTGTAAAAATATTCCTCGCAGAATTAATTTTTTTTCTTTTTATTTGCTCGTTTGCAGCTCAATTTCTGGAAAACGGGCAAAGTTAAACATAGTTTTTGGGATGTGATGGTCGATTCGAATAATGAGGAATATCTCCTGAGCTACCTTAGCAATCATTCAATATCTCATATGAAGACAATCGAGGACGTTGAAAAGTACATCGCTTTTAGACGTTCAACTTCATCCTCTAATTCAGATTAATTAAAAAGCACGAAAGGAACTCTACACTAGGTTTCGGTGCACGTCTTCGCGATGATTCATCCAGTGCTAGCTACGATTTTCACACTTATGGTTCTTATCAACGGATGACTGATTGGATGAAACAGCTGGTGGTTAAATACCCAAAATTGGTACAGTATATTACTGTGGGGAAGTCGACAGAAGGACGTTCGATTGATGGTGTTGAGGTTGAACGAATGTTTTGATTCTTTTAATGACCTCTTCATATAGATTGGTGGTGATTTGAAGACGAAAAAGATCTTCTGGATTGATGGAGGAATTCATGCGCGTGAATGGGCTGCACCTCATACCGCATTATTCTTCATACATCAGGTATAATATATAGAGAGTATCATTCAATTTTAATTAGATTTAAAAAAAAGGGATTTGAAAAAAAAGAAAATTGAAAAAAAAAGACATATGGACGAATTCGTGTGCATTCACCGCCACGCCTTTTTGCACACTTTTACTTTTTTCGAGAAATCGCCTCAAATTATATTTCAGTAAAACATTTATTTGTGAAATTGGCTATTCTTAAAGCGTCTCATTGTTTATCCTTTTTTCAGTTAACTTCGAGAGCGAACGAGCCGGGAATCAAAAAGCTTCTCGATGAGATAACATTTGTTATTGTTCCTTGCTTGAACCCAGATGGCTATGAATTCACAAGATCATCGGCAAATCCTCACGTGAGTCATTGATTGCATCATTCTGATATTCAAAAAACTGTTTAAGGTGCGATTATGGCGAAAAAATCGATCGAAAATGCAATGTCGCAAAGACATTTGGGGACGAAATCGGTGCTGCCGCGGTGTCGATTTGAATCGAAACTTTGATTTCCACTTCAGAGGTGTGTTACGCAATGCAACCCAGAAGGGAGAACTTGTTTCAGAGAGTGGTACTAGTGATGACCCGTGTTCGGAGATCTATCAAGGACCGTCGCCTTTCAGCGAACCAGAGGCGAGGTAGGCGAAAGTGACTCAAGTGCGAATCGACTAATATGGAATTACAGAGCGGTTCGGGACGCACTTTTGTCGCAAAGATACCGGGGAAGAGTTGAAGGATACATTACACTACACACTTATTCTCAAGTACCAATATATACATAAAATGGACACTAGAGTTTTTGTTTTTTTTATTAAAAAATTGCAGATCTGGATTCATCCATACGGACATAAGAAAGACGCTTACCCAGGGGACATCAAGGATCTGGTAACTTACTTTCTTTTATTCACTAGTATCGATGCCTATATTTAGTATGATGTTGGAAAAAAGGCTGCAAATGCTTTAAAAAGGGTTTACGGAACCAAATACATTGTGGGAAGTGGTGCAGATACACTCTGTTAGTCATTTTCTATGCATTCAATGAGTTATTTTTGTATTTAGATCCAGCATCTGGAGGTTCGGAAGATTGGGCAAAGCATGAAGCAAAAGCCAAATTTGTGTACTTGCTCGAACTAAGGCCCGATGAGAAAAGTAAGTCGTGTAGTATTGCATTAAAAAAATGAATCTGTAGGAATCTAAATTGACCTAATTTATTAGTTTTTAAATAAACTCTAAAACATTATGCTGCTAATATCTAAGATTCTAATAGTAATAAGAACATGGTTTCAGATTGGGATGGATTTATTCTTGATGAGAAGGAGCTGATCCCAACAGCCCGCGAAACCTGGGAAGGGGTTCGTGTTGTCGCCGAGGCAATCGTTGAACGAGTTCAAATTGCACGTGCCGGTGTTCCCGCAGGTTAAACTTTGAACTATTGCATAGACATATTTAGACCGTCTCGATTGACTCTTTTTTTCCAGTGGCACCGAAAGCACGCGCTTTTCGTTTCGGAGATGGAACGGAAGGATCATGTTTCGATGTGCGACACGCGTGTAAACGTTGGGTTCAAGAGCGCGAGGAATTGTGCAAAACGGTTCCGATCTTCATGCGCGAGAATTGCGCCTACTCGTGCTCATTCTGTTGATAAATAATAGTCGTCATAGTTGGTTCGTCTCTCTGTTCCTCCCACCAAATTGATCCGCGTATTTGTTTTTTCGCATCGCTCATTGTGTTGTGTGTATGTACATAAATAAATGCTGACCGCCGTCCGCCTAATTCAGCGTTCACGATCTCTCCAAAAGTTTTGTGTTTGTTGTTTCGGAGCAAAAAAGGTGAAGTGCGTGTTTGAGGCGGCTCCTGTGGCGGCGGCTTCTTCATCAAATATGACAAAATGTCAAAAACCTATTGCGACGATTCCGTCGACGACGAGACATCCCTAGTGTTCCCGATGCGATGATGATGCTCCGAACTCTATTCATTATCTTATGGCTAGCGCCTTTTAGGCTAACAATTCACAATTCCGATACACCATTTCAGTATCACAAGTGAGTTTCAATAAAATGAACAGCAAAATATATAATTTTAAACCGTTTCAAATGTTTGTATGCGCTTTTAAATTTCTCGGAAAACTTTGAAAAAAAGGAAAACTCATTTAGGCGCACACTAAAATGCAAGTAAGTATAGCTTATGTGGCTTGATTGCATTGCGTTTCTTTTGTGCAATCACGCCGTATGAACATTGCGGACATGCATTTTAATCTACGCCGAAATATCTCAAAGTCTGCGCAGAACACAGATTTGCCAAAAATTGAAGTTGCCAAATCCAATATTTTGCTGATTTCACACAAAAACTGATAAAGAACGTCACTATCAAAATCTGTTTGGTTTCGCGGTGATTGATGATGTTGAGATATTCGATTTTTTTTGAATCAGACAGATTACAACGTCTGATCACTATCAAGTTTCTTAAATTCGTAATCAAGCTCTAGAATCTGGTTGAAAATATGAATTTTTTTATTGTCGGAATCAAACGACTAGACGAAATGAAAAAATTATTGCCTCTATGCCAATGCGTCTCGATGCAGCGAGAAGTACGCGAGACTGCGTACATTGCATTATACCATACGCGCATTTAATATTCAGTCAACGATAAATTTCAATCTACACTAATTTGACGATTTTGAATGTCCCGCCTCCCTTCAGTCGTTTGACACCGGCAAAATATCAATAATTTTTTATCGAAAAAAAAAACAATAAACAGAATTGATTGTAGCAAATCATTGATATAAATTGTCACATCTGATCGATATTTCATTTTGCAGTTTCAAACTAATTCGAATAAATCCCGAAACCGAAGAGAACGTGAAATATTTGCGAACGCTTTACGAGGACTCGTCGCCATATGAACTTGACTTTTGGCAGCCTCCAACGCATATTGGAGCAATTGTCGACGTCACCGTCGCGCCTTCTGATGCCCCATTGTTTGTCAAGGACCTCGAATCGAAACACATCAACTATATCGTGGCTGTCACCGATTTGTCGAAGTACGCGACTCTAATCGCCTTTCCTTTTTCCATTCTATAATCCGTTTGCACTTAAGAGCGATCGAAAGCGAGAAAGGAAGTGATTCGGCTTATAACCACAGTCCTGTCAATGGATTTGCCTATGATCGCTATAATAGTCTTGAAGAGATTCACACCGAAATGAAGCGGCTTAAAAAAGAATATCCGACGATGATCACATTGATCGACATCGGACAGAGTCATGAGAATCGAACCCTTCTGGTTATGAAGGTGTGAACTTTTCAAATCATTGGGTTAACGATGGATATTGCAGATTACTGGAAAGCGAAATCCATTAGGCTCAAAAATATCCATGTGGATCGACGGTGGAATCCATGCGAGAGAGTGGATTTCGCCAGCTACTGCGATGTACATGGCGCATGAGGTATAAACGATGGAGTGGAACATTTTATGATGATCATGTTCAGCTGCTTCTTGGTTATGAGAATGATCCGACAATTCAAAAACTCCTCGATCATATCGATTTCTACTTCTTGCCCGTCCTTAATCCAGATGGTTATGAATATTCAAGGACAAAGAATCGAATGTGGAGGAAGAATCGAAGTCCCGCGAAGTGCCATCGAACGCAGTTCCGAACGGTTTGCTGCTCGGGTGTCGATCTCAATAGAAACTTCGACTGGTTTTGGGCATGTAAGAAATCTGAAAATATTTGGAGAGTGAATCTTTCCTTCCAATTCAGCTACTGGATCATCGTCGGACCCTTGCCACGACACCTACCACGGAACTTCAGCATTCTCTGAGCCTGAATCGCAAGCAGTTCGCGACTTCCTCGAGCAGAACACGCCTGAAGCATTCATCTCCCTTCATTCTTATTCGCAAATGTGGCTCATTCCCTACGGCCATAGAAAGCTCAGTTATCCTCAGGATTATCACACCGGACTTCGACCATTGGCATTACGAGCCACCAAGGCTCTTTATGAGCTTTATGGTACCAAATATCAAGTGGGAACCGGAGCTGACATGATGTGTAAAAATGAATGATTTGCTGAAAAAAATAGACGTATCTATCGATTTAGACGAGGCTTCTGGAGGCTCACACGATTGGGCTAAAGGGCAGCTCAAGGTTCCATATTCATTTCTCATCGAGTTGCGACCGAAAAATTCGATGATGGGTCACGGATTCCTATTGCCAGAACGCGAAATCGTGCCAACCGGCTTGGAAACGTTTGAAGCGATCAAGGTAGTCGCTGACGAATTAGTCGCGCAGTTCGTGGAACCAGTCATCCGATCCAAACTGATTGCATCAAGTTTGTTTCGTTGTACACCGTCGATGTTTGATACCTTATCGTTTCAGCTGTGACTCCAAAACGACGAGGGTACTCGGTGATTCAGACAACAACGCAAAACGCTGTGGAAACGACGACGACGACGGAGCCGACAACGACGGAGGCAACGACGACACCTTCGAGCACAACAACCACTACCTCAACTCCTTCTACAAATGCGCCGACAACATCAACACCAATATCGACAACTACCACTACAACGAGCGCTACCACGACCACAACCGAAGCGCTGCCCACAACGACGACGACAGTGGAAGAAACCACGGAAACCTATGTGACGAGCCCAGTATTCATTCGATCTGGCTCAAGATTTGTAGCGGTCACCCCAACAACTGTCGCTAAATCTCAGGAAACCGTATGATCGTTTTTTTTCGAAAACCCTATTCTGCAATCATTATTGATTTCAGACTTCTGATCCAATTGCCACGAGTGCTCCATCACTCAAATGTCACGACTTCGGAAGCTACTGCCGATTATGGGGTGTTCTACAATTGTGCTATCGCGATCAAGTGAGCACACTTTGCCCAAAAACTTGCGACTCGCGATGTTCGGTTTGATTCAAGTGATGAATCTCGTCATTAGTATGGCATATTGCCAATATTTCTAGATTTAATTCAAATTTCTATTATGTTTGAATAAAAGCGAACGATTCTTTTCAAATTTTGGTGAATTGGAATGAAGTTTCAGAATAATGATTTCATGATGATTCTGAAGTCGATAAGCGAATAATGAATATTGATCGTGAACCATCAATTCACGCTGTTTTCATTCCCAATTCGGATTAATGATAGAAAAGGCAACATTTAATGTTTGGCAATTGGGCATTTGGTTCTTCTTCAATTTTTTCGCATTCAATTCACAAGGTTGCTCAAACCAGAAAAAGTGAGCCAATCCGACTTTTTTTTTTGATTTTCAGGATTCATCGAAGAAGTCGTTATCAATAGCGCATCAGCCAGTCAGAAAATCAATAGTCACGCCGGTTATTATAGTTTAGCGATTATCTATGCAGTCTTCACAGTTGCCAATTTTGTCGCCGCTCCGATCGTTGACATTTTGTCGCCAAAATGGGCAATGGTGTTTGGTGCGCTTTGTTACGCTGCGTTTCAAGTAAGATGGTGTACACGAGAAAATTGATTCGGTTTAAACATTTTCTCGAATGTCAAAAATAATTTTAATGAAATTTTCACAATAGCTCAACAAAATGGAAATTGCACATCGAAAAAAATGACAATTCAATAAAACGAACAAGTTCAAAAAATCGGTGACGAACCTCATACCTTCATATTTTCGTTTAGGCGGGATTTTTCTTTCTCAATGAAATCTATCTCTATATTTCGAGTGCGATTCTTGGATTTGGCGCCGCAAGTAATTTCAATGTTCTCGAAAACTTTTGAAAAAAAAAACATAAAATTAGTCATTTGGACTGGACAAGGCTCATATCTATCACAAAATTGTACAAAGGATACGACTAGCAGAAACAGCGCCCTATTGTGGGGAATCGGTGAGAGCAGCTTGATTGGTGGCGGAATCTTTCTGTGCGCCATGTTCGGAACAACGTCTGCTGCCAGACTGACGCCTAAAACAGTGAGTTCGGGGGCAAAATTCCCTCTCTCTCTCTAAGACCATCAAATTTCAGATCAAAATTCTTTATGGCGTTTTCACGGTGCTTGCCATAACATCAGCTTGTATCTTTGCATGTCTTCGATCGCCGGTTTATCCGGAAGTCAAAGACAACGACAGTTCTGGAGAGTTGATTAGCGGAACATTCAAGCTAATGACGACCAAGAAGATGTTGTTGTTGTCTGTTGTCTTTAGTTATACTGGTATCGAACTCTCGTTCTGGTCAGGTGAATATGATTTGATGGAATTTGTCTAATGGGGCAATGCAAAAAATAAGCAAAATAATAATTTTTAACATTGAAAATTTGTCCTATTCATGCAATAAAAAATTGTTTAAAAATATTACACATTTTCGAATGCATCGATGCGAAAAATGCAATGGGTACTTTAATTAGATGATGAAGAAATCTGCGAGACCCTATTGTTGTCGTGCGTCCTTTTTTTATATTTTTTTTATATTCCGGTATTATTTTTTCACCATAATTGTTGATTATTCTGTCAAATTCAAAACGAAAATAATCGAAGTGGCGAGAATCTTAAGGAATACGATGCCTGAAAAATAAAAATAAAATTTTAATAGAAATATTACACAAATTTCATTAAAAAAAAGGAAAAAAAAAACAAGAAAATTTAAAACAATCAATTAAAAAAAATAACACCGTAACTTCGAAGAAAAGACGCACGGCTACAAATTGTCTTACGAGTCTCGCAGATTTTTTATCATTTAATTACAGTACCCATTGCAGTTTATAAAAATGCGTAATTTTACAAACATTTTTTATTGCATGAATATAACCTTGAATGGATGATAAATTATCACAGCCATTTATCCAACATGCATCTCCTTCACACGTCGATTGGGAACAAATACCAACTTCTTGCTTGCATTAAATATGATAACTTCCGGTTGTGGGCAAGTGACCGGTACTGGACATCTCATCAAAATTCAGAATTTTGAATCGATTCAGCCGGCCTTCTATTTGGTGTGCTTGGTGAAAAATTACGAAAAATTCGTCGTGATTACGTTGTTCTTTTGGGAGCAGCAATTCATTTACTAGCATTTGGTCTATGCTACACAAACTTTCCGACAGAAGCATCGTTGAAACAATCAGATGATACTGGAGCAATTTTCACTCCAATGTAAGAATAATCTTCTTTGGTGAATGATTCGTTGTCGTCTACGACGAAATCGCTCTTCAAATGTGGCCAAATACGATTGCGATTTCATCGATTACGATTAAGCTCGTCGTATACGATTTGGTTTTGAAAAATTCATATTGCAATCGTATTCGACAAATTTTGAATATCAAATTGTATTGTTGAGAAATGACAAATGTATCTAGGTGTCGTGGGATCCTGCGTTTTGTACGCAATGCTAAGAGACAGTTACCGTAATCCTCGCATCGATTTACGGAGATTTTTTTTATTTTCTTTCAATTTTTTTGCTGAATTTTCTAATTTTCTTTAGAAATCTTATATTTAAAACCTGTAGAAAAAAGAGTTTAATTATTTATTTTTCAGAATATGCACTTTTCCATTTGTCTAATTGAGTTGGGAATTATTGTGAAGATTTTGACGCTCTAAAAATTATTTTGAAAATGAAGAATACAAAAACAAGATAATAGAAACGCGTACAAAAAGCACAACACGAATAAATAATTTTATTAACGACAAAAAATGTTTTCTTTTAAATCTCTGCTGTTTTTACCAAAAAAATATCGTTTAAAAGTGCTTATTCTGCTAAATACATTATTAAACTCGGTTTCTGCAAAATTTAAAAATTTAATTTAAAAAATTTCGAATGAAAATTAAAAAATTGAACGAAAAATAAAAAAAATGAATATGCGAAATTAAAAAAAATCTTCGTAAATCGCGGCGAGGATTACGGTAATTGTCTCTTAGCATTGCGTACAAAACGCAGGATCTTACGACACCTGGATACATTTATCATTTTCAACAATATACGATGGAATTACAATCATATCATTTGAAGAGCGATTCCATCGTATTCGACTACGAGCCATTTTCCAGAGTTGTTGACTAAAAAAAAATATTTTCGGATAATTGCAGAATTTCCATCGCCTTGATAATTGGATTCCTTCTTGGCTTCGGAGATGCGGCATGGAACACCCAACTCTACTCGTACATTTGCGACGTATTCACTGACAAAAGCTCTCAAGCCTTCGCCGTGTTCAGGTTCTACCAAGTATGAATTTAGCTCAACCTATTCAAAAATGCACATTTCAGTCTGCACTCTCTTGCGCCGCTTTCTTCTATTCCCCCGTTGTTCATCTTCATTGGCATTTGTCGATTCTTTCGATGACTGCAATTCTGGCTTCAGTGATTTTTTTCATTGCGGAATCAATTGAACGCAACAATGAGTCAAGCAGCGACTCTGCAGAAGTTTCGTCGTTGAAAGAAAACAAAAATAGTTCAAAAGAAAATGATAAAAATTCGAAAGAAAGTGCCGGAGAATCAGGTATGGAAATCAAAGAAAATGCCTTTTCAATTTCTTTAAAGTCAAAAGTGTGAAATCGGAGAGGTCGGATACGGAAGTTTGAGACGAATATTTCATTCCATAATTATGTAAATAAAGACATTTAAAAAATACTTACATTTCGTTTTGTGAAATTTCGATTTTTCTATTCGACATTGCAAAGGATAATAGTTTTCTATTATTTTAAATAGTAATAAACAGAATAAGCATATTTAAAAGAAGAAAAAATATAATTGTTCTAATTTTGATAATAAATTAGAATATTATCAGATTTTATCAAACTTTGGTTAATTTTTATTTATTTATTAAATAAAATAAAGCGCTAAATGCAACAAGAAAATCACAAATAAGTACAGACAAAACGAAAAAAAACAAGAATCGTTGGGATTTGGTAAGTCGAGTGATTAGAATTGAATGAACCTCGTCGTGGAAAAAAAAACAAAAAAAAATACCACTGAGTAGTCATTTTGAATACCCGCACATCGTTTTGGCAGGAACGATTTTTGGATATATCGAAGGAGAAAATGATAAGAACTATCGATTTTGAATAAGTCCTGAGCTAATTGATTAGAATTTGGTAGAAGAAGAATGAAGAAGAATGGCACCTAAAACCGTATACACAACAATTTATACATTTGGCTCAGGGGCGAGCGGGGTCATCTCCTGAATAGTCGAACTGTAATTCTCGTCGTCATTCGACGATTGCCCAAGAATTAAGCTATTACAATCATGGTTGAAAAATCTCAACGGAATCTGAAGAATGATTTGTAATAGTTTAAAGGAATATCTAACAAACCTGCGAAAGAATTGCTGGAAGAAGCACTAATCCATGGAAAAGTCCCCAAATAACAACTAATGTGATGGTTTTGACGAAAACCAACGGAAGATAATTCTGGAGGTGAACCAGTGGAATGATGCACAACACTGTCGAGGTTCCACCTTGAAGCATTGGCCAAGCGATATTGGCAAGCACGTATTCGACACGTGCCTCCGGGGTGTTCAGAAGAACTTTACGAAGTTTACCGTCAATTAGCTTCTCCTTATAAGCGATCTGAAAACAAGACAATATGGGCATGGGTTAGAGCAACTTTCGACGATTGTTAGACAAATTCCCAAGTTAAAACCCGTAGTGAGCTTCCGATATTTAGTATCAATAACTTGCTTTTTTTCAATTTATTGGAATCCGCACAAGCACAATGTTTAGTGCAATTTTGGATGAATTTGGAACATTTAAAGCTCTAGCTTTGACAAATTTATGGACCAATTCTTGCATTTTTTCCAATGCAGGGTTGTAGAAAAATGCAGCTTCAATGTATTTTTTCTTATTTTTCTCAAAAATTCCTTTTATGAATAGGTCCAACAGGTAAGAGAAGCTCAAAAAAAAAACTGTTAAACATCAAAAACTGTACCAGAAGCAATTTAGCCCCAATACAATACGGGACAAAACGCTCACAATAAAGCTCAGCTTTTTGGCGAATCACGGGCTTTTAGTACTAATTGTTATCAACCAAACTGGGTAGGGTTTTGTTGTAAAAAAAGAAGAATGATGGGATTTTCATAGAAGTGGGAATAAGTGCGATGATTTTATTGGCGCATGGTGCAGTGCCACAATACCATCGAATTCTGAACCAATTTCCGCGCTAATGTACTACTGTACGAATCCATAACATGTGTATCTCCGATCGCGAGAATCTCAAGAGATCAAACGCTATTTCTGAACCGAGCCCAGACGGAGGCCAACTCTTGAAGCTTACTTGGTAGTGATAAGTGGTGTGGGCGACAAAGTCGACCGCCATTCCGATCGAGACGAGAATCGCACAGAGTGAGACAGGATCAAGGTCGAGCGCCCAGAACGACAAATATCCAGTGACACCGTTGGCAATCGACAGAATCGACATCGTGGCGGTAACAACAGAAACCGGGTTTTGAATGAATACCGCGCATACGATGGCCATACAGACCAAAGTGACAGTCACATTCTGAAAATGTTCGATTCCAGTTGATTTTTCTATTGAATAATGTCGAAAACCTGTTGAGCCAGTGGTTTCAAGCTAAGCATCTGATCAACGAACATCGCATTCACATTCCAAACAGAAGCGTTCAATTGAGGGTAGCGATCAGCCGTCTGCCTCCAATGTTTCATCAGTTCAATTCGATCATCCCAGCTGGCTGTCTCTGCGTAGGCAAACGTCAGAAGGAAAGATCGTACTGGAATTCTGAAAACCACGCCATATAAGGAAAAATCGAGTTGAAACGTACGGATCGCTAAAATTGAGACGCATCGATCCGGCGTGATGTTTGAACACAGGACTCTTCAAAAATCCATCAAGTTTCTGAAAAAACAAATCAAAGTAATAAATTAAAAAATCAAAAACGAAAGTACTTCATAGTTAAATGACGACGAGGTATTCGTGACATCTTCCGAATCATAATCGAAAAATTCAGCAGCGGTCTCAAAGAAATATTCATGATAATCGCGAAGCCACGATATCGAGAACTGCGATCCGCGACTCTTTGAAGCCGTCTCAAATGCATTCACGAATTCATCGTAAATCGCCATCTCTGTCGCATTTGTGATGTTGAGCGGATGATTGACGATAACAGTGACCGGGTAGAACTCATTCCAAACATATTCCTCCATCAATCGGTTTGGCTTGCGAATCGGGGTGTCCAATGGCAAAATTTTAGCAGTATCCAATTTCGCTTCCATGTTTATCGTTCCAATAATTCCGAATCCCCAATAGACCAATGCGCCGAGCATGAGGAATACGAAGCTAGCCCAGTGCGAGATGACTTTCGAATAGAACTTCAGAAATTTTCTCATGTAGCCCTTGCTACTCTAAAAATCGCCTTTTCTTATAGAAAGTAAATTATATTAGCGAACCCTGCGTGGCTTCGAGAAATGATGGTTCATAGTCAAGGCGAGAAGTGGCGAGAAGAATGTCAATGTGTATACGTAGGCGAAGAACAAAGCCATGGCTGATCCCAAACAGAAAATCGACATCTCTTCAGTTGGTGAGAAGTATCCAATCAGGAACGTGATCACATTCGTCAATGTGGTGGTGGTGATCGATGGTCCGACTTCATGGAAGACACGGGCAAGCTTCTCCTGCCGTGAAATGTCTGGCGGCTGTCGCATCCAAGCATGAAGTGTGAGGAATGCATCATCGACCCCTGAAATCGCATAATAATTGTGCTCGATGCGCGCAAGTGCTTACCGATTCCAGTAACAAGGAATGGCATGATCAGCATTGGCGAGTTTGTTCGTTTTCCAACGAGATTATTAATTCCAAGTGTTGTGGTGACGGCAAAACAAGGGACCATCACACAACAAATCGAAACCACAATTATCGGCCATCCAGCGAATCCGTAATGAAGAGCTGAGAAGAAGACTGTACTCACGACAAAGGTAAGCATCAGAGCAATTCCTTTAAAATTTTACACAAAATATTAAAAATATCCCGAAGCTGGAGTTCATACCGACAGCAAAATACGGCGACATCTTCTGAGCATCTTTGTTCATTTCGGTGTCTACGATTTCCGGTCCAATCACGTGCATATTCAGAATTTTCGAATCATCGTTTCGATACTTCTGGCAATAATCAAACACGGCGAGTTCCCATTTTCCAATTCTCTCGTAATCAAGTAACGTCTTACCTTCGGCCATGATCATCATATTGATCACCTGAAGTCAGTTCTTATATCTGAGAAAATCTTTCAGAATCATGGTTTGATACCTGAATGTGTTCAATATTGTTCTCCGTATTGTTATTAGTTTTGACGCCAAAAAAATTGCGTTCAAGATGTAGCTTGTAGCTCATAATTGTCGCAATCGGGAATTCCAACCGGTATCCGGACATTGACGGAAAATTGTTTTTCATTCGGAGACTGTTCTGCAAATAATTTCAACTCGATATTTTTCTTGCACCGAAAAATTATGCAGGATAAAACTGGATTTTTGGTTTATTATAGATAATTTTTTTACCAGAAAATATGTTCCGAAAAAAAAATGAACGTCATCAAGTTATTCATCAAACTATGACTAATTTATACTTTGACCTCTCGATTTGTTCCCATTCATACGAGAACAGAACGATTTTTTTTCTTTTAAAAGTAACCTTGCCTTGTCAACAGCAGTCGTACAACTCGTGAGAATTGTTATATATTTTTTTTGTAATTAACAAACAAAACGAAGGAAAAAAGGGGCATACCGCGTAATGTTCAACGGCTAGATTCGCATCACAGTAGTGCCCACAAACATCAGAAAACTTGAGCGAGGTGCCATCGTCGAATGTAACTGACAGATTTTTTGCGATGTAATTCCATTGCTAAATATCAACACTATATTAAATTTATATTTGAGGAAGATTTGAGAAAAATTCAAATTTGTGACTCTATTGCAGAAAAAAATTTAAAAAGTAAATATATTTGAAAAATAAGAAAAATAAAACCAATCGAGTGCGTCAATAATATTTGATACGGTCCGCATTAACAAAACCCGACGCACAAATGCGGAGTATGCATCCTTGACTACAGTATCCGAATTTTTTCACACCGGAATAAAAGGAGCATTCTCTTCATTTATGCGTCGAGTCCAAAAACTGTGATTTTCTCTGAATCGTTTTTGTCTATTTTTGAAATGTATTATGCAATGGAATTGCTTCATAACACTGTTGTCATTCTATTTTCTTGATTAAAAAAATGATACCTTAACAGCTTCGTCTAAATATTCCTGCCGATGCATTGATCCACCATCTCTGGATTCGATGAGAAGTGTGGTCAAAACAGGATCACCTTCGGAATGGAGAAATTCGCGATAGATTTGATTTTCAATTCGAGATCTCGAAGTTGTTGGTGTGTATCCACTACGGACATTGTCGCGCAATTTCAGTCCGATCATTCCGACTGAAAATCGCTTAGTTGCTTATCGATCAACGCAATATTCGTTTTCTTACATGAACATGATAATAGGATTCCCGTAGTAATGATAAATGGCACCGGAAATCTGCCAATGAAGCTTCCGATCCATCGGAAGAAAAACCCCAACGACACCGATGAATTTGACCCTAGAAGCTCCTCGGTTTTCGTTCCTACAATTCGTTTCATGTGTCCCAATTCGTATTTTCCCCCTTCTACACAAATGTTCCACCTATGAACTTTTATGAAAACTATTGGAAAAACTCGCTTTTGGATTTTTGAATTCGAATTTTAAAAAAAACTGATGTCAGTGCGATTTCTTCAGATTTTCTTCTATGAAAATTTGAATCTCCTATTTACTGTTTCAAATTAAATTATAATTGTAAGGGTTTACTTGAGAAGCTCTGACAACGAGTAAGTCATCTGATTTGAGAGGGCAAACCCAGCACGCAGGGAGCATGTAGTCGGCGTCCGGTGACTGTTGCATGCGGGTAGGTGCGCTTTTCGAAATGGTCTCGCTACATGTGAATGCTTATTTTGAACGCTTAATTTTTCTTGGCATTTCCTTGAATTTTCAACGTCATTCGATTAAAAAATTATCGAGCCAACTCATAAAATGCAAAATATCCAATTGATCCGCGCGAGACCGAGAGAAAGACCGCATCCCCGAAAATCTAACCGCCTACAGCAGTCGCCAAAGGTCGACTATATGCAGACTAGAAATTTAAGATCATCGTCTGGATTTGTTCGAATTTAAAGGCGTTTTCAATACCATCTCTTATGGGATTATTCGATCACCGACTAGACTATGAAAACGTGCATTTTGAATGCAATGAGCAACACTTTCTCATACATTTTCTGTGTCTCGACAAAACGTTTAATTAAAATGACCACCTGACATATTGAATAAAAGCTCCCCCAATTCCGATATAAATGTGTTCTCAATAATTTTGGAACAAAACGGGAATGAACTTACGAAGGTGTGAACGATTTGGTACCCTAGTCACCGCTGTCGACCTGTCGACCAGCCTGTCGCCGTCATCGGTCATCTGTAAAATACAATAAATCGAAATTGAATTGAGCACAAATTTGTTCATCAATAAGAAATGCGATGCGTCTGTCTGTTTGTGAATATGCGTGGGGGGTGACTGGCATGAATGTAGTCGGGTCGGTCGGTGCATTAAAATGCGACATATAGTTAAATGATAACGAACGTGATGCGTCGCATTATGTGTAGCGCAATGGGAAAAGAATGAAAACAAAAAAATGGAAGACTTAAATGCGAGAATTCGAGACGAAACACTCTTGTGATAAATGGGCGGAGCCTAGCCTGTAGGCGATAGAGAACGCGATTGGAAGAGAACGCAGACATTCATTGATATATTATGAATCATTCCAGGAAAATGAAATATCGTTTGAAAATCAAATAAATTAATCAACGAATTTTAATTTAATTTGTTTCAAAAATTCAATTTAAGATTTACACGAAAAATTTCAGCACCTCAATACTTTGAAAATTAACGAATAATCTAGCAGAAATCGAATTTGAAACATTGAATTTAGCAAAAAAACGTATAAATATCAATTTTTGGTTTCAATGTATGTTTTAGAACCTGGGAAAACGGCAAGAACACGATTTCACAATTCATCAAAAGCAAATCACTCATCGACACCTTTTATTCGTGATTTGTACACAGATCATAAACAAAGAAATGAATCAGTTAAAACAAATTCATTTGTCTCTTGACTACTCGCAAACTACGAATTGAATTTGAAAATTTGGATGTCAAATCGGCTTCGAAGACGCTAAGCTTAATCATATTGCAAATCGCTGAGAGTTATTCATGCAAAAACAAATCTCATTGACAATTGATTGTCGGCGAATTGACGACATTTCCGCATGCTTCAAATTATTCTTTGAAACTGATTTCCGCTCGGTGAACCTCACAGCAGATTGATAACTATGAATAGAAGGAATGTGAAATTTGTTCAACGAAAGAATGACGGATTGTTGCTAAGTTCATCGAACATTCTTCGGAATACCGTATTGTAAAATAATTTAGAAAATAGACAGCTGTTATCAGAGATTGATAGCTACAAAAAAACGTTAAATTATCAAGTCGCAAGTTCCGAGCAAAAATCACAATTTCGCTTCTTTATTTTGCTCATGTCAATTCCAAAAATGTGGTTTTATGGACATTTTTGCTCAATTAAATCGAATCTTAATAATCGAGTATATCAAATTTTCAAGAGCTTGAAGCCATCCGAATTTTCTGACACGCGAGCAAATGTGCTCCACTGCACTTTTCTAATTTTTTTTTCTTTGGACAGATTAAATATTTTTACAATATTTTCTTCAATTTTTCGGGTGAAATAATATATTTCTTCGAATAAAAGTAAAGTTTCGTACTCAAAAAATTGTTTACAAAATTTTGTTTAAGAAAACGAAAAATGTGATAATCCTGCAAAAAAAATGTGTAGTCACAATGTTCTAATCATGCAATTTATGCCTATTCATATGGTATTAAAGAGTCCGATTAAAGCATTTGAAAATCAATAAAAATAAGGCATTTTAAGTAAAAATTGCAATTTTATAAGAGAATTAAGAATTGAAATGGGATGGTTGGAAGATAGGAGGGGGTAAAACAGCAATGTTTTTAATGTTCATTGTTTTCATCGAAAACAAAAACAGAATAGCCAGTGGCATTTTTTTCAAAAAAAAAACAGATTTTAATTAAAATCGATTCAAATGAAAACAAAAAGAGAAAGTCGTCTGCCCTATCGATCAATACTGTCAGGTAGTAATTGATAATGTCACACCATCTCAACCACAGCCATTCGAATTTTGAGAAGATGATCACAAAACCGTAGGTATTCGTGGCATCTGATGGCGTGAATAAAAGCGATTTGGGGCAAAAATTGAGGGCTGTCCGTCTTCAACGAAACCAGTTCCTCAATTAGTTGCAAATGGCAAAAGAAGTGAAAACACACACACACACATCTTACTCAAGATTTACGGTCTATTTGCGTATTCGCAATTCTTCGAATATCCTGCAACGAACGCGATGTTGTGATTTGGCGTTGCGCGTTGAAAATGAAACACTGATGAATAAGGAACAACGCATGTATGATGACGGGGCGGGCGTGCAGCGAATTCGGAAAACAACAAAACCATAAATGGAAAGCAAATTGCCCGTTAACAATTTTTTTTCAATTTCGCCCGGCTTCTGTTCTTACAGAAATAGAGAAAATTTGCGAAAAAACGATTTCATAAAATCACGGTTTTCTCAATAGATTTACGATTGATGATTCTGGGTAGATTTATGAGCATGCGCCTTTAATCAAGATTTCAAATTGAAAAGTTTTACTTTTTTTTTCAAAGAATGTATAGACAAATGTATTATTCAAGCGAAATTCTATTTAAAAAATTTTCTCGGAAAATTTTGATTCATTTTCCCAATGACACATTTTTTTTCCATTCGAGAGTATACAGCTCGACCACATTAAAGGCGCATACCTCGAAAAAAAATCGCGATTTTTTCTAAAAATTTTACTACTGATTGTAAGTTTTTTTCAGTGTAAAATTGAATTACATCAATATTAAATTCGAACTCTTGAAAACACTGGAAAATTTTCGTCAGCGGACACAAATTTTTGGTGTGAAAAACGAACTAGTTTTACACGCACTTTTCGGGTTCATTTTTTCGCTGTGATTTGTGCTTGAAAAAGACGAGGCGAAGAAAAAAAAGGACAAAAAAACCATGATTAAATATTCAAATTGGGTCCAACGGGGTGGAAATAATAAGAAAAAAAAAGTTGGACAATCTTTTACGAAACATGAGAGGCTATTTCAACGATTTTTTGTGGTATAGAATTTCAAAACAATTCGTGTTCGCTCATAAACTAATATTCATCTAAAAATCTATCCAATGCACCTTTAAACATTGTCTCGAAACGACACAATTTTCCAGAAAAAAATTGAGAAGCACTGCTGGCAGAGACCATTTTTAAAACGAGCATGATCACCGAATTGAAACGTTTTTATTTTATTTTTTTGGTCTAAAATATTTTGCCAAATAGGAGAATACAATTAGCTCTGTCTTAAATAGGATTTTCGCGGTGGGACCACGAATTCAATTAAAAAGAATCGACACCAAAAATCTAATGTTATATACATATGAATGATGTTTGTTTGATTTGTATGAAATTCAATTCTTTCTTCCGATCCAATATGTGAATAATTTTATAGTAAATAAGAGGACGAAGAAGAAGCTGAAAAATTGCAAAAAAGTGCAATAATTGCGAATTTCGAACAGAAAAAAAAAGGAATTGGAAGAGAATCGATCGAATTTTTAATTGATACGGAAGGAAATCGCCGATTATTCTTCTCATTTCTCCACTTTTAAAGCAATTTATATGCAAATTTTGAATTGATATTTGAGACCCTCTCCGTTTGTGCTCAAATGTGGCAACAATAGAGGCAATTTTCGAAAATTAAGTGCCTTACTGACGACAAAGACCAATGGGAGACCGTCGAATAAAAAAATATCATCATTGGAAATAAAAAAGACGAGGAACGGTTGATGATCTTTGAAATATGCGTGGCAATTCAAATATTCTGACTAATAATGAGATCTGCGGACCAATAATTGATGGATTTCGTTGAGATCATAGTAATCGAAATGACAGGGATGAGAGTGCAGATTATAGCATTCCTCGTTGAGAGATAATTGAGAAAAAAAGATGAATATAAAAAAACATGTAATTCTGATCACAAAAAAAAACGAGCAACCTGTGTAGATTTACGGGGAGCTGAAAATACGGTACCGGAATTCGCGAAATTTCGCTAATACGTATTATTGCAAATAAACGAGGTCATTCGAGCAAATTGTACAAAATATTCATTCAAGGTCGATTTTACGCAATTTTTCAAAAAATGACTAAAATGATTTGCATTTGACACAAAAAAAAATGAATTTCAAAATGTTGAGAAAAGTTTCATTTAAAAACGCGGGAAAATCAATCGGCACCGGCTCAAATTTCGCGTTATGATCCTTTAATCCATTTTTAAAAAATTTCAATTTCGTGATTCTATTGTTTTTCTTCAAAATTCCTGATGTAATTTTTCAATATTTGAGCTCTCTAGATTTTGGTTTTTTTAAGGAGAGGAATAACGAAAAAAAATAATTTCAAAATACTGTTATTAAAGGGACACACAAGAATTGAAGCTGGGTGTCCTAAAACGAACCAATTATTTAAATTTTTAAAGCGAAATCTATCCAAGAGCCAAAATTTATTTGCAATAATAATTGTGGACCATCGTATTTTTTTTTCAAGGCGGTAATTCAAATTTCGATTCGGGTAACCAGCGAATCAAACTCCCCATAAATTTGTGCAGGATGTTGGATTTTTTGTTTGTGATTGCAATAAAAGAATCGTCCAGACGGCTGTCGGTGATATCATGCGAGTAAAATTGTTTTCCTAAATGTCCGCAGATGAACAAACAGAAAAAAAAGTGAGGCACAAAATCAAAGAGTTGGACGCGAATTGACTCAAAGACGACCAAACCAGGGAAATTCGGCAAGATCAGCGTTTGAAGACAATTGAAATGAACACATCAAAATCGAGGCGAAAGGAAACAAATCATGATGATGAACAAAACAAAAAAAATTGTTTCGCGACATACACACACACACAAAAACAGTTGTGAGTGCACGCGAAATAGCGCGGAATCGGGCGGAGACCAATCGCGCGTTCATGCCGCTCAAAACCAGCGACGGCAGCGAAAAAATTGATTGTTTTATAATGCATATAGTTAGTCGTTGAGCGGGCCATATTGTATTCAGTAGTGCGCCAACACAATTTTCTCTATTCGCGGTTTTTTGTGTTGACTTGACAAATAGAATTTTTGTTCGTTTTATTTATTTTCCTGTAAATTGTATGGTTTCGAGTTTGGTTTTGGATTATTGCATCTGGCGCCAGAGTCTCGAAACGCCTCGCTTTTTTTTCGTCTCGGGAGCCTCGACAAACATTTTCAACAGATTTTTGGTTGAGATTTGTGTAAACAAATATGGGCATATTAAGTGGTAAAATGAGAGCGCGATTTTGATCTTTGTGGCGAATGTTGCCTGAAATTCCAGAGTTTCAGCGAACTCTTCAAAATTTCCAAACTAAATATTTAATTGTTTGATTTTCAATCGCAAAAAAAAACACCAAAATTTATGCAAATATCAGTTGGTGATGTATAAATAGAAAAAAATGTCGAAGATCACGACATAATCAGGTGCAATCTCTCTGAGGCGACATCTCTCAGGTGAAAATTGAATAGTTAGCTGGATATGGTGGTGGCAAATTCCGAGAATTCGCCTATAATCTGATTATTCATAATTTTTCCTAGTGCTCATATTCATGTTAATTTTTATACGATGAACTTTTTAAGTGTCTTTAGAAAGGTCTCGCCCCGATAATTTTTGAACTTCTTAAATTTTGAACAATCAAAATCAAAAAGTGTCGAGACCACTCAAAAAGCTCCATTCTCTGTTTTTACCAAAAAAAAAAAAAACAAATTTCAGACGAATTTGATTTCAGATGAATTGGATGACTATAAGAGAAAGTACATTGTTAAAAAAAAAGAAACAGAAATTGTTTTACACTTCTGCAGACGATGAAGTCGTTGGCGTTCTTATTCAATGCTATTCAAAATGATAGACAAAGTATTAATAAGACGGAAGACTCATGAGAAAACTGACATCAACGTCAAAAAAAATAGAAGTGTTGCGCATCAAAAATTGCAAATGAATCATTTCTCTTGAAAATTTGCTATTTTCAATTTCAACTAAAAATTGGAAAACTCGAGGAAAAAAGAAGTTGTGTGAGGCTCTGTGAGATTGTTTTTTGACAAGTTCAAGTGCGACAAGAACATTTTAGTGCTTATTGTAAAATGTTTTCAACATGTGTTCCGATAATTGTCGCTCGTCTCGTCGGTCGCTCGTGCGCGCAAACCAACTCATTCATTTTGGCGAATTATTCATTATTTGATGACTACATATATGTAGACACGATCGGAAAAGCATCGAACTCGTTGGCAGTAAATCGAAAATTCTGAGAGAGAGAAAGAGAGAGAGAGAGAGAGAGAGAGAGAGAGAGAAAGCGAAGAGAGAAATTTCGACGTTTTTGGAATCATCCGAAATCGGTAAACGCTAGCTCAAATTCGGAATGGATGATTTTTGCAAATTCTCAGACGAAATTTGATTTTCAACCGAGCAACTTCTCAAACTCAAATAAAATGCCAATAAATGTGCTTCACTCGAACTAAAAAAAATGAGGAATGAGAGAATATACGCGTTTACGAATGCAAATCAAATGCAAAAACGTGAGAATATTCCACAAAAAATTATTTTAGAATTCGAGGCGAGAATCTACGGCTTTCAATTCTATTCATTTATAATAATAATATAAAAATGTCACGATTTTCCTTTTTCGCTATTTCGATAATAAATGAGCAAATATAATATAGGAATACTATTTTTGGATTTTTGTTTCATTGTGAACAAATGCGAAAATTTCCGCCACAAATGGAAATAATAATTGGAGAAGAGCAGGAGGAACTGAGCCGACGATGAGCTGGACCAGCTCATGTCCGAGCCCGAGCCCGATTGCAACAACACACAAATTTTGCGATACATTTGGTCCACTTGGGTGTCTCGTGCCCTCTCCGCCTGCTTCTCCCAACGGCCTAGTCGAACCACCACAATCGAAGCGCTCAATATCTCTCACTCCGCGCTCTCCTTCAGTTTCTGTCGGCGACAGAAGAAAAAAAAACTCCAAAAAGCTTTCCGTTTCTTCTTTCGAAAAACACCAAAAAACGCGCACCACTGCGTGTGTTTTTCTTTTGAAGTTACCAGTCAAATCCGAGCACCGCGGAATTCTCCCCGAAAAAGTAACATCGTTCCAGAAGCTCCGCAAAGAAATGAAGAAAAGAAGTCCAAAAGATCATTTGTCGATAAAAACAAAAACCAATATTTGACGAAAGCGAACATTTGCGACAAAAATAAATTGAAAACGAAAACAAGACGAACATTTCAATGCTCGAGTTTTGACAGATAATCCGCTGGGATTATAAAATTTCACTAACCAAAAAATACGAAAAAATATTTCTAGAATTTTGCGGATTCGGTTACTCAATCAAATCAGTTCTTTGCTGCGGACGGCGAGGACTGCTAAGCAATGTCCAGTCGTCCGAAATGCAGCTGCTCCAGCCCGCCATTAATGCTTCATTCTCCATGGAGACGCAGACATCGCTTAGTAGTGACCGGTCACCAACATGCCTCAATTGGAAGGCGCGCATTGCAATTAAACATGTTCATATCCTTGCCAGTTTAATAAAAACGGAGTTAAAGACTTTACTTCAAAAGGAATTCAACAGATACAACGAGAAAACGATAACAAAACGGCATCTGTATTAAGATAAATAGAAACCGGAGTTACATCGTCAAGCTCATGATTGCGTTGACAATGTCATTGTTAGTCTCCTTGAGAGCTCTAATTGCCTTGTTGCGAGTAGTATTGGCCTGAGAAATGACAAGCTCAATGTCTTTCTCTTCGATTCCAGTTGAATCCTCCTGTAAATTTTGGTATTAACTTTAATTTAACAACTATTTTTGTACCTCAACATCTTCATTCTCGTCCTCCTCAACGGTCTTGAGTTGCGGAGCCTCACGAGTTGGCTTCATGTTTTCAATAGCGGACATCTGAGCGTGTTGAGTAAGATCCTCAATCTTGGCCTCTCCGAAGACGATGTAGGTATCAGATCCCGGGCTCTTGAAGACGTCTGGCTTGTTGATAACGAACAATATGTTCTTCGACTTGCGAATGCAGACACGGGAAACACCAGTGACTTGTTTAAGTCCGAGCTTCGAGAAAAGCTTACGAGCCTTCTTCTCAGAGCGACTTTGCTTAGCCTGCTTATCGACCTGGTCTCCAAGACCGGCGGCTTCAGCCACGCGTCTCTGCTCCTCGGTGAGCTCTCCACCCTCATTGTCGGAGTCATCAGACGCGTCCACTTGCGGCTGTAAATCCAATCGTAAATTAAATCAAGAATTTGTAATCTAACCTCCTTAGCGATCTCTTCAGCGCGAGTTTCGGTACTTCCGGTCATTATTCAAATCGTAAAACCCTGAACAATTACAATACTTTAAATCATTAAAAGAAGATGATATAGACAGAGCGATTAACGCAACTGAGAACAATCTTAAAAGTTCGACTAAAATAAATTTTATAAAATCTTTATTACATGAAAACCAGAAAAGGCAATTGGGATAATATACAAAGTAAATGTACGGTAATGACGTCGGTAAACGACAAGCTTCCAGCGCAAAGAACCAAGAACGTGAATAAGAAGGCAAATCTATACAATCACAACGAGTCTTGACAATCACGACCTATTCGTATCTAAAGATCAAACCCTAAAAGCAAAGGGTGCATTTACATACCCAAAACGATCTATATCACAACACAAGTTATCACAAGTTTGAATAAAAATACAATATTACAAGGTAAGTTACTCATTACCAAATCCTTCTGTCATTTCGATAGCCATCTTCAATTTTTCTGCTAACTGTTCATAGCTTCGATATGGCGGAAGGTCGAGTCGATTGAAGCAAGTGTGAGACCTAGGAAGCCAGTTCTCCTTGCCAACTCGTTCGATACAGAACAACTGAGGTCCCGTTGAGCCCATCAATTCCGAAAATCCTCCAACAGGAACGCGGCATGTACCGGTTACAAATTGTAACAATCTTGCTCGTTTCTCCTGATCAAGACTTCGAACCCATTGCCAAAACCATGTGACCTTAGTATTACAACGTCGCTGTTGCCCCCAAAAACTTGATATTACCTGTTTGCTTTGTGGCGCGTAGTGTCTGTAGACGGTGTTTCGCTGCCAATCATCAACATCGACGTCTTGCATTCCGCAAAGCAACAGTTCGAGCTCTCGTTCATCGAAATATTGCATCCACTCGATCGGAAAGACAGAATTGAAGCCAGTGAAAAATGCTTTCGTTTGCTGTTCAACACCACGATTGAACCTCCATTCAACCAATAATTCGATGTACTCCAGCTATAATTATAGCAAGTTTACAAATACAGAAAACATATTGACAGCGTCGCGCGGCAGCGAAAAATTGGTTTAATCCCAAAAAACAATGTCAGTGACCTTGGCTCAAAACTAAGTGTAAATTTACGGGCTTATGAGATCTTTTTTGGCATTTAGCCAATTTTCCGCAATCGCACGACTTCGACAATAATTACCTTATTGGCTTCTGTAACCGGAAGGTCGGCCCCGCCTTCTTTGAGCTCATACGTTTTGAGTTCACCTAGCAATTCATAGTCAGCAACGAAATAGAGCTCCATGTCGCATTCATCAATATTGTTTTCTTTTATCCACATGAGAGAGTTGTAAATATCGGAATCGACCTGTTCGATATCCTTGAGGACTATTTTTTTATTGAGCATCTTTTTGTAGAATGGCATAGTGAACCCGCTATAAATGAATTTCCCATGGAAAAGAGCCTGAAAAAAACATTTTGCCTATGGCATTTCGGTTAAACCACTCACCATAGCAATGAATCGGCCTATATATTCAAAATATTTTAGATGATCCGGATTTACAAACGAGGCAGGATTAATTTGAAGGCTATAATTGTTGTTACCCGCATACATAAACAAGCAGTACATTGGGTTCAAGACTTCGTGTGAAAGAAGGAAGAACCACTCCCTTAAAATTGGGAATGAGTTGTTGTTTCGAAATATTAATTTACCTAGCGACACCTCCATAATCGAGCCCTTCTTCTCCTCTAAATTGAATATACAACCTTCTGCGCAAGTCCACAGCGTTCTTCCTCATGATTTCTTGGAACGAATCTTCGAAAACGTTTGTACGGGAAACTGTGATTTTCACGTGATTCGGAACGCTATTCGACTAAAAATGGGTATGCGAGTTAAGCACCTAAACCGGGTGAGTTACCAAACAAAGATAGCGAAATTGAGCAATTTTCCATCGAAAACTCTTTTCAATTGCCATTTGAACGCCAGCAACTCCCAACGGTCCTACAGGTTTTCCAGTGCGTGGATCATTGTAAGTAGTGGTCTTGGATTGATGGTCAATGAAGAACGGAACACCTTGCTCAGTAAATCTCATCTCCCAACCGTCTGGAAGCGGCTGGTCCGATCCTCTGAACAAAACTGTATTCATAAATATTTTTAATCAATAAATTTACCCTTGCGTTCTTGGATCCTCCCATTGCGTTGTTCTATTCACATGATTTACGAAATAGGTCCGGCCGGTGTTTGGATCATTTCTCTTCTCCCAACCCTCTGGCAACGGACCCAACGGATCATCAGCACTAAAGTTGTGTTGCTGAAATGATAACAGTTGTTAGTTGTCGCGAGAACTTTAATAACCTGTAGCAAGAACCGTTGTTCCCATTGCATCATTGCTTGGTCTCTTCCAGATTGCCATTGCTCATGTGCTTCAAGCATGTCTACAGTAGGTCGTTGCCAGGTGGTAGTTCTGGTGTTATGGTCAACGTAATACACCTGAACAATTTTTGCAACTGGAATAGAATTATATTAACTTACGCGTCCTCGTGGATCTCTGCGCATCTCCCATCCGGGAGGCAGTGGTTGATTGGATGGCCGCTCCCAAGTTGTACTTTTTGTAGTGTGGTCGACGTAATACTTTCGTCCATACTGGTCGAATCGCATTTCCCAACCATCCGGAAGTTGTTCCTCAACAACTGTGGGAGTCGGTTGAGCTGGAACTAATGTATCTCGTTTAGCCGATGTTGTTCTTCTTCCAGAAGACGCAACACCATTAGAAGTCGATGCTTCTGGTGTATCACCTCTCGATGAACCTAAAATGGCAATACTAGTTATGCTAAAATGATTAATGCCTTACCTGCACTTCGTCTCTTTTTGTCTATAAAACCAGCGATTGCTATGATTAAGGACCCTACTTTGGCTCCATCTTTTGAAATAAGCGAAATCGTCATTTCAGGAACTTTCACTAGAAGCATTTTACTAATCACTATTGAAAATTGGTCATTCTTACATTCTCCATTTTCATTTCGTTCCAGTAAAGCTAATTTCAATTTCGCACTTCCTAAGCACGAGTCTTCAAATAGCTTGGCTTTCTGCAGAACGCGAAAATTCAGAACGGCAGTATCGGTAGCGGCAATATTAAGAAGCTCTCCCCATTCTGGTGTCGATGTTTTCTTTTTTACCGACGTCTTCTTTGTGCTAATGGTTGGCGAATCAGAACTCACTTCAACGTAACAATCGGCAGCCTTATTGACAGTCGCCGATATAACTAAATTATAGATATTACGCAATCCATCGCAACCAAGTATACTTACTTTTAATCGTAAGTTTTGAGGATTTAGCAGAGCCGTTCTGTAAAGACACTCCATTTGCGGCGGAGCTTCCTGGTTGTTGACTGGTCTCATTCCGAGCCATTCGATCAACAAACTGGCTGAAAAATTGCGAAATAAGTTAATTAATTGACGTGTAAAACAAAGCATTCAACGTGACTTGTCTCAGGGCACTGAGGTAAATAGAAAGAATTTTTAAAAAATTTTACTAGGGTTCCGCAGCGAAAAAATCTATAACCATCGAGAAGTTTTCAGATGATACGCAAGCCATTCCCAAAATCAATACAACCTGCACATCAAACTCTGGTCGGCGCGGCAATTCAAATCGTGTGCGTTGGGGCACACTTGCAGCCGAATTTTCGACGCATTTTCCAGAAACAGATGATGTGCAGTATTGTCGAAACATGACGAATGTGAAAAACTGCAGCGATATCCTATGTATTGTGTGCGTACACCGAGTCGCACAGTTCAACAAGAGCTACAGTAATCCTCAACTAAAATTTATTTATTTTTTTATTTTATTTTTTTCGTTTTTCCGTATTTTCTTGGAGAATTTTTGGTTTTATGTATATTTTTTTTGTTGGAAAAGTGTAATAGCAATATTTTTTTGTATATTATTAAAAGATAATTGTTTTACATAAATAGAAACTATCTATTTTTCGAAAAAACATTTTAAATATCATTTTCGGCAATTTTTGCCTAGAGCTTGTCAACTTTTTAACGTTATTGTAACTTGTTCGTTTCTTTTTTTCTTATGCGTTTATGTATTCATTATTTATTTGTTTCAGGTGAAGAAACACGTAACCGGCCGAATAAGGATAGCCGAAAGAGCAGCCAGTCAACTATTTTGCAATTGATCAATTGTAATTTTTCCCCGAAGTCTTAATTTCTATCATTCATTCAAATTTAGGAATTTTCTATTCTAATAATTCTATTTTATCTTTTTTTTTGTGTATAATATGACTAGTGATCTTCTAGAGCGATACATTTCTTGTGAAATCTGAAATATGCGAAGGTTTCAAATAAATAGATATAAGTATATACAACATGTTTATGTTTAACAACAAAATAAGATGTTTGTGGCTCTTAGGAGAGCCGTTGGGTTTCTGCCGACGAATTAAATCACCAATATTCGATCAGGTGAAGAGAGCGACGTCGAAACGAGCGGCTTTCGTTTATCCGATGATGAGCAAACTTGATAATCTGAATATTATTTAATAAGTTCTATCTTTAAACTACAAACCATTTTTTATTTTTTCTCTTCGTCGACGATGACTGCCGCATGATCTGCAATTTAACCACAAAGCACGCATCTTTTTCAATTTCAACAAACTTATTTTATTTTCCATTCATCTCAAAAAATAATATTTTTAAAGTTTTAAAAATTTTTTAAATAAGTTTTCTTTCTAGCCAAAAGGTGAAAACATAATAAAAACTTATCTAATAGCAAAATAGCTGACTGGGTGCTCTTTCGGCTATCCTTATTCGGCCGGTTACGTGTTTCTTCACCTGAAACAAATAAATAATGAATACATAAACGTATAAGAAAGAAAAGAAACATGCACGTTGCAATAACGTTAAAAAGTTGATAAGTTCGAGGCGAGAATTGTCTAAAACGACATTTAAAATGTTTTTTTTTTTTTCGAAAAATAGATAGTTTCTATTTATGTAAAACAATTATCTTTTAATGATATACAAAAAAATATTGCTATTACACTTTTCCAACAAAAAAATATACATAAAACCAAAAATTCTCCAAGAAAATACGAAAAAACGAAAAAAATAAAATAAAAAAAATAAATAAATTTTAGTTGAGATTACTGTAGCTCTTGTTGAACTGTGCGACTCGGTGTACGCACACAATACATAGGATATCGCTGCAGTTTTTCACATTCGTCATGTTTCGACAATATTTAAAGTTCATAAAGTAATGAAAATAATATCAAATAACGAAAAACAAAATTTTACAAATTCAATATTAATACAGAACATTTTTCTCTCATATCGAAGATGTTGTAGAGAAGCGATTGAGGAAGAAAGAAAGAAAAACATATAATATATATTTACATTCACAGCACACATCAAAAGGAAATAAGAGGGTTTCAACGTTTTCTTTTATTCGTTTTCAAATTCGAATTGGCGCGAAACCAATTATCGACGTCTAGTTTATATTTTCGGCCTTCCTCGAAGACCTTGAGCTCGAGGGCTGCGAGTTTCTCGGTTTTTCTCTCGCCGTGCATTGTGCTTGCGATAATGCCTACAAGTAGAAAACGAAAGAATAAGAAATGCCACTTTCAACACGAGAAATAAAAAAACGTTCGTACCGCCGAGACGTTGTGTCAATGTGGCGAGCAAACATTTCGAGAGTTTGTAAGCGCCGTCAGGATCCTCCTCTTTTATAAGTTGACACAATTCCATGCCAACCGCATAGAAATACTGATCGGTGCGTGCCATGTTGATGTTCTTCGCGTCGGCAGTCAGCACACTTTGCATAGTGGTTCCATACATTTGAGGAAGGGCAACCTTCAATTCATCGTTTTGAGATTTTAATTGAGAAACCAATTACAGTGCAAATATTTTTGACCGAGTCAATGAGCCAGTATGGAGCATCAGCCGAATATCCTTCAGAAGTGTGATTAGGCCGAGAGATTCCAAGCATCTCCGAATAGAATTCTAAACATTTGGAGACGTCGTTATTCAATGTCTTCTATGATTTTTATCTATTGTTCATAATTTAGCTATTACATTCACCAAAAAAACGTGCACCCTGTGCTAATTACGGTAAGTTAGCTTCGCAGGCTATCCGTAGTAAGGTTCACGAATTTCCACTATTTAAATTCAAATTTGAATTGAAGCATCGAAAATTTGCGAAGGAATACAATTATGCAGGGGCTCGTTTCTTTGCGATGGTAATTCATCATCCCAAAAATTTCACTTTACTTTATGACTCAAGGTGCAAATAAAAAATTTTCACCTGCTGTTTAAGCATATTTCCCAAATCACAATCAAAATTACCTTCTGACATATTTTCAGGGTTCATGACACACGAAGTAGCCTCCGATTTTGCGATTATGTCATCAATATCGAAAAAATTTGAATCGACTCGTTGGATTTCATCCATCTGAAATGAATGATAGCTATCCTTTAGGAAATGAACCAGTTTTGAAAACGTTAATGATCATCTCATTGTTCACAAATGCAAATGGCCTATTGTTACTAGATATCCATTTAAAATCAATCCAATTATCTATGCGGGATATTCATTTTTTATGGGAAAAATTCTTGTTAGTTGAACGCGCATAGATTTGTGTTTGCCTTACTCATGAGAAAAAAAAACTAGCAACGTAGGCCATGCATGTGAATTGTTTGTATCTTATGCAAAGAAAATTATAAACGCGGAAAATTTTGAAGGGAATGAACAATGTTTGTCCAAATTCGTCAGAATGAGTAATGGAGGCAATATTTCGGTGCTTTCTGAGCGAAAAAAAACGAAAATTTGAAAAAAATTTTTAAAGAAAAATCATTTATAGTTGGATTCAGGTGATAGAAAAAAAACAAATATTATGCAACTTGTAACTACACTGTTTTTAAGCATTCCTGTTTAACACGATGATTTTTCATCTTCAGCTTTTAGTTTAGAAATGTGTCTGTTGGCAATAGGTCGGAAAAGTAATTGTCTGTTTTAGAAAATTCGAAAATATGAAAAGAATCTTTGAGGTGATTAAAAACGCCAACAATTTGAAAATTTCCTTTTCGCCGCCGTACTGTCTGCACGTACACTGACGACATTTTGCACAGTCAAAAATTAGCGATAATTCAAATATAAATATTTATTTAAATGATATTTAGCATATTTGAGCATTTCATTTATTTCTTTCCGTATCCGGCACATGGGTTTGGGCATCCAGAAGTCATGCAGCAGCCACCGCCGCCACCGATGCAAGCCAACGACTCATTGGTGTTGATAGCAAGAATGATGAAGCAAGTGAAGACAACCTATATTATCAGAATGGAAAATAAGAAAATTGCGATTTTTTGACTCACAGCCTTGACGATGGTTTGGAAAATGGTAGACATGGTCGAATGTGATGAGATACTGTGGCAAACGTTTGAAGCTACTTCGTATTTATACCAATCTGCCAAACCTCATCTGAATACGATCGAACAACATTCATCGTCCGGTTTCTCTCCGAAACGCGCACTTTTTTCGGCGATTTCAAGACGACGGGCGGTACGATGGCGTCCAGCAAAGCTCGTCGCTGTTTGATACATTTCGGCGCGGCAAAATCTAATCACGACCAGAATACTGGTTGTATTACACACCGCGGAATCCGGATATAACCAAACGACGCCACCATGCCATTGCGCCCAATTTTTATTGAGGCGATTGTATGACTATAATGCGATTTGTTGCGTGTACGTTCTGGAACCGAAATCATAATCGAGAAAATTGAATCACATTTCAAACATCCTATTATTAAATTAAATTACTTTGCACTTTTGACTATTGAAGGATTTAAAGATGAATGAATAAAGTCGAGCGTTTCTTAAATCGGTTATCAAAAGATCAGTCCACTAAAAAAAAACAGGTTGGCTATAAAAATACGCAATAAAATGAAATGTTTAGATTTTTTAAAGCTGAAACATAGCCATTAACACGTTATTTCCTGTAGAATTGAATTATCCCTGTGAAACCAAGATTAAAGGCACATGCGCCGCTTAAACCGCTCCAAATCATGAATTAATGTCAAATTGATTTTCTTCAGTTTTGTTTTCTTCACATTTTCAAGTAAAAACATTGGGTCGATTAATTACAGCAGAAATCTAATTTTCCCAGGGGTTTTGCATAAAAATTGATTGGTTTCAAGACCAGTTTTCTTCATGATCGAAATCCACAAATTATTATTATTATTATTATCGAATCATAACCAATCATTAATACTAATTAGCATATTACACAATTTCGAGATTTTCCTTCTTCCAGACAGGTTTCGAAATGAAATTGAATTTTCCATTAAATGAATTTTTAGCCAACATTCATTTGGAGTTGTCGTTAAGAAATAGACAAAAGGAACTCAAATATTTTGCAGGTGTTTTTTGCTCATCTCATTTCGTTATCAAAAAAAAATATTTCAGCTTATGTCGAGATGCCCCACTTGACTGAATATTCAATCTGCGTCAAGTGTCATGCATTCGGATCGAACAATTTTCGCCTCTTTTTTTGTTCAAAATTCTTCTGAATTTTATTTGTTTTCCCATCGTCATCATGTCGTTTCAAGCGCTGGTAGGTCGAATTTGAACAAACTTTTCTTTTTTTTTTCAAACCAAAAATGGGCAAAACTCCAAACAAAAAAAAAGCGAATAAAGAGGCGAGTGTTGGGTGAAAGGGTCGCTTATCACATTATAAATTGTTGAACAAATTCAACCAAAATCGTGGTTTCATCAATTTTTGGTCTATCTTCCCACATGTTTTCAATTTTTGTTTCAAAGGACTTTGAATTTTCTGTGTTATAAGTAATACTAGCTAGTATTCATTAATGTGCGTCGAATCAACCGCATGCGCCTTTAAACGATGTCTCATTTCCTTTGTGTTTATTATTAGCACTAGAAGTTCTCAATTACCTTTAAACAATCCCACGTTGAAAACAGATTTAAAGGCACATGTGAAATCTTTGAGAGACAATGGGGCTAATTTTTTTATGCTCCATATCTATTTTGATGGTTTTGATAGTCCATATCTTGCTAACAAGAAGATTGTCCAATTAGGAACTTAAGTTCTCCATTGAAAATCTTCTAAAAAAATTGTAAGCAAAATAAAATCAAAGAAATATTTAGAAGAGCTTCGGAAGAATAATATACAGTTTTTTTTTGACAAACAGTTTTTGAAATTTATTCACTAATTTTGAAATTTTTTGATGTAATTCTGTTTAGTCATTCAATTTTTGTACGAAAATCGTAAAATTCCCAATTTTTTCTCGAAATTCACACCAATAAAATTATTATGGTCCTCGAATTGAATATAATATTTCCAGCTTTTTTTTTTGTCAAAAAAAGTGTATAGTGAGAAGTGTAAAATTCTTATATATATATTTTTTTTACAAATAACATTATTTCAGAACGCATTTGCTGACATCAGCAATCAGATTTTGATGGCTTCAACAGTTCCAATGGATTTCGATTATGTTCTCACACAGGTTGAAATTCTTTATGTTCGAAATATCTATTTTTCATTTTAAAATAGTTTTTTTGAGTTCTTGAAATCAATATTTGATTTTTAATGGATTTTAAAATCCCCTCGAGACCATATTTAGACTGCCTATTCTTTTTAAACTATTCAACTATTTCACACTTTGAAAAAATTTAGTCTTAAACTGTCCGTAGGTATATCAATTGTCTCTTGTATCACATATTGTACTCCTTCTAAATACGATTGTGAATAAAATTTGACAGGTCGGCGATTATGGATTTTATCAGATAATGTTCTTCTTCATAATTTGTCTTCCAGCAAGTTTACCATCAGCATTTTCAGGTTTGCCGATAATTAAAGTATCAAACCCAATCATCAACATTTGCAGCTTTCAATCAACCATTCGTTGTTGGCAGTCCTCCTCATATATGTCATATTCCTCCCGGAAAAGATTATTTGAAACCACTGACGACGGATGAAGTTGAACAGAATTTGAAAGGAATTTCGATAAATTTTCACAGAATTTTCTAGAAAATCCTCAAATGCAAACAATACAATGAAACTCAAATCAATATGTTTCGCGGGGTCACGTCGGCACCAGTTGATACTTATAGGTATCACACGTCGGATGCGATTGATGTTAGACAATTGAATAATTCAGTGACCGTCTTGACTTGATCCCATGCCAACATGGATGGGATTATGACAATTCGACATATGTGACAAGTCTCGTAACGGAGGTATATGAGTTTTTTCTCGAAATAAGCCCAAATTGAATTCGAGTCTAGTTCAATTTGGTATGCGATCAAGAGCATTGGATTGAGCTGACAACAACCTCGTTTTATGTCGGCAGCTTCATCGGAAATTGCCTTTTTGGATATATCGCTGACAAGTTTGTTTGTTTGCTCGCTTGAATTTGTCCGCACATCGAATATCTATTACAGTGCGTTGCAGAATTATAAGGCCACCCCCAAATTTGAACGCCGCGCAATGATTTCGATATTTTGAGACCAACCAGTGTGAAAATCGTGTTCAGCATGAAAAATAACCTATATGTACCTATTTTTATGTTAGTACCTTCAAAAGTAACCGCGTTGTGGTCCGAAACCGTTTTTTCGAGCGGTGCAGAATTATAAAGCCACCCCCATGAAATACGTTATAAACTCAAAGATAACGACAGTTTAATGTTTAGTGGCACCTCCATTCGAGGTTATAACATCGAAAACACAGTCTGGCATAGATTTGAGAAGGTTTTAAACATATTGGGACGATTTAGATTTGATTTCTGCTCTAACGTCTTCCATTCGACTACGATTTCGGTTTTGAGCTCTCCAACTCCCCGAATTTCCTTCCTTGGCCATAAAGACGCCGTACTAACTCTCCCCAAATGTTCTCCATGTTACTCCAAAAAGGAGAACATGCTGGCCAATCGAGAACGTCCACACTGTGAGACTGAAGCCAGTCCAAAGTAGACCGACTCACATGAATGACCGAATTGTCCTGTTGAAAAAGGACAATAATGACGTCGGAATGGAAGAATATGGCTCTCAAGAACATTCTGATAATCCGAAGAGTCCACCCTACTCGTCAGAAAAGCCAATTCCAGAAATCCGGCCTCCGAAAACGCTTCCCCCATAATATCACGCTTCCTTCTCTAAAATTGAGTTTTGAAAGCAGGAGGCGATTCTTTCATAACTCGGGCCAGAAACTGTTATAGCCGTCTGGGCCATCCAAATTATTTTTTTTTCATCGGAAAAAATAACCTGTTGAAGTTTGAATGGTTATTATTCACAATATTCTCGAAAGTAAGTACCTTGTTCCAATCCGTATTAATGTTTCTGCGTGCGAACTCAAGGCGTCGAATTTTATAATCCTCTGTGAGTCGCGGGACCGGCTTTATTTTTTCTCTAGCGATGTTGGGGTTATTCTTGATGGTTCCCCAAACTGTCCACTTGCTTTTGTCGAAGTTTAGCTTCTTCTTGATGTCATTTGTACACTTCATACTGCTCGAAGCTGTTCGAATGCTTGCTCGATTAGCGCGATAGTCCAGTTTTCCTCTGCCGCCTGACTTTTGCGACATGTTGACACGAGTTGGATCCTTCACAAAGATGTCTACGAATGTTTTCGGACCATTTAAATTCTTCGAAACCCGACGGTTCGACCATCCTGCCGTTTTGAATGCGATAATCTGAGATTGCTCAGAAGCACTAAGACAGCGACCACGTGGCATTTCAAAATCATTCAAAATGTGAAAAATAAGGACCACTGTAGGTTCTCAAAGCTACACAGCAATTTTTATGCACACTGGTCCCGCCAAAGTTTCAAAAAAATGCGAAAAAGTTCGTTTCATGGGGGTGGCTTTATAATTCTGCACCGCTCGAAAAAACGGTTTTGGACCACAACGCGGTTACTTTTGAAGGTACTAACATAAAAATAGGTACATATAGGTTATTTTTCATGCTGAACACGATTTTCACACTGGTTGGTCTCAAAATATCGAAATCATTGCGCGGCGTTGAAATTTGGGGGTGGCCTTATAATTCTGCAACGCACTGTATTGATTTCAATGTTCTCATTCGTTATTGTGAATCCAAAACGAAAATTTATTGGAGATCTTCCAGATTTGGTCGTCGTCGCTCGTTTTTCGTCATTCTCACCGTTCTAGTGATATGCGGAACAGCGAATGCGTTCGCTCCAGATGTCGAATCGTTCATGATTCTACGATTCTTCACCGGACTTCCATTTCCAGCACTTTTTCAGATTCCTTTCATTATCTGTTAGTGTGAGGCCCAAATTATTAATGCAAATATAAAATTGAGGTATGGAATTTATGGGAAGTTCTGGCCGCATCTTCTCGGGCCTCATGATCTCGTTGTTCTTTGGAGCTGCGATGGCCCTCCTTGGAATTGTTGCCATGTTTATCAGAAGGTTCAATCAACCCAATAGAATGTCGTAGACGGACGATTTTGAGAAATTTGAATTGCGAGCGCTGCCATTTAATTGGTCTCCGCTCATTCGGCACTTGTGCAAAAATCTTAAAATTCATTAAAAAAATATATATATATGCTCTTTCATATTATGGTAGTTAGAAAACGTAAAAATCGCTCCTAAAAGTTTTTCCATACGAGACCCAAGGCGGCAATTCAAACAATAAAACAATCGCACCCCAAAATTGTCCGTCGTCGACTATAATGGAATATTGAAAATGATTCCAGATGGCGTCAATTGACATTTGTTTGCAATGCTCCATTTGCGGCTCTTTTTGTGTATTACTTGTGAGAAATGGTTTATGAGAAGATGCGTTTCAAATCGATTTCAGTTTCCTTCCTGAATCGCCTCGCTGGTCGGTTTCTGTTGGAAAATGGGAAAACGCGAAAGCACAATTAAAGAGAATTGCAAGCTTAAATGGAAAATCTGATGTGGATGTGGATGGATTAGTAGAAGAGGTTCGCTCAGCTCATCGAATTATGCATATCTACTTGTAAGCAAACAATTTCAGCTAAAACGACATCATCATCTTGCTGAATCTCAGAACAATAATGACGATGAAGAGAAGACAAGCCACAATATTTGCGATTTGTTCAAAACGCCGAACCTTCGAAAGAAGACCTTATTAGTCACTTATATTTGGGTGATGAATGCCATCATCTACAACGGATTAACATTGAACGTCTCGAATCTACCAGTTGATGACTATTGGAGTTTTATTATCAATGGAGCTGTTGAGCTACCCGGATATTTTATGGTTTGGCCTTTGTTGCAATGCGTCGGAAGACGTTGGACCCTAGCGACGACGATGATCGTCTGTGGAATCGGATGTGTTTCGGCGATGTTCGTACCGCCAGGTGAGATCGCAAAATAGAAATGTTCTATCGGTAAATCACATCGGCGACCGCTCGGTACCTGATATGGATTCCGATCGCCGTCAGCTCTGAAGCTTCTGCTCGTCCTTTACAACGTCCTGTGATTTACCAAAGTATCAAATATGTTTTGAAAAAAGTCAAAGGCAAACATTTATACATATATTCTATTTTTATATTAAATCAATGCTGCGGACATTTTCCAGAATACCCTTGGCTTGTCGCGAGCGCCTCATTCATCGGCAAATTCGGCGTCGGCTCTGGTTTCGCCGTCATCTACATTTTTGCCGGCGAACTCTATCCAACCGTAGTTCGGGCTCTTGGAATGGGAATGAGCTCAATGGTAGCTGGAAGTGGGCTCCTTCTAGCTCCTCATATCGTCAAATTAGGACAATATTGGAAGATTTTGCCGCTTTTGATAATGGGATCGATGGCATTGTCGGCCGGAATCCTGACGTTTTTCCTACCGGAAACCCTCGGAGCCCCATTGCCAATGACAATCGAGGACGCCGAGAATTTCGGTAATCTCAATTATCATATGAATTGCATTTAGGCTAGAATTGTCGTCTAATATTCAGGCAAAAAGGTGCAACCTGATGGATTGTTCACACAGGCAGCAAAGAAACGCGAATCTCAACCATTGTTGGAATCGACGCCGAAAATCTGACGACCGTCAATAGAATTAATTGAATTCGTGCCAGAAATGCTTTAATTTTCTTATTATAATTAATATTAAAATGTTAGAATTTTTAAATTTTAAAACGAATGAAAGCAATTTGTGTTATGTTTTTTTTGTCTTCACCCGACCAATGTTGGATTCGCCTTATTTTGAATGAGTTGGTCAACAATCTAAACATCATCATTTTGATCTACGCTCGTCCGAAATTCAAACCTTTTCACGATCGACCAAGTGCAAATTGAGATTGGGAATGATGTGGGCAAAATTGAGATCAATGTCGTTTTCACGTTCGTAGAAGTGCGCTTTAAACGGAAATCGTTGATTCGTCGTCGGAATCGGAAAATTCATTCGGGTATGGTAGATGTCTGTCAGCTCCTCGTCATGCTTCTCAAGAGTTTCCTCTTGGAAATCGAACATCTTCAAATAATTGCTTTTAATTTTTTATGAGAGGGGGGGTCGATTGAATACCTCATTGATTCCGGGTAGTGGAATATCGAGGGCTACGGCGTGGCTTGTGAATTTCTCATTATCCACTTCAGCACCGACGATGAATGAGTTCTAGAAATATCTGAATATTAATGAAAAAAATGTGCCTCGGAAAGTTTCAGTAAATTATTTTTCTTTCGATTTTTCATAATCGAGCGTTTCCTTTGTGGAAATAAAGGAAATAAAATAATAAAGAAAGTATTTCGAAGTAGAAAAAAATTAGTTTTCCACTTTTCAAACATTTCCCCTTTTTCTCTTCATAACGGAATCGCTCTAAAAATCAAAACTAGAGTAATGAATATCTGATGACCTTCTGATCGATGCGTCGGAATCTATATAATAACTGTAAAAGCAAATTAAAAAAAAGGGAGTTCTTCACAAAGTAACACTAATCAAATTCGATGCACTTAACTGAGATTAACCAACATTCCTACAAATAAATAAATAAATAAATAATCTGTGAAGATATAGCTTGCTTACAATTAATATGAATATGACAATCAATCTGATGATCTTTTGATCGGATCAAAGAGTCGGAATCTATATATTAACTGTAAAAGAAAAAAAGGACCAAATAATTAATCTGTGAAAATATATGTATGTAGATTGTTTAGAAGAACGCACAAGAACGATTCGGGAAAATCGCTCCGACTTTGATGGCCTCAACAGAATTCGAGGTTCGCTCGAGGTTTTTTTCTAATAAGAGTCTGCTGAAAGTCTGCTCAAATTCTGCGCTCTTTCACGAGAAAAAAAAAGACAAATTGCAAATGTGCTTCAAGAAACTTGCTTGAAATGGTTGATGTTGTCCATCAGTGAACAAATGCGGCATATTCGCATATTCCATGTAATTCTTGCGGAGATTTAAATCTGAAATTCATTCTTTTTCAAATCCATATTTTCTCAAAACAAAAAATTGCGATGTTACTTAGAAAATTGACGCCCTGAAGAGCATATCCCGCTCCCCAAGAATCTCCAAAATCGTTGTTGGTTCCCACGGCGACCATGTGTGTGAATGGATTGAGTTGAGCGTGTCCGGAGAAATGTTTCTCCTGTCCGGGAAGCGAGACATCGGGAACCGATTGGGTTCGATGGTACAATTTGTTACCAGCGATGTACAAATTTGGGAGATAAGGACCAGAACGATGATCAGAAACACCTGCAAATAAACTACGTCAGAGAGCTTGACTTGGAGCTCGAGACGAGTTGATCATTTCTTTAAATCAAAACTTGATTACCGAAGGGTAGACGAATCAATCCAATTCCACGAGGTCTGAGACAATTGCACACTACAAAAAACATTGATTTTTATTGAAAAATTCATATTATCAAAAAATTCAAAAATTTTCACACTTTTCGAGTTCAAGGATACAAAAATTGACTCTAAACATAATTGGTTTTTTTCATGAATTGGGTAATTATCGAAAATTGCTTTTCTGGATACAATCTAGTCTTTGAATTATCTCGACTATCGGGTTTAAAGAACATATCCCTCGTCTTGTTCGTTCGAAAGATCATTTATTGCAATGTTCCATATCAAATCAATGTTAAACCCGGTTATCGTGACTTGAAAACAAAACTAGCTACGATTTCATCATCTCGCAGTTATTTTCGAGTTCAAAATGTTACTTCCAAGTGATTTCAACGAGAACACTTTTATTTTCATCAAAAAATTATTTGGTAAAATTTATTTTTTTTTTTTTAATTTTGTCTCTAAATATCAACAAAAGTCAATTTAGATTTATCCAGAGATTTTCTATAAATAAATAGTTAAATATTATTTACTGAAGAAAATTTTTATTTTCGAAATTTGCCTTAAAATGACGAAATCAAGATCAAAAAATAAATTATAAAATAATTTGTATGAAACTTTTGAATAAGAATAATTAAAGGATTTAAGTAATGAAATTTGATGGATTACCATTATTCGATATTGACAGAGCAGCAATAAGAATCGTCCATGTGTAAATGAGCATACTCTAATATTGAATGGGCTTTGATATCGACAACGAATCGAACATTGAAAGTGACGGGTGAGGGTCTCTCAAAAAAACAGTCAAAAATGAGGGAATTGTCGGCGACTGAGCGATTTGTTCGCGACTCTTCGGCCAGTGTCGTCGTCTTCGCGGATCCAGTTATCAGTCGGGCCGCAATTTCCGTGATTCGCTTGCTATTTCTCGCCCAAAATCATCGACGAGAAGCTGTTTTGTTTTGGATTTGGCTTTGTCTGCGCACCTATGAACTTTCTCATCGACACGATTCACATGCAATGATTTACAACGATTTATTGAAGGAATTGAACAATGATTTATTGATAAATTTCGATCGGAATAAAGACTGCTGCTCACAATGCCAGAAGCTTAAGGCTTGGTGATATCGCCCAATAGATTAAAAGAATTTCATCCGCGGATGGGTTCCCGGGACTTATAATTTCATACAAAACAATATAGAATTGCAACAAAAGTCTTCAATAACTCGGTTATTGATTTTTTTTCATCGTTCTGTAAATAATATCAAGCGTCATGTGTTTTACGAACACTTCTCTCTCTCTCCCGACTTTTCTGATTTTTTCGTGCCATCTTCTAAACTCATATGCAAAGCGGGTATCTCGGAAATATTTTTAAATAACAGTTTTGACTTGAGACAATTATTTTTGAGGAATTTATTATGGAATTTCCGGTAAAACATGCATGGTCCGATTTGGCCGAAGCCATTTACTCTAATGTGGACGACTTTTCACGGACTAGTGTTGGCGAGAATTTGGGCGGCCGCGCCGCGTAACTTTGTTTTTTTTATGTTTGTTGTTTTTTTTTCCGAGAAGCTTATTGATTTATCAAAAAAAGAGAAACATCGATACGACTTTTACATAAATAAACATTGAGCAAGTTTTGCACAATAAAATAAATATTTCAAATTTCAGCTAAAACTTCTTAGGAAATTACGAATGTAATGCTGAAAAGAAGGTGGTTTGATCAAATTCGAAGGAATTCTCGAAATTCTCGCTGGAATGCTGACGCCCATTTGAGGTAGGATTCTAACCCATAATTACGAATGAAAAACGTGCCAATTTTCAGAGCCCATGAGCGTACCGCGAATGTTGAGGACGAAGCCATTGTACGTGTGGACACTTGCCAACTAGCCGCCAATAATCCAATCGAAGATTTTTATTCGGCAGCGAAATGTTAGCATTGTCTCGAAATTCATTATAGAACGCTTAGGAATATTTTTAGGTCTCTCAAGCAGGGCATTTCTATTCGGAGTATTCGACGGGCATGGAGGACAACATTGTAGTCGGCATGTTTCTACTAACCTATTCCCTTACATTTGCGCATCAGTGTTGCAAAAACATGAGGTAAATTTGTTCCAATCATTTTTGGTTTTATTTTCATTTTTTTTTTCAGATAACAGAATATCCTCCAGATCGTAGGCTAGAGTGGTTGTTTAGTAGCTCAGATGGTCATCTGCCAAATTCCTTCAGGTATTAATGGACATTTCATTTTGCGAAGAGCGTGTTCTTCCTTTCTAATAATGCACAACCATTTTCCTTTTCTTCTCGTGCACTAGTTGTCCGAGAATAGCTCGTTGCGCCTGAGGCAATTAACTATACATCGCATCGTTAACTTCGTTCTTTTTCAGTGAGCTAAATATTGAGAACATCGTAAAGTACCATACATGGTTTCGTGGAAACCCTGATTTCTACATGGGAACTGTGCGCGAGGCCCTGAAAATGGCATTCGATCAGTGCGATGAGGATTTGTCGCGTCAGGCGCTTCCCAGTGGAAAAGGGACCATTGATAGGTTTGAATTTTCAAGCATCTCAAAGATATCGCTGACTTTCAGGCATGCCGCAATGATCGCCGCTTCGGGATCATGCACGACATTGGCTCATATCAGGTCTCGGCATTTACATGTTGCCAATCTTGGAGACGCCGCTGCTGTTTTAGGAGTTGTGAATTCGAATGGGAGTGTTACCGCCAGGCAACTATCGCGTGCTCATTGCATAGACAATGCGGATGAGGTCAATTGATTTTCTTGTTATTTAACATGCATTATTGATTCTTACAGGTGAACAGGATACGCTCGGCTCATCCAAATTCTGAGTCGCAGACTGTTCTACGCGGTGGAAGATTGCTCGGCGAATTGTTCCCTTTGAGAGCATTTGGGGATGTAAGGTACAAATGGCCGCTGGAATTGCAAAAGGTGAATATCGTTTTCTTTTTTGAATTTATCTAATTGTTCACTCGCTATTAATATGAGATGTTCGATAACTATTTTCCATTAGGTGGTACTTGAACCTCTTGGTCATCCTCCTCCGATGCATCTTCTCACTCCCCCATACCTCACTGCTTCTCCTGAAGTGTACTATCACAAGTTGACACCGAACGACAAATTCCTTGTTCTGGCAACCGATGGTCTTTGGGAATGGCTTGATCCTGACACGGTGGTTCGGCTAGTGCATGATCATACTTTGGGTACGATCACACAGCAGCCGTATATTCCAAAGGCAGGAACAACATTGAAGGAGGTGAATTTCGGTCAAATTTCAAAAGAATTTCGAGAGTTTTAGGTACGAAGACAGCTCAAGGAGAGAGAAATCGGGGCATCGAAAACGAAAAAACCGATTGATGAGAATTGCGCGACGCACATTATTCGACATGCTCTTGGTGGAGTTAGTGGAGGCGCAACGAGACAGTATGAGAGGCTCATCGATATACTGCAGGTTAGAGTTTGGAAATAAAATAAGAAAACGACAAAGAGTAATTCATATTGTTGAGGTCGTTGTCTACTATATGTAGAATTGGGTCACACAACATACGTGTCGATTTACGGGTTTACGCAACTCTGCGCAATCCTAAAAGTGCACCAATTTTTAAAATGCCACCCCAAAATATCACTTTCAATGTTTCAATAAATTGGAAATATTTAAGGTTCCGCCAGGAAGAGCAAGAAACTATCGCGATGATATTACCGTAATCGTAATTCATTTCAACGAAACGTTTTTGGGAATGCAAGACGATGAAGAATACGAATAATGATAATAAAAATAGTAATAATGCTTTAGTCTCGATTGTAGTTACATTTTCTCTTTATTAATAGTCCGTTTTTTTTCTCAATTTTCTCGTCCACAAACCAAATGCCATTCATTTCAAAAATGCTTTTATACAGGTATTCAGGAACGTAATTTTTTCTTTGTTTCTCTTCGTATTTAAAAAATAAGCTTCACCGGTTTATTTCTTTTCTCTTCTTGTATTTGTTCGGATTCTAGGTGTCCTCCTTCATCTGTTAATATATATTTCTTGTGTATGTATATATATATGTATATATATATATATATATATATATACATATATAACCAACCAATGTAATATCTTATATTATATATTAGCAGCCGTTTGCCGCAGTTATCACGGCGGTGTTCGATACGGTAGTCATTGATGTTGTATAGATGGATGTGATCAATTCACACCGCCTTACTTGTTGATATGCTATTTCGTTAAAAAGACTAGTTATAAAACAAGAATCCCTACGAACAATACATGAAAGTCGTTATCAGATTTCAACTTTTTGGATAAAATTACAGTACCGACTTCGCGAAATTTTTCGCGTGCGTCTTTGAAAATAAATAGCGGAAAATTATGATATATCGTGTTATTTTTTGTAATTTTCGAAGTGCGTGCTTCCGATCTGCACGGAATTCCGTCTCTTCCGTTTTTAGAAAATTTAAGTTCCATGCATAGGAAAAAATGCAAATCTTGATTTAATAAAATGTTTTCGTTGCATGAATAGGCCTATAAATGCAAAAAAAAAGTTCCAGACAATTCGCGAAATTCCAACACTTTGCAATTAATCGCAATGAAATCGTCATTGGTATACTGTAACACAGATGGACAAATGCGTCCAGACGGCAGTTATATTGTATATGACGATCACGATTCGGTTTAGTTGAATAGATTAATCAATGGTTCTAGTCGTTCATATTTAAAAAATACGTTTTCACTAAAAAAAAAAACGAGTTTCATTTCTGTTAACAGTGTCAGTAGAAGATGGGTGAGAACAAGAAGGAGAACAAATGAATGTTGGAATACTGAGTATGTACAGAAAGAGATCGAAAAATATCCAAAATAATAAATTAGAAAAGAACCATGGAATGCAATTATCGCATATATTGCTGTGGGGGTCCTGGTTGTGGTCCACCCGGTGGTGGGGCCATTCCAGGCCCTGGATACATTTGTTGGCCATCATAGCCGTGTGGAGGACCGTATGGACGCATTTCTGAAGGATTTGCTATGAAAATGATAAATTAGGCTTGTAATATTTCGGCAGTAATGAAGTTAATAGATAAGGGAAACCTATATCAGTAATATGCAAACTTTTTAACTCGAAATATATTGTCGAAGAACGAAAAATCAAAATCTCAGAAAAAAAAACAATGACAGCGGCCTTGGCGCAAAATTATAAGTAAAAACAGGGCTATTCCATTGTAAGAAAAAAAAAGAAAATTTGTGCTCGGCAAATTCATCTGATGAAACAAGATTTTTAAACACCCGACGCACATCTACTATACTGTAATCTAAAACACACACTGTGCATTTGTGCGTCGAGTGTTGGCACGGACCCTATCAAAATTCAAAATCATTACTCGAATGTTCTTCTATTATTATCGCAAAAAACAATCGCTCTGAATAATTACGGAGCATCGCAATTTTTCGAGGCGATAATTCAAGTTCAAATTTAAACAGTGGGAATTCATATACCGTATACTCGACCAGCGAAGCCAACACATCGTTAATATAATATTTTCTTCTTCTTCTTTTTTTTGGAAATGGAATCGCCCCATTTCGGGCCTATTATGGATCAATGCGTTAACAACGCTTACGAATTTAGGTAACTTTCAGACTTTGTGCAAGACTGATAAGGATAGGTTAAAAGTATACAACGCATTAAGACCTTTGCAAAACTTATGTGGTATTTAGTCAACTTACGTTGAGGAGGATATGGATATCCAGGCATTGGTCTTCCAGGCGGCATTTGCGGTGCAGGTTGTCCGAATGGCGGATACGGCTGCGGTGGCATCGGCTTTTGACCAGGATGCTGTCCAGGATGTTGTCCGGGATGTTGCCCGGGATGCATCATTGGATAATGCTGGTACGGATCGCCGTTTGGAGGTGGCGCGAATGCTGCCGGCGGTGGCGGTGGCTGTGGTGGTCCCGTTTGTAAATGGGCAGGTATTTGACCATTATGTTGCGGACCGCCATTCGCATTCTGTGCGGGTTCACTTCCTCCGTTTTGTGCTTGTGAATCATCTTTCTTCAAATAAGAAGTTTTTTTTTTATTTTGGAAAAAATCTTACTTTTAATTGAGGAACCAATGCTGGATCAGCGAGTGTAGCAAGATGAACAAGATTTCTATGAAGCAGCTCCTGATGTTTGATTGCGTCGTCTGCGCGTCCCTGAATATGAAATTACACAATCTTTATAGTATTTAAGCTATTCCGATAAGAAAAATCTTGATGTATTTTTATTTCTGAATAAATGGGAAATCTGCAATTTTTTTCTTCTTAGATAGGCTCAAATCCGGCATTCTATCGTGTCAAAACTTTTAGCGCAATAATGAAAATTTATAAATTCACTATAGTTAAAAATCGACAATATGAAAATAGATACCTGATTTTGAAGTTCCGTAATAATGTCTATAAGCCTTGAATTCTCATCTAGCAATTTCTGAACCGTAGCTTGATGATCTGCCGGATTCCCCCTTGCTGGCGGTGGCACAAACGCCAAAGACATCTACAAATTCGATTAAATCAACATAATGGAATTTGAACATGGAAGATAATAAATTGGTGAACAATTACCAAATTCAATGAATGAATATCAATTGAAGTACATGGAAAACATTTATTCGAATCTAGACATTATTGAAATTATCGATTTCTCTAGGAAGTTTTTAGATGTGACAATTTACTTGGTACCAATGCGAGTTCTGCGGTTCCACGCAAAGTTTTGACCATAATTTTTCGGTTTAATTTGGCGTGCATGCGGCTCTTCGACGTCGAAATTCCACCGATTCTTCTCACAGAACGCGATAGCATCTTCTTTGGTAGCAAATTTCAAGTCCATTGAGACATTTGAAAGAGGATCAGCACTAAATTTCAGAAAATTAGTTTAATGTCAAAGAATGAAAAATGAATACGTACGTTCCTGACCATCCCATCAAGGGGTTTTCCCATCTTTGGCGGTTATCGAGTTCGACACGCCATAGCTTAAGAATTCCATCTTGTTTTAGAGTTTTGATTATTCTAAAATTACCTTGGTGTTTCCCCACGCGCTTTGAGTAGCTTCTCTGGCTGCTTTAAAAATTCGTGCGGTGCGCTCTTCTTGGTGTTCCAATGGTACTCCGGCGATGTCCATTGTTTCATCAACAGTGACAGTAACCGGTGTCTAAAATTACAATTAGGCTTTAAAAAAACAAATAAATAATTTTTACCTTCGGGGTTTTCTTTTCAAGAATGTCGCCGAGCTCAATCTTCTTGGCGTCATGTGTTTTGGTAATTGGCAAATCTTTGCCGGACGCAAAGAATCTGAACGATTGACCGGCTTGCAAACAACGAGAAACACCCGAGCGTAACATCTGCAATATAAGAATTGAGGCGTTTCAATTAAAAATTACAAGAAATTGCGAATTTCAAGCAATGGAAATAAATCGGCGAGCGGCACGAAAAATTTGACGCGAAATGTGTGCAAACACCGCAACAACCTTTTTGCGGACATTGGCCTTTTGTAATTTTCGGCGTAAAGTTTTTTAACGACTAAATTTCCTTGATGAAACCAACGTTTTTAATAGGCTTTACTTATTGCTTGATAATTAAAAAACATTCATTATTAAGGGTATCCGTTCATAATGCCTGAAAATTCGTTGGATGATTCGAATGATGGTGGAGATAACACTCAGGAAAACACCGAACAACAGTCTGATCTAGAAGAGGAAGAAGAGGATTCTGATGGAAGTGTTTATGAAGTAAAATAATGTTAACCACTCAAATTCATCACATTATTTTAGGTTGATGATATTTTGGATGTTGATTTAGGAAGTAAAGGAATGGTTTATCTTATTAAATGGGGAAGAAATCAAGGAGAGACGTGGGAACCCGAAGATTGTTTCATAGGTATTTAAGATATTTTTAGAGTGTAATTAAAGATTTTTCAGGAACGGAGAGTAAGCAAATGCTGAGAAATTTCAAAGCGAAAAATAAGGAAAAAATTGAAAGCTTAAAAAATAAAAGTAAGTGCTGTGGATTATGAAATGGGAAAAGAATAAACATATGATTTTTTTCAAAATAAGTTGCCAAATAATGTTTTACGCGTGAATTCAATTGAAATCCACGTATCTCAAAAGACATGTGAAATCATTGCAAAAATGATTTCAGTAAAATCTAGTTTCTTGAAATTGGTGTGATTTTGAGAATGGGTGAGTCTTTTAAAGCAAAAAAGTCAAGCGAATAATGAAATAATAAAAATGAATTTCAGCTAAAAGAAGACGGAAGCAACCTAGTGTCGTTTCAGTCGATGAAGATGAGAAAAACGAGAAGGATAATGATGAGGAGGTAACATTTTGTAATTTTCCTTCATATTTAGGAGGTTTATAAATTGGCAAACTCGCCATATAATATGGAGATCGATCTGAACAACGACTTATTATTTTTTCCGCTCAGGACCTTAGCGGCGATATGGCGCCTCGCGAGCTCACCGAAGAGGACAGCTTCTACGGGAAACCCGTTCGCGATTTGCGTGGCGAGAGCCGGCGGCTGTTCGATCCGTCCCATTTGCAAACGGCAACCGACTTAGTAACAATTCACAATAATTTGTTTTTTCCTTGTTTCGTTTTAAAACATTTCAAAAAAGAAAGACTCTGTCATTAACACTATTTGTGTGTGTGTGTGTGTGTGTTTACGTCATTCACGTGAACTCAAACAATTCGAGTTGGTTTTTTTTTCAGATTCTCTCCAAACTGTCGACGAACACTCGAATATCGCGGAGTCAGGTGGCCGGACTAAAAAGGGCGTCCAGCGAGGCGGGGAGTGGCGGAGAGTTGAGTCGCAGCCAGACGCCATCCTCGCGCACCAACGTGAACGAGCTGGCGAAAAAGGAACCGGCAAAACGAGGAAGAAAGGTACGCTCTTCTCTATACTGTTTTCACTATTTACAAAAATATATAAATTATTAAATTATTTCGAATAGATATACCGCAGAAACGTGTAAAAACGAAATATGTCAAGTAGTATATACTAATTAGCAGCCACCTGCTCTCACATACACCCATTAATTAGCACACGAAACACCAAGAGAAGCGCAGAGATTAAAAGAGAATTTCGCGCGGGTGTGACGAGTGCATTTCGATATTTGAAATGTGCATTTTTCACTATACATAATTTGCAAGTTTCATTTCGAATATGAAATGTCAATTGCCAAAAATCAAGAATATAAAGATTAATTCTCGGGTAGGTCTATTGCAAAGCATTTAGTTTATTTTTTTTAATTTTCGACGAAGCAAATATTTGAATAAAGAAAACAATCTATCCAAATATTTAAAAAAAAAGTTGCGTAAATTTTGGCGCGAAAATGTTCAAAAGGAGCAATAAACAATTTGTAATAAACACTTACCCTCGACAATAACAACAAAATTAAAAAGAAAAACGAGCATAACGCATCCCAACTTTCGAATTTGACGAAATTGAAACAATCAATTTTCTTACGGACATTTCTGAATTAATGCCGTAAATCTAGATATTTTAAATGTTTAAAAATGTTAGAAACAGTAGAAATTTTTAAATAATAATAATAATAATAGATATGATTTAGAAAAGCACTCCGAAGAAAAATATTGAATCCCCTATTACAATCGACGACGATTCCGATGAGATTCAAACTATCAAAGTGATTGAGAATAATGTCGAAAAGAAACGGCGAAATGTTTCGATTTATTTTCCAAAATTATTTTGATGATCTTGCATTTTATAGGCCAATAGAAAAGGGCAATCAAAGAAGCAAATTGTGTCGGACAGCGAAGAAGATGATGAGATTAATGATGATGATGATGATGATGTTGATGATGGTGGTGATGATGATGAGCCTTTTGTGGTTGAAGTTGTTCGACCAAAACGTGGAAGGCCAAAGCGAAGTGAAACCGTTGAAAAACCAGCAAGTCAACCAAAGGTTTAAAAAATTAAAATTGAAACAGACAATAAAATAATTGTTTCAGGTCGGAAAACGCGGAAGACCAGCGAAAAAGTCCGCCGTAGTTGAGGCCGATGAGGATGGTGAAGATGAAGTTCCAGCGAAGAAGGTAAATCACAAAGTATTAAAAGTGTGTGATATTTACTTTTCAGACGACGTTACCGAATATTCCGAGAAAACGGGTTATTCTTGATGAAGATACGGTTGGATCGATATTACCGATTATTTTATTTTCATTTTACAATTTTTAGATTTCTCGTGACTCTGAATCACCTGGACCTAGTAAACCACAGTTCTTTGTTGGTCGCGATGATGATGAGGATCAGGTGGCGGATTGAATTCATTTTTATTAAGAAAATTTCGAATTTTTTTGTAGGTGCTCTCAACGCCGCCGATTGTATTCAATAAAGAGGATCCGTTTGATACTTGTCATTCAATTGTGAAAGATTTTCAATTCAACCATTCATCGGTGTGTGATGCGATGATGGAAGGAGACGTGCGAGCAGTGCAGGTTTACATTAGAAATGAGCCGATTAAAGAGCGATTCCGGGAGACAATGAACAATTATACACATAATAATCGTCCGCTTTTACATAGTGTAAGTTTTTAAATTTTTCAAAAAATAATTAAAGCAATTTGTATATCGATTTTATTAGCTTATTTATGCCGCCAAAAATTCACCATCGCCGCATGTTGCTCAGCGTTACGTCACAATGATTCGTATTGCACTACAGTAAGAATTTTTGAAGAAAAAACCAGAAAAAGTACAAATTTATGTTTAGATTCAGCCGGCAATTTGTTTTCGCCACCACGGACCCTATCCAAAACAAACCGATTCACGAAGCAGTGCGAACACGACAGGTATACACACAATAAAAAACAAATGTTTAATGCAATAAAATGTGTTTTAAAAAAAGTTAAACATTTTTTCCAATGAGGGCATGTAAAAAATGCACACTTAGTATGCACAATAATTCTTCAAATAAATTATTTGTAAAAAATATATAATTTCATGAATAAGTCCATAAACGATTCGGCATTTTCCAGTTTCAAATTCTACGGTTACTTGTGAATAGTGGTTCTCTCATTTCGCATGTGAACAACAATAGTCAGACACCTTTGGAAATTGCCGCATTGAATCGCGATGTTCGAATGTTCCGTTTTTTGCTCACTCGCGGAGCAACGTTCCATCAATTGTTGAGCCCGAAGTCACCGGCAATCAAGTATTGAAATATGCTCTTTTTTGTTGTCATTTGTTTGTTGTTTTTGCAGGACCGCTTTCATTCAATGCCCAGAGCTTGGAAAAGAGCTCGAAGCATGCCATTCCCAGCTCTCGAAGGAGCTCAGACGAGCCCGAAAACGTGTATTCAGAGAGAGTGTTGATGACGGACATCCGTATGATTATCTTTAGCATTTTTAGAAAGTAATTATTAAACGGTTTTCAGAAAAATTGTTGAGATTCAAGCAGTGTCGCCGGTGATGATTCTTGCAAGAAATGATTCGAATTGTATTGATCATGAGGTATGAATTTTTGAAATCAAGGATGTGCGGGAAATTTTCGAAAACAATTATTTCAGTGTTTGATTTTCAGCAGTTTCAGTTAATTTTTTTTACTAATAATATAGCGACAAGCCCACTTTCCAACAGAAACCAATGTGTTATTAAGCAAGAATGCCGAAAAATTAACGGTATCTTATTCGTAATTTTGAAAATTATTTTTTTACGGTACCCTGCTTGCAAATTTTCTCGATTACCATAAAAAATGTTTATGATATATTTTTTTCTGGGAAATTCAGTTCCAACCCGCGCATCCCGATTTAAAATCTTCTTGGATTCGTAATAAATTTTTCATTCAGTTTGAAAATAATCAAAGAAAATTGGAGAACAAGAATCAAGGATACTTTTTGACAATTTTCCCGGTTGCTTACAATATGCATCAGGTTGGTCTTTTAAAAAACAAAACTTCTGAAAAAATAATCGTTTTCTCCGAAATAAATAAGGAAAAAAACATTCTGAAATTCTTTAAAACTAAAAAAAGGGGGATTTTTTTTCAAATGACTTCACAAAGGGCGAAAATTGAGATATCAAATTAATTAATGTCAATTTGTGCCGTTTTCTTTAGCAACATTATTTTCAGAAGCGCTGGAATGTTTCGTATAAAAACGAGGCGTTCAACAATATCAACGTGAACGGTAAACTTGCGCGATCGGCGTTCGTTCACAATCATCTGACATCGACAATCCTATTCGCAAATCTGCTCAATGGGACCAACAAAATCGTAGCCAACGCCCACAACTCAAGTTGGAATCGCACCTATGCGTTCGCGATGCAAATCGTTCGATACGAAATCACACAAGCTGCGCCGACAACACAGCATAAACTTCTCCGTCCAATTTATAAGAAAGTATAATTTATTTATTGTTTTATGCTTCGATTTTTGGTATATGTTAATAATTAATTTTTGAGATCGAATCTTGACAAGATATAAATCGGGCGACTAAATAATATTGGTGAGGGGTTGATTCGGCGACTAGTTAAGCGTTGTTTGAGCATATTTTAATCCGCTTTTTCGTGATCGGTTTCTTCGTCATCATCTCGTTCGCTTTGTTCTTCATCGATTAATTGATCTTCGTCATCGTCTGGATAGAATTCGTCACGATCGACTGTAAAATCGGCAGAGCAGATGCTTCAAATTTATTAATAATTAATTAACAGGAAAAATTAAAATTTACCTATAACAGATGATGCTGAGAAAAGCGATTGGCACTCCAAAAAGGCAAGAAGAGAGTAATGGCTGAGTTGCGAACATTTGGCTCACATTCCAGTATAATTCGAAAAGCATTCTCTTGATTCGAGTCAGAAGATCGCGGCCTGAAAATGTTCATTTTTTCGAGGGTCGTTTTGCTGAAAAAAAAGAGTGAAGGATCATTGGAACTTTTTGGAATGACTAACTCTTGAAACAATTGACCAATTAGAGGTTTCTATTAAATAGTATTCAAATGGGGGAAAATCAAAAATTAGTAGGGTGAATATGGAAAGAATAAATCAATTTCAAATGCAACATTTTTAGAATGAGAATTTCCAAAAATGGGTACGAACCTCCATGTGCAAGCACAGTTCCCTTGTCGATCGAGTCCGACAATTCTTCGAGGAAAGTCAGCATCGATTGTTTTGTCATTTTCGACGGCTCATCTTCGCTCAAATAATATTCATATGTCGAATAGTTGAACACGAACATGTGCGGCTCTTTGACTGGATTCATCTGAATCTGCGAAGCCAAATCGGAGCCATCGAGCCATGCAAACTGGAATCGCCGCCACAGTTTCGGCTGTTTTCGCAAATCCTTGACGGCTTCGACGGCGGTTTTGTGGAATTTGCCGATTTCGGTGGTTGCGTTGCGCATTTCCAACTGAAATTGCAAAAATTAACACAATTTCTCCATATTTCGGCGAACCTGTTTCAAAATAACAAGAACTGTGAGTTTTCCACTTGAGCCAATATCTGCCAAATTCATACTGGTTGCAGCAACGAACGACGGCCATCGTTCACGTGTTATCCAGCTCTCAAGGTCGCCTGAGCAAATTCAAACCAAATTTTCAAACTTTTGAGAGAACACGCTTACTTTTGTCTTCCTTAAACTCAATTTCGTTGTTATCTTTGTAAACTACAATTCTTTCCCTCGATTCTGTTTCATCGTCATTTTTTGTAACTGCAAAGAATCGGGCCTTAAATGAATAATTTTAGGAAATGTTTGAAATTTCAAAGCGGACCATTGAAAATTTCGAAGTCGCTGCATTCGTGAACGTTTCATAAAGCGGACTCTTCGTAGTCCCAAAGTAAACGAATTGCGGCTCGACGCGAGAATCCATTTTGACTTTGAGCAGCTCTTTCTCATCAATTGTCTGCACAATCGGAGCAGCGCATCGTTTCACGAAATTGAAAAGGCTATCTTTTTCGCGATTTCCACGATAATCGATTCGCTTTCCATTTCGGAAGCTTAAAATTCGATTTTCAAATTTTTTTCCAATAAACTAGCAAACGTAAAACTTACAAAATAATTGAAGGATAACCTGTAATGCCGAGGTGATTGGCGACGGTTGTAAAGCGTGTACAATCCATTTTGCCAATCCTAAAATAAGAAATAACAGGATAATGAGGAAACACCAATTTTTTACCGAACTGGCAGGTTGATATCAGCAACGGCATGGCCAAGCTGCTCCCAAATTGGATGAAGACGTTTACAATGAGCACACCAAGGCGCATAGAACTATTAAATCTTCTCGTTTATTTTGATTTAAGTTGAAAACGCATTTTTTATTAAATTAAAAAAGCTAACATTTTTGTAGATTAATGTTTCAATTGTTCTATTTTAATATTTTTTTAAAATTTTACCAAGTGAGAAATGAAGAAACGCTTAAAAACCGAAACATTGTGAATGACTAAGAAATGGAAGATTCAATTAATTTAATGTATTCTCTCTTATATGACACACGCATCTCGGGAAAATGAGAAGCAAAACCCATAAGAATTCGCAACGATGTCAAATTCTTCATTTTTTCGTTTTCTTCAATTCAAATATAGACTTTATTTCATTTTTATTCAATAATTACCTCAATAAACCACATCCCATCGTTCATAACATCGAGAAATTTGTCATTGAGCTCCAAAACTGCGGTTGGTGGATTGGACGAAGTTGAAAATGCAACAAATATGCATAATATTAATAACCCGGCTAATTTTTGTCGCATTCTGCAATATATTTTATTATTGTTGAGTTGATCATTTCAATATTTGGCCGATTAAACGCGAATGAATTCAAGCGAATAAATTGTAATATAAAAGAATCAATACCAATGCGTCAGTTGGCGTGGTTTATTGGCGTGTTTGGTGTGCTTGCAGGGGTAGACAAATTGTGTGAAGACGGGGGATATCAAATTATAAGGTTGCGTCGAGAATGAACCAAGAAAAGAGCAGCACTTATAATTATAAACGACATTTTGTCGACGGATTTTTTTTTTGTAATATTTTTGTAATACCTATTATTATTTTTGCAAAACGTTTTTTCTACCAAACTTCTATTAACCATTTGGCGAACTTATCACACGGGACACGGTTTTTTTTCGCTTTTTGATAAATAGTTGCAAAATTTTGGGAGATACAGTGGAATAAAAACCAGTGATGTAACTTGCACGTTTCGCTCGATGAGTTTTCGCAAGTTAATAAATTAAAATTTTTACGGTACTAATTTCGGAAAAAAAATTCAAAAAACTATGAAAACCCAATGAAGAATTCGCAAAACCTAGTTTTGTTAGGTTTTTCTCACAAAATCTGCATAACCACAATAAAAAATATATTGTTGAGAAATGACAAATGTATCCAGGTGTCGTGGGATCCTGCGTTTTGTACGCAATGCTAAGAGACAGTTACCGTAATCCTCTCAGCGATTTACGGAGTTTTTTTTTAATTTTCTTTAAATTTTTTTTGCTGAATTTTCTTATTTTCTTTAGAAATATTTTATTTAAAACCTGTAGAAACCGAGTTTAATTACTTAATTTTCAGAATATGCACTTTTCCATTTGTCCAGTTGAGTTGGGAATTATTGTGAAGATTTTGACGCTCTAAAAATTATTTTGAAAATGAAGAATACAAAAACAAGATAATAGAAACGCATACAAAAAGCAAAACACGATTAAATAATTTTATTAACGACAAAAATGATTTCTTTTTAATCTCTGCTGTTTTTACCAAAAAAAATATCGTTTAAAAGTGCTTATTCTGCTAAATACATTATTAAACTCGGTTTCTGCAAAATTTAAAAATTTAAATTAAAAAATTTCGAAAGAAAATTAAAAAAATGAACGAAAAATAAAAAAAATGAATGTGCGAAATTAAAAAAAAATTCCCCGTAAATCGCTGCGAGGATTACGGTAACTGTCTCTTGGCATTGCGTACAAAACGCAGGATCCTACGACACCTGGATACATTTGTCATTTTTCAACAATATTCTATGCGTTTTAAGCGAAAATTTATTTAAAAAAAATATACATAAAATGTGTGCAATTTCGCGTGCGCGTGTGTGTGGAATCGTTCGTACTTGAATTTTAATCTACGCCTAATTGACTTATCATGTAATAAAAATATATAAAATCTTTATTCATTGGTGAGTTTCGTAAGTTATCCGTAGAATGGTACCCGATTTCCCTATGTTTATATTCAAATTTGAATTATTGCCTCGAAAAAATGCGATGATCCTTAATTATTCAAAGTGCTCGCATTTTGCGGTGGTAATATTTCAAAGGCAGTCAGTTCACGGCCCTCCGTAACTCACATGCGGCCTAGAAAAAAATTTGTCGAATCTTTCAAAGAGCAAAAATGCCAGTGCGGCACACTATCACAGGCAATTTTTTAAAATTATGTGTAAGCTTAGGTGCGGTTTTTTAAATTTCTGCAATGTTGTAACTTTTCTTTCGACATTTGGTTTTTGAAATCGTAAACACACATAATATATACGTATTCATATAGTTCTTAATTAAATTAATTAATCCATCTAGTGTGGCCGTGGCCGAACCTATCTTTTGAGGACAATTTTTCTAGGCCGCACGTGAGTTGCGGCGAGCCATGAGTTGACAGTTTCCTCCGCAAACTTTTTCGAACTGGATGTGGACCGCGTTTTTTAAATGTATTCTTCAACTTTATTTGGGAATATTATTAGAAATATTACATTCGAAAAAATAGACCAATGTGCTGATTTAGTATGAGTTTGCTCGACAGGTTCTTTAGTACGGTTTTCCACCCGAATTTCCACTCTTTAAATTCGAAGAGATTGTCCATAGGCCTTTGATAAGTGTTGCTTGTAATTACGTTTACGCATAATAAATTTTATTTTTCGATCTTTAGTTTTAATTCCCACTAGAGATGGCTAATTCGCCAATCGCGTAGTCGGCTAAATCCCAGAAAAATTTAGCGAACGATCTTGGCGCAAAAGTGTTCAACATAATAATCTCTTGGTCATAGCACACTTCGCGCCGAGACCTTTTTTTTATTTTTTGGTCATTTAACCAAATTTCCGCAATCGTTGCATTGTCCGTGTGGAGTACACAGAAGCAACTCTTCTCCTCGTGGTCAATTTTTAATGGGTAATCTTTATTAGTTGACTTATTTCTTAATCACAGTGATTCTGAAAACTATGTGAACATGCGCTACGAGGATCATCCCCCAAGTAAGCTTGTAACTTCAGAAATAATATTAAATCCATCATGCTTCGGGTGTTCTCCAAATCCGAACGGCGTCGAGAATCCGGCCTGAAACAATTATTTCTTGGCGCATAATAAAATGAATATAATGAAAACAACTTACAATATGCGGATTAATATTATATTAACATATTTTAATTGTTATATGATAAATAATAAAATAAATAATCTATTTTAATTCCAATATTACATAATCGTCGTTACATTTAGATACTTTTAGCTGCTAATCCAATTATAATCAAATTCAATAAAATGTATAGAACAATCTTGAAATACCTTGGGCGATTCGAAATTCATTGGAAAATGCATTCGATGGTCAGGCACGTGCTGCGAAGGATGCGGTGGAATATGCTCGGAATTGTTCCATATATACTCTAATGGTGGCATTTCGTGTGTCATTGGCATTCCCATATGCGGAATATTATGCGGCTGATGATGATAATAGCCTTAAATGATAGACAATATTGAATGTTGGATTGAATATATCGAAACCATTTGTATTATAATGATTATTCGGGTAGGCTTCGGGTGGCGGCCATTGCGGATACGGAGGAAATTCTGGAGGAATGGCCGCCGCTGAAAACATTGGAAACATCTCGAAGTTCGACGGCTGCACAAGCGGCGGAATCGGAAGCTCTTCTTTTTTCTTTTTGATCTTTGTTGTTGGGTTTGCGGGTCGAATCGAGGGCGGTATGAATGTTGAAGCCGATGGAAGACATGTGGTCGGCAAACTGAAATCAAAACTCATTTTCAGTTAGCGTTTTGCTGTATGCAGCAATCGGAATTTTCGACGAAAAATGAAAATTTTGACTGTTTTGCATCATTTTAAACAGGTTCCTTCTAAGAAATTATCGAAAACATTCTTAAAAGAGTACGAGAAATCCCATTGTCACACAACCCTGGGCTATTCACTATATATCGAGTGGTCTCGCACGGATTAATTGGTTATTTTGCATTTCAGAGGTTATTCCGGTAATTTCAATTTCAATAACATTAAGTATTCAATGAATCACCAAACTCATCAAGAATAATTCAAAATAGGCATTCAATAGTGGCGAGACCATTTCGAAAGGCGCACACGTAAATCGTACAGTAGTCGCCGGTCTAAATCTCCCGAAATATTGATTTTGAAAAACGTCTCGTTCACATTATGATTTTTCATTTGGTCATTCTGATTTAAAATGTCGCTCTTCCGCTTAGAAAATGCAAAACACTTTCCACACGAGACCCACTTCAAATGCCACTTCCTGAATTAATCTAGAATTCATATTTGGGCATCTGAAAAAAACCAAAAATGTGAAAAAAAAACACGACACCTCAAATCCTCTTCGTCCTTGACAACCGGCGGAAGTGGAAGAGCAGCAGTTGATTGAAGATTTCTCGGCGATTGTAAGAATGTGTCATCGAATGATAGCAATTTTGCTTTCAAAGAGCTTCTCTTCTCCAAAAGCATTGTCCCTTCAACCTCGCTAAACCAATAATATTAATAATATATTTAAAATAATAAGCATTCTACTTCAATAGTCTATACGTGAGCCCAATTGATTCAGGTTTTCCATTTTTATAAAATAATCGACAAGAGCTTTGGACAAAATAGATTCTTCGCGATTTGAGGCTAATCAAACGATAGATTAGTAATCCAGATGACCCGTTTTTGATGACTGAAATTGTATCATCTTGAATTGATGATATTGAAATATTCAGGAAACCTTCTTTATGAGCTTCTGCCATGCAAACCGCATCTTCGACATGTATCAAATTGTAAAGCTTCATCGGCAAATCGGCATCGGTGATTTCCAGCATTTCATAAACCCTTTAATATCAACAAAATATTGATATGATTTTTGGTCGAATTGATTACTTGGGGTCCATTGAAACTAATGAACCATCCAATTGATGTTTCGTCTTCAATATCATATCTTCTGAAGCAATCTCAGTTGTTGAAGGGGGCACAAATGGACTGAAAATAATAGATTTGATATTTAAACAATCAATGAGAATTGACTAACGTGCAAATACAAATCATGCCCAAAACGGGACCAGCATTGGTGCGACCCATTACATACGATGGCGGAAGGCCGTGCAATGAGAATAATTTTCCGGTCATGTCAATCCGCTGAAAATAATTGTCACAAAAAATTTTTTTTGAATTTCATCAAATACCAAAAATCCGCAAGTGTTGTCCAGCAAACACCGAAATCGGGCATTAACATTTCTTGTCAAATATTTGCTATTTTCTATTAAAAAAAGTTGGAATTATTTAAAATTTCAACAAAATTCGAATCTTACGCGGCGCGAATACATCGAAATGCGCATTCGAAGATGTCGGAGGAACATGAATATTGGCATCTAGCTGCTGTCGAATGTCCTCGCGATCCTCGGAATGGATGAGATCGTAAACTGGCTGGTGCAATACATCGGATTGGTGGAATCCAAGGAATTGCTCAATGTTCTCGGATGCGTAATAAATTTCGCCATTGTCATTCAAAACCAAAATGAATCCCCCAAGAGCCTTGAGTGCAATGTCCTCAAAATCCGATTCTTCGTGGTCGAACATTGGGGTTCCAATTCTGAGATCGAACACGGTTGGCACCTTGTTGGAGAATGGCGTCGCAGGTGACGGATTGTACAGATATGAATGCGTCGTGATTGGATATCCAGACAGATAGTTCGCATTGTGGATGCATGCTGAAACAACGAGAATTTAATAAACTAATTGAGCTATTCATGCAATTTAATAAAATCAATTTTTTTCATTTGAATTCCTTATGCACGCACGTCGAAAATTACAAAAAATTGACGCGATATATCGTAATTCTCCGCTATTTACTTTCAAAGGCTCACGCGAAAAGTTGTGCAGGTCACGCCGCGAAGTCGGTACTGTAATTTTTTATTCAAATGAAAAAAAAAATATTTTTTTAATTATTGCATTGCATGAATAGGTCCATAATAATCAATTGAAAAAATCCAGTTTAACATTGGCATTTCTCAATGTCAAATTTGAATATTCTCTCAATCATTCCTGAATTTCAAAATAATTTTTTGTTCTATTCAAATTTAGAATGTAATTTCGCAAGTTTTCCCCCTTCATTTGAAGCACGTCTCATTGAAATCTTGTATGAAAAGCATTTCGAGATGGCCAATTTATCACTTGAGAAGCTTCCCCCCCACACCCAAAACCCCATGTTTCTTCGGGCTCCTCTAATTGCTCTACCGTATACCCGACGAGATTGTCGCGCGTTTCTCAATCGCGCACACTATTTTCTACGCATCTGTCGACGCCGAATAGTGAATAATGTACGAAGGCAGTCGTCGTCCCATTTTGAGGATGAAGACGTTCGTCATCAAATTCGCAAAAATAGTCTCATTTCGTCGGTCGGCCGACCCCATGGCGAATCAGTTATGATGATATACGTATAATTATGTGACACACTTGGCCGAATATCAAATAACGAACGATAATGGGCGAATAGTGTGGCGACGCGCGAGACGCACGACATTGTCAAGGGTATACGGTGGTCATTAAGTGCCTCTGACAGCTTGCCAGAACAAACATGTAATTGGCACGTTTTGAAATCAAAACCATCCACCTCATCTCAGGTCACACACATCGGCATGCAACACCTTGGGCCACACGCTGTTCTCGTTTTATGGATGAGATTTGACCCCCCTCACCTTGAAAATGCGCTTTGCATTGAAGGAAGCTAACGGCGAGCCGAAGGACTGATAATTTGTCAAGCCTGCTGATAGTGGCACTATCGTACGGAAGAAGCATTGCCACTGTTTCGAGTTCTCCATTTAGTCTAAAATTGAGATTGCTTTAGAAAACTTTTGTTTCCTAATAGATAATAGAAAATATATTAATGAATAGACGAATTGTCTCCTTTCATTGTTCGAATTTAGCAAAAAATTGAATTGTGTTGATTATTATAATTGGCGATAAATTACCTTTCGCGATGCCTCTTCGATGGATTTGTAGCTGCTAAGTTTTTCGGAGGATCTCGAACCCTGAAAACATGTTATAGTTAATTTTATCCCTTAACTATATACATATATATAATTTCATATTCTTCATTTGCCAACCAGATACTCATGTTTCCGGCCGCGAGCAAAAAAAAAGAAAATAGCATTTTCTTTAATGGGCTCGTTTCAATGTGTGTGTGCGGCTGGGGTTTTTTTTGGATAGCACGACCATTCGCCTCCGGCCATTTAATCAACACCTTCGGAGGTTTACGAGCCTCGTTTTGTCGTTTTCATGCTTGAGGATGATAATCGTCGAGCAGGTAAAATAATGATCGAATGCGACATATGGCTGGCTATTAAAATGAACAACGATTTTCGAAGACGCGCGCCGAGACGCACGTCTCGCAAAATTAATTGTCGACACTGAATTTTTGAGTGTTTTGAGGGGCATCCCGTGCAACAGGTGGCATCCATTCGAGAAATCGTTTTGTACCATCAATTAACATTTTTGGGGCATATTTAAGCGCGGAGGAATAGGCTAATCCAATGTGCAATTGGAGATCGGGACCATTCGAAACGAATTTGAACACAAATTTTTTTTGAAATTATTTTTTAGAAGTTGAATTTGGTAATTTGTGATTTTTTTTCTCAAAAATTCTAATTTATATATAAAATTGAGAAACCTTAAAACTTTTAATGTGATCTCAATAAATAATTGGCTAAATCCAAAAAAAAAAAGAACTAAGGAATCAATGTGCGCCTTTAAAATATTTTTCGCCCGTAAATCTACACCAAAACCATTTTCCTAGTGTTTTTGGCAATTTTCAAAAATCTTCTTCAATTCCAAATTCTATGATATTTAGCCTTCTAGAATAGATTTTTCTGGAAGAATGAAAAGACATTTAAATGATTTGATATGTGAAATATGAAAATGTGGGAATTTCGTGCGTGATGGTAGTTGGCGTGCAGCACCAAAAAAAAAAAAAAGAATCGTCGCCTTTTATGTTATTTTTCGCTTGAGGCCGCTGCTTCGAGACTCCTCCATCACGGCTCGTCATTGTCACGATATGATCTTCGACGAGGCTGCACGCGATTCGAAGAGATCCCGTCTAATCATATGGCGAGATAGGCCGTGTTGTTGGGAGTGTCGAGCGAATACCTCACGCACAGTTTCCGTGTCTCACGCACATCTACCAACGAGCGCACGAACATCCAGAAAAACGCATCTATAAGCTTCATTCTGATCAGTCGCCCCCCAATTTCGGACGCCTTCACTCACTACCTCTTCTTTCATTATTCTTATTTCTCTCTTATTTCCTGAATCTTACTATTTAAGATTGATTGTTATCCTAAAATGTCAACTATAATTCCAAGTTAAATTTACCCCGTAAAGTGTCCGCAGCTGGTTAGTGGTTTAACTAGTAGATCGTGTCCTCCCCTCACTTGCTAGATTCCATAAATTAGAGGAGGGAAGAGTGCTGGTTTGGCGGCCATTTGCTCACAATTTCCGGTTATAATTTGAGCAATTAAAACGCTGGAGCCCGGTAAACATTCAAAGCCATTTCAATTCATTTGTTTCTTAATAATTACTATGTTTTACTAAAGCAAGATATCAAATATATCGTTGAAATTGAATTTTCTGAAGTCTCGCCACGAGTGCATTTTTATTTTGTTATAATTTCTAATTAGGATATTGAATTCACTAGAAATTAACTAAAAAGCTACTAAGCGAAACATGTGTTTCCATCCGCTGAAAATAATCACCAAATAGTTAATCTAGTATTACTATAGCAAAAAACCGAACACCTTGGTCAGAAATCTCAACATTTCAATTCAAATCTGAATTACCGCCCCGAAAAAATACGATGGTCCACTAATTCTCAGAGGGCTCGTTTTTTGCGATAATGATAAATCCATATTTAGAAGTATGCAAAGGGTTCAATTTTTAACAAAATTAATTTTTCATTTTGAAAAATTCCAATTCCTGGTTCTAACCTAATAGAATAGCATACGGTTGGTAGCCTAGGTCAAATATTTCAGATTCTCAAATCTTCTCAAGATATTGCCATCTGCTTCCCCCCTGTTCCCCATCATCAATATCTCGTCGTACCACCTCTATTTCTTGATAAGCTTCTTCTTCTTCATCATCTCCCAATAAAGTCTTTTGGTTGTTCTTCGGCGACGATTCGATTCATCCATTCATCACAAGACATTTTCAAGTCGCTTTCGCCGCATTCCCAATGATTGCCCAAAACAAGAAAAATTGAGCGTCGTTGCTCGGCTTGTGTGAATTTTCAATTCGTTTTTCGGACTACGGTAGCGCGATTGAGGTTCTTCCAAAATAAACAAAATAAACATCACCTTTTGAAATTTCGCTGCCGTCGTTTGCTGGCATACATCGAAACTGAAATCGATGGATATGAAGGAAAACAAAAATTGGAAATCTTCTGAACAAAATATAAAAAAAAGAGAAGGAAACACACTAAATTATAGCTTTTCGCTTTAAAAAAATGATATTGTCTAAATCGGTCGATGTTGTTAAAAATAAGTCCAGGTTTAAGAAAATTTTTCGATAGATTTTATTTATTTTAAGAAAATTCCATTCGATTATTAGAATTGATTGCAAGAATAATTTTCAATTTTGTTTTTTTGAACGCGAAATTTTTGAGATTCGAATGTAGTCGACGTCCGGCGACTTCTGCGCGCGGGTAGATTTACGAGGTGCGTCTTTCGAAATGGTCTCGACACACGTGAAGACTTATTTCATCAAATTTTGATTTAAAAAATCTTAAAAATGAAATCTAGAAATCGAAAAAATAGTTTTTCACAAGACCGTAGGGAAGAGGTGTGCTCCGTAAATCTACCCAACAGCCTTCGAACGATTTCAAATGAACGTGATTTTGAGAAATGGAGGAAAAATCGAAAAAATCTTATCTTTAGTTTATAAATGCTCAAAATAACCAAAAAGTAGATATCCAAAAATATATTCGTTCCTATAATTCGGAATCATCGTAATATGAAACATATTCTACCGTAATCCGGGGGAGTTATCGTTACGAGACCTACAAAAACAAACGAATGAATTCAAGAAGGGTTAGATATGAGAAAATATATTCCATATAAAATAATAGTTAAAAGTTTCCGGCTTTTCAAAAACTAAATATTTTCGTTGGTGGAAAATTCGACACAATGACGGAAATATTTCATATCTGGCAAAACATTTTCTAAAAATCGAGGAAGTTAAAGCATTTTAGAGTAATGACGATCGAAACAAAGCGACAGTCGAGATTTAAGGAGGTAACCAAACCAATTTCTCCTCTAATTTGGTAGTCATTCGACGAAAGTGGGCGGGGCGAGATGGGCGGCTCCGCGCACTCTTATTCGCTGCACAGCGCAACAAGTATCTCATTTGTAACGCTCGTCAAGCCCATTTGCTCACACTTTTTTCTTTGGATGGCGACAATAAAGGGCTGCGATTTGGTTGGAACACGCAATCCCATAAGAATTGTAATCAGAATTATACGAATTTCGGGCAAAAACTTTGGAATGAGTGTGTTTTTGTTCGCGATTCACATTATGTACTTTCTGAATTGGTATATTGGACCAATGTGTTTAATTAGACATGAGATTTCTGTGACTACTAAATAAAAATTTCAAAAAACCGCGTTTTAAACGACACTCCGGTTTACGCAGTGCCTGACTTTTAGCTGAAATTCCCAAATCTCAAAAAATTCGATCTTTTTTTGAGTGTTCATCAATTTTGAATTTTTTTCCGGGAAAAAATATCAAAAAATTATTATTTCTTCACTTTTATTATTTTTTCTCCATCTCATTTGCTAAGTTGTAAGCCGTGCGCTGAATTTCAGATTTTTAAATGCCGGACCACCTTTCGATAGAAGATGGATTTATATCGCAAAAGTTTAAATTTTTCCTATCCGGTAGATACAACTAAATGTAAAATTAAACTATTATATTGAGATTTAGGCCCGGATGGATGCGCAATAGTTGCTGCTATTGAAGAGCAGTACCAATGTTTCATAGAAATCGTGAACGACTCATTAAAGATCACACCGAAACATCAAAATGCGGACGTCACAAGTATTGAAAATATACTTCGTGAGACTTGGCAGAAGCAAAATGATCGTTTGTAAGTGAATTTTGTGGTAAACCGAAGCAGCTCATAAATATTTCCAGGGTTATCAAGGCGGCAGCACTAAACGCCTCATGTACGCATATGTGTCAAGCAATTCTTCCTCGCGCATACTCGGCTGTCGCGATACTCTTTTCGGATGACATTCGGCGACGATCGCGTTGCGATGATGTTCTCGTTAGTGATTCGTCAAAGGCACATTCTTAATTTGCCGCCCATTTTTCAGAATGAGCATTTCGATGGAAAAGTTACAATTTATGGAAACGAAACTGCTGTGGAGCTGGCGCGAATGTTTCTTATTGAATGTTTGACGGATCATTTCGGGCCATTAGAGATGGAAATCCCACCTGTGCAACGGACGACAAAGAACTTGAACAGTATTAAGAGAAATAAAAAGCAATTATTAAAAATGTTTTAGATTACATCGGTCAGGCTTCTATTCCTTCACCGAAGCGTAGCTATTCTTTTGGGACTCCACCATCTGAAAATGACATTTTTGCGGTATGCTTCAGTTGATTCCTTATCTTCAAAAAATATTTGAATATTTCAGAATTGCGATGTTCTTTCTCCACAATCTTCCACCAATTCGTTGCCTCCATTTTTCGACGAATCGTTTCTTTCGAACAAGTTTGATCAGAATATAACGATTCCTGCTCCAATTGTCCCATCGTCGTTCAATTATCCGCCGCCACCAATTCCACAATTTTCACCAATGAGCTTTTTTGCGCCACCACCGCCACCACCCCATATGAGTCCAATATCACCACCGAGAACTAATAATGTTGAGAAACTTCGTGTTTTGGTATTATTAAAATTATATCAGAAAATAGATAAATGTTATTTTCAGATCACGAAGGATGATGTTAACCGGATTTTGGGAAATCGTGCAGCACTGAAAAAGCAAATTGAAGCTCAATTTAACTGCGTCGTTTCTGTATTTAAATATTTTAAGTATTTTCATTTGAGATTATTTTCAGGTGCGCACCGATTGCCCATTCCAGTTTGGAATGATTCCCGTCGAAATAATGGGGCAAAATTCGGAACAATGCAGGAATGCGAGAGATTGGATATGTAAAACTGCATGTCATCAATATTCTGATGGTTCACCAACCAAATCGGATTCTGGAATCTCGAGCAACTCATCGCCATCGTCTCTGGAGAATATAACTCCAGAAAAACGATTCCCAAGAGTAAATTTTCGAATACCTCAAACCGAAAATTGAGGAAATATTTCAGAAAAGTGCATTCCGCGATCAGCCAAAAGTTCTACTCGCATTGAGCCCGCGAAAAACGCCGCCATTGGAATAAATAATTAGCGGAAAATCGAATAATTAAAATATATTGCATGCGATCTCATCTTCTATGTCTTTATTAATGGCATTAAGAATCGAATCACCTGTACATTTATATTCTTCTTGTAAATTGAATTTCTGTGCAATTTCCGTACTGTGTGCTATTAATTGCTACGGTTTGCTTTATTATCAGCAAGCCATTCCTAATTTCCTTTGGTCAATCCCACCAAAACCTGTTCGTTTTTCATTTTTTAATTTCAATTGTGATCTGAAACGTATCATGTGGTTTTTGTTCTGTGATACATCCTCCATTTTTTTTGTTCGAAATTGATTTTATAACTGTAAAATGTTTTGTTTTATTCTAATTCATACATTTTTCTAGTTAGTTTTGAGTTTCTGTTTTTCGTTTTTGCAGTTATATTAATGAATAGTTTTATTTTATTTGAACTTGAATTTTTAGCGAAATTTAGGTTTCAAGCCCATTATTTATCGGATTTGATTTTCTCCTAAACTTGAGATCAGAAGGCGTAATAAAAAAGTTTTCCATCAGAGGTCTTTGGGTGAAACTAAAGTTTAATAATGGATATATTCTCGAAATGTAACACTTTTTTTTCATATTTTGTAAAATAAAAATTTTATTTTACAAAATATGAAAAAAAAGTATCTTACTGCATGAATAGATCCATAAATATAATTTTCCATCCTAAAAAACCGACCGCCTTGAATAATATTGTGGACCATCCGTCTTTTTTCCAACTTAAATATAAAATTTAAATTTAAATCGCGTGAATTCGGATAACTTACTACGGAAAATATGTGAAATTAATGGATATTTATCATTTATTTTTTATTTTCTGAAACAACAAAAACTTGAATTTAAGGTGAGTTTAACTTAAAACAATGTGATTTATTTATTTGAAAAAAGAAACGCGTTTTTTTTTTGCGAAAATGAGCAAGGACGGTCAAATGATGAGTAATATACGGTTATAATTATTGTTGAAGTCGCGCGACTACGGAAAATTGGCTGAACATTACGATGCTGATCATCTGGGTCCGTGATTACTGAGTTGCGTACCCACGTATTTTACAATTTCGCACAGTAGTGTGTAATTTCTTATTGCGAAATTGTGATTTTAAATATATTTATTTATTCAAATTTTATACATTTCGTTCAATATTTTGTTTTAGAAATTTAGTTTTTTTTAATTACATGGAAACTCTTTACTGAACTCTGTGCTTCATTTTGTCGTTGCATTGTACTCATAAAAATTTAAAAATTTTTTGCTCGCTTGCTATCACTCGTTTTTATGATTTTTGTTTTTTTCCTTCTCTTATTTCTTTTCTACAGACGTATAGAACTATACAAAACATCGATTGTGAATACATGGAATATTTTCAATTTTAAAAGATCCCTAATCCACATTTGATCTTTGAAAACGAAATGAAAGAATCAATTACCAAATAAAATCAATGGAAAAACAACATCTCAAAACAAAAGTGTTTTGATCGAATTGTGAAAAAAAAACAACATTCAAATTCGCGAAACTTCGATGAGAAAAAAGGTGGGCGTGGCGAGTGTTCTCATGTTTCGCACAATGATGCAAATCGGCGGAACTCGCTCAAATGTTTCGTTTCGTGACCCACAATGGTGGTGCTCTTTCGCCGTCTTCCGTCGCCGTTCATCGATCCATAGCAGATGGACGCGCATGTGCCAAACGGCCTTCCATCCACCCAGTTGTTTACAAGTTCGAAAGCGTCTTTGTGTGTGCGCGCGCGCGTGTGTCGCTTCGTCGTCGTCGCCCTCAACGCGTCGCCCGTTCTCTGCACCGGACGTCTCTGCGTTTTTGCCCGCAACCAGTTGACACTTTTTTTGCTTGTTTTTTTTTTTACACCGCAAAAAGTTGCCCGATTTTGAAATCGCTTTTTTTTTTGTTCTTACTGAGAAAAGTTTTGAGCTTTTCGTTTTGATTTTTCCCTACTGCGGTCGATGTTCAATTTGCGCACGCGTGCTCTTTTGTTTATTTTATCCAACTGCTTTTCGTTGTTCACATAGCATTTTGCAGGCAGCTTTAACCGCATTCCTCGCAACAATGCCATTCTGGACTGCTTTGGTATTATTGTTTTTGAAATGATTTTTGCGAACTATTTTCAATGTTTTTTTAGGACACTCGCAATGCGATTCTCTCAACTACCATTCCAGCCGGCGCTGCCGTCACCGCTTTCGTCGCTTTCGCCAAAGATCAGGCTTCAACTGATTGGTGGGCGGTTCGTGAATTTTATTCCAAAACCATTTTCGATTATCATTTTCATTTTTAGGCGTTGAAGAAGCCAAACTGGGCTCCAAAAGATGTCCGAATCTATTCGGCTGTCGATTTCTTGTCGATGGCTCCACTCGGATATGCTTCTTATCTCGTATATAAAAATGGAGGAGGTATGAGAGAGAGAAAGAGAGAGTAGAACTTCTTACTTTATAAGATTCCTCGAAAACCTCGTTCCATGAATAATTTAGTATCTCGGAAAGGACTTGAAAAACTGAGAATTTTTAAAATTTTTATGGTCTTGTTTACAATGAAGTAAACTTTTATTATATATCTTAAAAATTAAACTTTGAAGAGTTTTGTTTTTCGCGTTTCGTATGACAATTCTATGTAATGCTTTGCAAATAGTGGAACTCGATGTACAATTACACTTTGCACATGTGAGCAAAAGATTTCAAGAATGAACTTTAGGTTGACGGATTTAAACGAATATCGATAAATAAAAGTCTAGAATTAAAAAGAAAAAATAGAAGAAGTCAAATTATTTCAGGATTCGATTACAATGATACTAGAATTGCTCTTGGACTCTACGGAGCCAACATTGCCATCGCTTTGGCGACTGTTCCAATCATTAAAAAGAAAAATCTGGGATGCGTAAGTTCTTGAAACCCGATAATAGTAGCCCGTTTCAATTTTAAGCTCTGGAAGAACACGACTCTTGTTCATTTGACTGCTGCTGGCGCTGCCTATGCTTTCTACAAGGTTTGAATTTATAGGAAAATGACCATAAACAGCAAATTGGTGACACAGATTGATAGAAGCGCTGGTCTTCTATTGGTGCCATATGCTCTCTGGACCGCATTCTATGCCTATTTGGCTTATTCGATCAAAAAGGAAAACGATCCGGTCAAGGATTTGTAAAAGCCTTTTTGCTAATTTACCTCATTTATCTGTTTTTATTTCTCGCCGTAGTCCATACATAATATGTATATTATTTAAGCTTCATTTCTTTCCGATTCTTTATTTCGTTTTGTAAATAAATACATGACAAACGAATATGAAAGGAGAAAATTATGATAATTGGTTTGAATGCCCGCAAAATATTGTGTGTTGTTGGAGATTTTGTGAGAAAACTGTCGAATTTTAAGGGAATGTCGAAAATTTGGTCGAAAACGGTAGGTCTTAGGATTTTGTCGTATGAAAATGGGCGATGTTTAGGATAACGAAGGTGATAATGATATATGGGATGATACGGAATTGATCAAAATGTACGAGGAGTCGATTAGCTCCACTTATGTTCGTTTTTTTCTCTTTTCCTGGAAACATGAAGTTATTTATTTTCGTTGTTCTGTTTTTGAAAAGCGGGAAAATTTGAGGTGTAAAAAATTTACATTTGCAACTTTTCTGGAAAAAAAAACAAATAAGTGTTAATTTCGGGGCCACGCGACAGCGAAAAATTAGAAAAAAAAACAATGACAGTGGTCTTGGCGCAAAACTAAAAGTGTAGATTTACTGGGGTATAAGATTAAAGTACACAAGACCTCTTTCTTAATTGCTTCCCACAGACGCACGACGTCGATGATTTTTTTTTAAATAAGCTGATGTCAACCTTATGAAATCATTCTTGTTGTTTTTGCCTTCCTAAAATTAAAGTTTAATCAAATATTAATTGATTACATGCAAAATTGATTTACATTTTTTATGGTATTGTCAACGTCGCACATCTGTGGAGAATTGGCTAAATTCCAAAATGAACATTTAAGGAAGTCTTTCAAATAGTGGGCAGTGTATCCTTTAACCTATTCTATTTTTTAAACTTAATCTACAAATTAGTTTTGCGCTAAAACCAATCCCATTGTTTTTTTCGCAGTCGCGCTACGAGGAGATTTTCTATTTCTCTTTCTGATCCCATATGAAAATTTTTTTTAGAGCAAAGTTCGAAAAAATACAGTGAATACAAAGGAGTACGTTGGAGAAGATGGCGTCAAATACGAGGTATTGCTGCTTTATACATATATTCTGTCAATTGTTCGCTTCAATGATTGATTTTATTTCAGTGGACCGTCGGTCAAAAGTGTATGGCGCCGTATTCGGAAGACGAGACTGAAACTGAGCCTAGCGAATGGTTCCCGGCGACGATCAACTGGATCTCGTCGATCAATGGAGACGTCGGTGTGACTTTCGAAGGTTATGGAAATGACGAGATCGTCGATATTAGCACTCTGTGGCTGTTAGTTTGGAATTTAAAATAAAACATCGAGAATATTCGAAAATTTAGGGAAGAAGAAGCCGCTGGTGTTGAACAAGAGCAGACTGAAGATATTCAGATGACATCTCCAGCGCCGTCGGCGTCGCCAAAAAAGGAAGGCGCACAAAAAATGACAAACGGACTTCCAAAGGTATTTCCGGATATGGAATGAATTCTACAAAAATCTTTGATTAATTTCACCATGCGATTGCTTGTTTCCTCACGAATAAAACAATATGTTAATTTTTTTCCTCGAGATCACTTTCATTCCATAATTTCAGATCCCCGTCATTGCTCCACCACCACCGCCAGCGGCTCTAAGCGGAGTGCCACCAACCGAGGTTGAAGCTCTGAGCAGCATGCTCATGAGCTGGTACATGAGCGGTTATCACACCGGTTACTATCAAGCGATGACCGAAAAGCGAGGAAAACAGTAATTTGAACATTTTGCGAAAAATCAATGAACCATTTGTTTATTTTCGCAAAAAAAATTATATGAGAAATAATTGAAAATTTAATGATTTTTTAAAGGCATGCGGAAAAATGTTAAAGTCACAAAAAGAATATTCGCTTGATGAGAGGTATTTGAGATCGGACAATTCTTCATCATATTCTCATATATTCTCTGAGTTTGGCAGTTTAAAGTTGTAAAAACACGGAAAAGTGAAAACAATGTAAACAATATACAATATTTTGATAATTGAGCGACGAAAAAAAAAACGATTTTTGGCCTGTAAAACACTTGATTAATACCTCGTAGATGTTTGCAGGATATACACTATATACTATATTTTTTTCTTTTATAAATATATAAATTATATATCTATCTAGTGAGCAAGAGCAGTATCGACGAATCCTCGTTCAGGGGCTCGCTGTTCCATTCTTTCTTCGTTTGTGTTTTGTGATATTACTTGAGGATTCGCAATAAGAATAAGGGGCTGAAATGAATTAATTTGATTGGGGGGAAAAACATGGTAAATCATTACATTTTCAATATTATTTGGTGATATTCGAAGTTCAAATAATGTTTTTGAATTGCAATTCGCGTCAAGAGCTTCACCGCCAACAGTTCTAAAAATCAAAAATATTTAAAAGAATAAAAAGCGAAAAGAAAACAGCATCATACCTATACAGTATTTGATCGTTCGGAGCTTGACAACATTTCTGATAAAGCGCGACTTTCAAATCCATTAGACGAGAGCTGGACGACATCTGAAATAATGAAATCAATGCTTTCAAAACATGAGATAAAAAGAAAAATGCTTACCTTAACAGCATGCACATTTTTCTTCCTTCTTGTCAATTTTGAGCTTCGTTGTGGTTCTTCTTCTTCAACTTCGACCTAAAATTAAAAAAAAAACGAATTGGATAATTCTCGAAATGAGATCAAAACACACCGGCGAAATGAGCCGAACCATAACATTCTCATTGTCAAAAATATATTTCTGATCCTCTCGAAATTGCAAATAACTCGAATTGCACGCCTCGCAAAAGTTTTCAATTTCTCCGCTTTTGATCCGAATCGTCTTCGGTTGCTCCGGAATTTCCGGTGAGCTTTCGACGTTCTGGAGACTTTCAATCTCCTTCACAATCGTGTTCCATTCGTTCTTAGTGAGTCCAACCATATACGAGTCCGGCTCGTAATTCTAAACAAAAATTGATTGAAACTGATAGAAGCAAAAAAAAATTACAATTACTTTGTTATAGAACCCCTTAAAAGGAGCAGCATGTTCGCAAAATAAGCACGATTGGCAAATTGGCGGCGGAGTTGTCGCATTCCGAGTGCTAAACCGAACCATTAATTCAGATTGAGATCTCAGATTTTTGTCAGTTTCTCTGGTAACTCAAAACCAATTGGATCCGGAAAAATTCGGCTCCGGAATTAGCCCGATTCGATTGGTATTTCTACGGATAAGATTGTAAAATTATTGGATCCGATTGGTTTTTTGGGCATTTTCGTAGCCGATTGGTAATTTGTCGGATCCGATTCGAATTGAAAGATTAACACAAAACGGATTCGATTAATAACCAGTCGTATCGGACAAATTACCAATCGGATCCGACAATTTCACAATCTTATCCATAGAATTTTTTTGGTAAGTGTCGGATCTGATTGGTTATTTGTCAGATCGGATTCGAATTGAAAGATTAAAACAAAAAAAGATTCGATTACAAACCAATCTCTTCCGAAAATACCCAAAAAACCAATCGGATCCGACAATTTTGCAATCTTTTCCGTAGAATTTCCAATCGGATAAGGTTGATTCCGGAGCCGAATTTTGTCGGATCCGATTGGTTTTGAGCTACCAGAGTCTGTTTTGCCCATCAAAATTACCTCAATTTTTTGAGTTTATCCATGAATGCGCTACAAACACCAAACTCGATTGTCTCATTCATTTTATCATAATTCGTTTGTCTCGATTCCACCTTTTTTAGCACATCGGTCAATCGTTTGCGCATTTCTCGCACCAGAATCCTCATGTTTTCCGATCCGGTTTGAGCATCAACCTCATCCTGTCGACACGTTTCGCAAACTTCGTCAGTCACACGAACGGCGAAGCAACTGTCAAAGTAATACTGTAGACGGGACCATTCATCCGGTGAAACGGAGTGCCGAAATTGATTGAAATTGACACCACCTGAAAAAAAGAGATCATTTTCTAATCAAATCATGTCCAAAAAATTAATCATTCGCCATAAATAAATTCGCCAAAAAAAGCGGCTCTAAACCAATTATCCAACGCAAGTTGGCGCGACAAAAAAAATCGATTTAGAAAGGCAAGGCCTCGAAAAATGGCAACACAGCACCTATCAGTCACCGCATTATGGATCTACTTCTGGTATATTCTAATGTGGGCTCTTTTGCTAATCGCAATCTATCTTCAATTCAAATTGGTCTATGCACATTGGAAAACATTTCAAAAAGATAAAAAGGTTCGAAATTTTAAACAAATTGCCAACAGATGGAGTTCAATAATCCTTTTTCAGCTTTATTATTATTCCCTAATTTTGCTTCTTATATTTATCAATTTCTTATTCGTCTTTTCGCTCCTTCTTCTTCTCATACGTGTTGCTTATTACATCAACTTCCTAATCGTCGTCGCAACCTTCTTCTACGCCCAATCATACTCAATCCTAATCGCCTGTCTCAACTGCCTATTATGCATTCATTGCCTGGCAACACTATTTTCGCCTTGGGACCTTTTCAAACAAAATATTCGCCAACTTGGCCCTATAATATTTGTCATATTTCTCCCATTTGCATTTTCGTTTTCGATTCAACTCAATTCGCATACAGTATGGCCAACAACGGATGCGATGAAGATCAACAAATTAGACATTGAGACCTATCTCAGAGCATTTCTAATCTACTTCACATTTATCGGCTACACCGTCGCGTTTTTGAAAATTCGTCAAACACATTACACAAGCAGGGATGAATATATGCTTTTGGCTCAGGCATTTCCAATAGCATTCACACAAGCGGTATCATGAGAAGAATTATATTTGCTATATTTCAAATCGCTACCAATTCTTTTTCAGATCTCTCTAATTATTCTAATTTCAAGCTATTTCAAAATAACCGATTTACGACTTGTTCCAAGTGGAAATATGGTTGTCTCAATAGAAAATCTAAGTTCAGAAATTCAATGTAATTAGTTTTCCTTGCTAAAATATATTTCTCCCTCACATTTTTAGGCATCGTTGTCTCATTATCAATAATGATTGGAAATCGCGCACAACGCCGCTATTTCGTCTGTTTTAGATGTTTCCCGAGCAACTACAAAGTGTCAAACTCGGTTTCGACATCAGCGCCTTCCGCATAATAATGCAGTGACGACAAAATCGAATAATGATTCAATTTCGGAGAAAATCCCAATAGGGTGCGACCAAAGAGAATAAATTATTTCTGCACATATTTTTTATACCAGGGCTGCGTGAAAAAAAAATTAATTTCGACGATTCTTCAAAAAATGTGTGAATTTTCCACGAATGTAAAGAAACAATAAAAAAAGGTTTGCCGAAAAAAATTCGAAAAATAGACAGCCCTGCGTTTTACGATTAGATAACATTTTTGAAAAGAAAAACGCACCATGAGGGCACCTCAATTCAGAATTGAATTCAACCGGAGACGAGCTGGTCGGCGATCGTGTCCATGAGCTTAATTCATTTCCACATGTGGATCCGGATGACCTGAATGTGAGAACTTTAAGGCACGTCGGGAATTCCCCAAACAAAAATATGAGTAGATTTAATGTGATGAAAAATCAACTTGTTTTCAAGAGTTTTGATAATTTATTTTTTTTTTCAGAATGATTTTTGTCTGAAAAAAATTTTTTTCCTCTAATTTCCTGAAAAGAGCCTTAAGAAGTGAACCAAAATTTTCCCACGAAACACATTAAATGCGCATATTTCCTAATGGGATCATTAATTGCCAATAATGTAACATGAGAGAAAATGTGTGTCATCATTGCACCTGCCACAATCAATTTACATTAATTAGTACATTCCCTATAAGGGTTGGCATGGAAACGGATGGAATTAATCAGTTTGAAGAGAAATCATTTTCCCGAAACGCCGTTTAGTCACCTCGTATTCTCGTTTTCCTCCATTTCAATTGCCTGCGCAACTTTTTCGACGAGACTTTCGACAATTCCACTCGGATCATATTCTTCAAGAATCTGCTCTGGAAATCCTTCAACATCGGTTAACGTCGAATTCAAACTTTGAGATGACTAAAAAACGTTTATTAGTTGAAGATTTCGTAAATAAATCAAACCTCATCGGCGTTTTTCGCCATTTTTGCACTTGGCTCACTACCATCATGAAGAGATCGACGCGATTTACAGCGAATTTGCTTGTAAGATGGTAATGAGAGAAACGTCGAATCTTCTTTTTGCTAGAAAAATTAAATAAATTAAATGAAAAACAAATTTTTGGAAAAAATTCTTTACCGATAGGGTACTTTCGTAAAACAAGGTTCCACCATTGGATGGCGTCTGCTGTAATCGATGTTCTCTCGCAAGTTCCGCGTTTTTCTTGAAATTCGACAATGCAATTTTCGCGACATAAAAATGATCTTCCGGCTTCGCTTTCAATCCTTTAACAGAACACCTAGAACGTTTCCATATTATCGTGAATAATCGATAATCAATAATACCGAATCTTTTCTTCTTTCAATATTTTTTTAACCATTCGTTCATCATCATCAAGTCGGCCTTTGAAAATTCCGTCTCTTCTCATTTCCCGAACGCATTCCATACAAATGTCCTCGCTGAAATCAGAAAATTTTCAATAAGCAATTTTTCGAAGTTCCTATTCGTCGTACGCTGTCAGCACATAAATCTCTTTATCCTTTTCTGGAAGCGGATATTCTTTTTTGCCATCATCTCGCTCAATTTTCACTTTAAAGTCATATTCTCGCAGAAACATGATCGCCGGCGATCTGCTCACTGCCTTCACATCGCCATAAAGAATTGGCTCAATAGACATTTTCCCATGGAGACAAAGGCTCATTTCATGCGACTCGAGTCTGTTGGCCACACGCGTCGATACTGTCTGTTTCGCCGACAATGGTCGCTTCTTTGGGCTGCAAAATCGTTGGAAAATCGATCGAATTTTTCTTGACAAATTATTTTGTGAGTACCTCGATTTATAACCAAAAACAGATTTCGAAATGCCGTTTTGCGCTCTAGTTCGTGCTCGATTCTCATTAACAGGAAGAGTGGGAAGTTCCGAAGAAGTCATCGCCAAAGCCAGAAGATCCATATCATTCTAAAAATCAAAGTTCGAAACTAGACACAAAATTCTAAAAAAAAAAGCAAATCTCACCGCAGATTTTTCAGCTTCAGCCGGGGCTTCGACAATACTTTCATCAGTAATTGAAGTGTTCAACTGTTCGTGCTCAACAGTCCCATTTGTCTCCTTCCCCTCTTCCTCCACACCATTGTGTTGCTCCTTCTTTTCGCCTTTCGCCACTTCGTACTCTTGTTGAAGAACATTTACGAGCAACGACGTTGGAATAAAAGCCACCTCATTGGGATGTTTGAATTTCGACTCATATGTCTAAAAAATCAATATTATTCTAATGAAAACATGTAAAATGTTGATACCTCAAGCTTGCTGAGCGTATTTTTCAGTTTATCGGTTCTCCGTTGAACATCGTACAACCGTTTCTCACACTTCTCCATATTCCTTTTCGTTTGACCTTCAAATGACTCTTCGATCTGAAATTATGTCTTCAATTTATTGAAATTCTCACTAACTCTAAAAACATTTCGGAGTATCAACGATAACAATTTGCTTAATATACAATCGCAGAAAAACGAGCACCCAGCGATTAATTCACAGGTTCATAGTCCGACTTCTCACTGTTTAAATTCAACAATACGATGATCCACAATTATTTGAGGGGGCTCGTTTTTTACATCGGTAATTTACATATATGAAAAATGATGTGCAGACACTTCACGGTTTCCTTTATAAAATCCACTCTACCTGTTTTCTCGACTCCGCCACCAATTCTTCCGGTGGAAACTTCGGCCGTGGAACAGGTTGAACAGATTCTTTTTTTCTATACAGTAATCCGTAGCAAGCTTTCTGATCTGCCGCCGGTTTCATTTTATCCTTGTTCCTTTTCCCATCGGTCATAGTTGTAGGTTTTTCAGTTCCCGGCGGTTTCGCGAGAACTTCAACATTCTAAAACTTCCTAATTCATAGACAATTCTGACGAATTCAAAGTTTACCGCATCGTCATATCGATACCATTTCTGGTTGAACGGCGACTTGACAAGATCATAATAATGCCCGCATTCGGCGTTGTCTCCATCATGAATGGTAACAGCGAAAAGCTCGTACATTTCTGGATTTGTATTGTTTTTCCGATTGAAAATCGTCGAGCAGATTTCTCGCGGATATGCCAAGCTTGTTTTAAGCTTCTGTCGACCTTTCCTTAAAAAGACAACAACAATTTACTGGTTTTCGAAATTTATGGAAAATCTTACGCTGTATATCTATATCGATTCAGTTGAATTATTAGTACAGGAGGTAATAACGTATAATCAATTTCCTTCGTCACACACCCTGTTCTATTGCATTCACTACATCGATAGTCGTCAAGTCTGAACAATAAAAAGATTATATAAGGAAAAAGCGCGATTCGCTTACTTTTCAACTCTATAATAAGCATTTAAAGCATCAAGAAGTGTTGAATAGCCATCAATATTCAATTGAAGCGATGTTGATCGTTCTTCGCGTACAGACGCCATCCCACATTGGCAAGCGATTCGTGATGTTGTCATACCCTGAATAAATCGATAAAATTCTCACCAAATGCTAATTTCTCGTTACCGTATAAAGATTGCGAATTCTTTTTTGTATTTCCTTTCCATTTGGATGGTGTTCGAGGTTTCGATCAAGAGCATCAAAAAGCATCAATGTGAATTCCTTAAATATTTTGTAATATGATTTTTTGATTCAATTTGATCGATTAAAGAAGTAAAACTAAATATAGTTTTTTCTTTAATTCAAAGTATTATTTTCTTCAAAATGATGTGTGACCATAACTTTTCAAAAGTTTACCTGCGTATCTTGCTGATCTGATCCTAACCGTAATGCTTTAATCAATTGATCATTTTTATTAGTGTCAAACTGAAAATGTTCAGTTTCCAATAAATTTCAACAATAATCTTACGAATGGTGTTGTATCCAATGTATAAAATAGGTCCTGCAACGCCAGCATAACTTCCTGCACATTCATTCGAGGAAGTGGCGGTCTAAAATCCATAAATTCCCCTATATAGCCAATGGCTTCGAAATCTTACACAACGTAATGAGTAGATGGGCGAAAATCATATACAATTTGGCGGAATTTGATCTCGTTAAACCAAACCTAAACGAAAAAATTTCATAATTGAGAAAACATCGATTTTAAACCTGCAGGAAACTATTAACGTAGCAAAAGTTGCCAGTATTGATTAATCCGGCCGGCTGGTCATTAAGATCGCGTCGTTTTTGGTCCTTTAATCAATCTTTTTGAGAGTATCAATACAAAATATCCTACTTTTTTGACTTCTTCTCTTCGCTCAAGTTCCTTACTTAATAGCTTATCAAATTTTTCAATTCCCAATCTGTGAATACAGAATGGGTTGTCTCGACAATTCTGATGCCTGCAATTTTTGTTTCACTCCCTTCTAAGGACCATTGACTTACTTTGGATTATGCGGAACATCATGCAATTTGCACTGTCTACAGTCCAATTTTGCGACTTCAATCGCTTTTTCAAATGTCACCTGTCCCTCATCTTTAAGTTCTATTAAAGCATTAACGGCTTCTTGACGAAATGCTATCTAGAAAAAATCCGATAAAAAATTCGATAAAATTGAAAAAACCTGTCTTTGATTCGGTCGATCTTTCTTTTTTACTGTTGATTTTTTCATTTCACAATTTACAACCTGAAATTTTCTTCTTTAAAACAACAAAACTGCATTGTGATAATTTATGGTACAGAGTGTACGAAAATGTGTCATGTCGATGCATTGTACCGGCGTGGACGTTTGTTCAAACCATTCGCTATTCTAGGCCACGGCCATGTGAATCGACCAGTTTTGCACGGCGTTCACACTAGTGGGATTTACATGAAAAAAAGATTTTTCTCAATGGAGCGCACTTGCAGCTTAGCGCTATTCCGGTGCATAAATTCAACAAATTAAATTTGTGAAATAAATTAGAAACATTCTCAAAATGTATCGTTTTTTCAATAAGAACGATTAGTTTTTATATTTCTTCGGGTGGATCAGATTCACCGCAATTTATGGTCTATTTAGTTATAAATTAAATAAGTTATTTAAATTTATATCGGATCTTTTTTTTTTGAACATATACATAACATTTTTAAATGATAAAACCATCAATTAAACGAAAGAAATACTACACAATTGAATTATGATATAAAAATTGATGATGTGTAGCAGATGAATTCAATGCGAGTAGATAAAGACGCGAGAGAGATTGAATTCGGAAAAAAGAGGATATAAGGACATTTGGAAAATTGCAAAACTAATAGGGAAAAAATACACTTATCAATTTGGAAACAAATGGACAATCAACAAATACATTTAACAAGATTCTCTTTACCGATTTCATTAGGCAGCTTGAAAAGAACAATTTGATGTTATACAACACAAATGACTAAAAAAAATACATTTTTGAGTTGAGGACGTCTTTCCATTGGTCTTTTGGAGTAATTCGGAAGTTAAAAAAAAATCTCGAAAAGCGAATTGTCCGTGATATCGTTTCATCATTCCGCCAGCTTTTGATTTTCGAGATGGAGTGCTTATCTGAATTCAATAAATGAATTCAATGCGAGTAGATAATGACGCGAGAGAGATAAATAACGAAAAAAGAAGCTGAAAACGGTAAATTAACGTAAGAACTAACGAAATTAAAAAAAAAAAACAACAAAAAATTATAGAGAATCTCTTGCAACTTCTCCGCCGAAATGACACACTATTTACATTTAAAATTTGCAAAAAAAAAATAAAAAATAAACAACTATGAAATGTTTTTCCAAGTATTAACAAACATAATCGTATAAATCAAACCATATAATATAACAATAAATGATATTAACAAAAGAGAGAGTGAAAAAACAGAGAAAAGAAATGTGAATATTTTTACAGTTCAATCATTAAAAAACTACGGACCTCTGAATACTTATCCGATTGAATTATAGTAAAGCTTTTTCGATAGAAAAAAGCCTTGCGAAAAACGTGGTCGCTGCACTTTTTTGTTAAAATTTGAGAAAAATTCAAAAAACTTGAAAAAAGAGTCAAAACCTGGCGATTTTTAAAAAATTCGTCTGCGCGTCAAAGACGCCAACAATCGACCACTGACACAGTTTGAGTTTTCATTTCAGGTAAATCCCACTAGTGTGAACGCCGTGTTTGTTTTCTGTTTCAAAAAATCTTTATAAAAATAACCTTTGAAAAAAATCGTTTAGCCAGTGATAGATCAATTAAAAAAATAATTAAGTTAATGCGAGAACTATTTCTAGCTTAATGGAAAATTGAATAAATTGAGAAAATAAAGACTTTGATAATAAATATTTATTGTCAAACCTATTTTTCGTTACGGTGATTTAAGTTTTGTTCAAAGTGTTTTCAGATAAATTGCTAACCGTACTGTAAATCAAAATTCTTTCGAAATTATTGATTTTTCTCCGCATTTGTTAATGACGTATTCATACAATAAAAAATGTAAAAAATTGTACATTTTTTCCAATCAATGAAGGTTTTACGTTTTCTTTTAATTTTTATCTTTTTCTGCATTACAATTTTGTTAAATTTTTATATTCTCCGTAATTAAATAAAAATCTTCTTTCTAAATTTCATATGTTCTATTATTTTCTCATCAAAAAACTAAAAATGAGCTCAAATTTGAAACTTGAAATGCTAACGAGCTCGTTATTTTTTATATTCTTCCAAAACGCTTTTTTATTAGTTTCAAAATGTAAATCAAACAAAAATTTTAAACAATAGAGAAATTTTAAACAATATTTCATTATGTAAACAAACTGTTTCGAATGTATTCATGACTCGACAAAGGCGTACTGTGTATTTTTTAAAAACTATAATTAAAGTGAAATTTTTTTATAATAGATTTATTCACAATATGTTTAAAAAAAGTTTAGAAATAAGGTGAATGAATTAGAAAAAAAAACTTGTTTTTTTTTCAAATAGGAGGAAAATTTTCAAACTTCCAGATTTTTCTGAAAAAAAAACCGTCGATAGCGAATTTTCCATATATTGTGTGTTTCAGGATGTCGTTACTCCTAAATCATTTTATTCAGGGTATTGCCTTCAAGCTTCCGGTCTTGTTTGGAATAAGCTGTCTTAGCAAAAATCCTATTCGCAACTCTCAAATATCCCGCAAATCGTTGGCGTTTATTTTTTCTGTTTTCCTCAACATCTAGAAAACTCGACAATGCGTGATATAAGCTAGAAAAACTGAGAAGCTTCGCAACATTTTTTTTTCGTCCATCGCTCATATATCATCCATCCGTCGGCGTGTTTTTTTTCTCGGTACAAAAAAAACCAAAAATCTCTACGAAATGCTTTATTACCACAAGAAGGAGATGAAAAGCTAACAAAATATAATAAGATTAATTGTGAGGGTGTACAATGATTTTTCAAATAATATTAATAGTAGCAGGATTTAAATACACTTCAAAACTTGAAGAGTGGGGGTGGGGAAGAATTTAGTGAAACCACAACATCGAAGGGAACACATAGGCAAAAAAATCAGATTTTGGTGAAGAATTGCAGGGTTATCTATAAGAAACAAAAATGGAAGGAATCAATTGGAAAACTCGTCAGTTTATTAAAACTAAGAAAAAAAAAATAGAAGATTGGGGTGGAGGGAAGGAATATAAAATATGATTCAGATTATTCTTCATTTGTTTTGAACACCGATACATTTCTACAACGAAGGATAAGGAAACGAGAAGGCAAACTAAAGCGTACAATTCTAATTTTTTTTTGTATTTTTTGTGGGGAATTGAAAAACTACTCGGGAAATGAAAAGAAACAATTGAAAATGCGGGTTCGTGCGAGAACACGTAATGAATGTAGCTGCGATTAAAGGGGAAGAGCATATTTGATGCGGAGTGAGTTGTTAGCTTGTAATCAGAATACAATTGAAGAGAAAATTTAAAAAAAAAGTTTCCTGAGTTGGATGAACACATACGACGCAATATCGTAAGGAGAAGGGAATAAACAAGTGCGTTTCGCCGTTTCAGGAGGATTGGGGAAGAGGTGATCGCGGTTACTTGAAAATATGAAATGGATCGAATACACAATGAAAATGAAGAAGAAGAATATTAAAAGTGGATGCGATGCACAATTCGGCACAACCTATAAGTACCCGGTGGCAAACCCTCAATAGACAAAAAACAAATTATGCCGTTGAAAGATTTGGCGAGAAACAATTCATAAAATGATACCAAATTGTGCGAACAGAACTGAATAAATGGGATTTTCTCTTTTTTTTGCATTTTTTTTTCAATTTTTTTGCATAATCACAAAACTAGACGCGGATTCATTGAATCAACGATCTAAAACATTTAAATTCTTTTTTTTTTTGAGGATTTTCGAAATTTTTTTCAATTTTTTTGGGGGGAATTTGAATAAATATGATGATTAAAAAATTGCATATCAACGAGAAATGTGATAATTAGAACGGAAAAATAAAATGATGAACAAAAAGCGGCAGAGTTTTCAAAGGAGGAGAATTTGTTTTTTTTTGTGAGAGAGAGAGAATTTTCTGTTTTGTGACATTTTCAAAAGCAGAATCTAACAAGAATAGGATGGAAACAACGGCACCTCGCGGCGACACAGAGAATGCCAAAACATTGTACATAACAATATTACGTCAAAGAAGGGGGAAGAGGAGGAGGAGGAAGATGTGAGGAAGGTTGGAGGATAGCATATATTGTTTTCTAATTGCAGCAAAACGTGTTATGTAGTGGAACGGAAAAGCGAGCGAAAAACACCGAAAAGATACTAATATTGCGCTTGCTCGCCGAACGTCTTTTTTTTTAAGGTGATGGTGGGCGACTGCTTTTTTTTGAATTGTTGTTGCGGCAAGAATGACGGCAGGAATTACAATTGATGATGGTAGAAGACCAAAAATGAAAAAAAAATAACGAAACAACTAATATGCTCGGTACATGAAACTACTAGCGTATGAAACACACGGGGATAGAATTTGTGAGATTAATTGATTGATTCGTGTTGGTGGGGGGTGGGACCGATTTTGACATTGAAATGAATAAAACAACGTTTCTAAACGTGTGATGAAAAATGAAGACATGAGTGGGAGTTTGAGTCAACGGGTTGTGTTTTTTTTGGTGATGCTGGATGGTCCGTAGTATTGTCGATTACCGATCTAATCCAATGGTCGTTTGTAGCCATTTTTGGCGAGCATTTGTGCGTTGTAGTTGCACAATGCGCGCGTGAAATGGAGCAGGATTGCCTGGAGACGCGCCTCCATCACGATGATCACCACGTGGATCTTCTCGGACGTCTTGAAGCAGCTCATGACGTGCGCGAGCTCGGTGGTGAGCTTGTGCGGGAAGCATGCGGCGGTTTTGATGAACGACTTCGTCGCCTTATCGATGAGCACGTTGACACGCGAGTAGTCATAGTCGTCGTAGCGGATGCCATAGAGGCCTTGGATGTAGTTCCAGACGGCCTCACGGTATCTGCTGGTGTCGATTTTGAGCGAATGCTGTCCCATGCTGAACAATAATGTTTTACCAATTGCACTTAGTATAATGGTTGCTTACAATCGATAGGTCAAACGCTGGATGTGTCTGAAGCAGTTGTCGAAAAGATAAGCGCTATCTGGGTTCAAGTCACTGATCAAGTTGTAAGCGTGATCCCATGAGAACTCCTAGAAATGATCAATTACTCAAATGAAATGGTACATTGAGTGCGACTCACGTCAATTCGGAATGGTCTGATTCCTCGATCCGGACGGTCTTGGAAGTCCTGGTACGAGAAACGCGGGTCTCGCGAATAAACCGGCATTCCCATGTCCTCCTCTTCGGCTGGTCGTTCTGGCGACTCGCCTCCAGCAGCGCAGTCAACATTCGAGAACTTCTCCTTCTCCTTCTGCTCGTTAGCTTGCGTCTCAAGCTCCATCATCCGACGAACGAGGCTCTCAAGTTCGCCCATCGAATCCTCGTCCATCTCGTTGTCTTCTTCCTTGCTTCTCAGATAGTCGATGTCGTCGCAATTCAAAAAGTCAAGTTCCGCCCTGAAACGCATTTGATCTTCAATGTTGTCATGTGGAATGCACGTACGGTGCCAAATCGCCACGTCTCTCGATGCCAAGCGCACAAATGAACGAGCAGAAGACGTGCGTTTGAGCCAGAACAAGGCATGCCTCGTTGAGCTCATGCAACGCGAACGTCTTCACCGCGTCCGGAGTGCCCTTGCCAACGATGCCATGAATTTGAGCAGCGTTCAACATCCATGGTTGATGGGCCATGAAGCGATTGAACACGTCCAGACTCTGGAACCGTGCGTCAGCACTCGTGATGCCCGCAAGCCAATCCTCGTCGCCTCCGCATCTACGGAACATCACAGTGTGATAGTCCATGAGAATGAGGCAGCGATGGCGAGTTGCGGCCTAAAAATTTGAACTCTGCTTTCCAATTTGTACTGATATCGAACCAACCATTAGTGCAATGTAGTGTCGTTGCCACGCACACAAGTAGCCGGAGCCATTGAACAAATGCTCGTAGCATGGTTTGAAGAGAGCATGGAATGTTGGATGGACAGAAGTGAATCTGAAAATCGAGTCGAATGTCAAAATTATTGATTGAAACTCTCATTACCGGTAAACTTCGGCAATTGGATCGACAACATACTCAGGCATCGTTAATGTTGTTGATTTGTGTTGTTGTGATCGTAGAATTTCCCCTACGACGAACCCGTTTAAGATCTGTAACAAGGTCGAAATTGAGAGTTTCAAAATGTGGAAACGACGAGGCATTGACGCAAAATTTGAAGCGATAAAGAGGAATCGGAGGAAACAAAGTGGAAACGGAACGAATAAAACGAAATGGGCTCAAATTTGTTGTTGCAATGTTTTCTTTTGTTTCGCCACACCGCCTTCTTCATATTTCCAGTAGGGGCCAATCGCGCCAATAAATCAACGCGTTCGTCGCGTCCGACGCCCTCCGCACACCGTCACACTGTCTCGCACAAAATGTCGGTGATCAGAGAAGCGGCCGAATGGGTCGCCCGAGAGCGTGCAGACATATACACTGATAAACGATGATGAGAAGCTCGAGAGAAACATTTAGTAATCAGAAACCGCAAATCGACTCAACGCACACACAAAAAGACAAGCGCTTGTCTCGAGTGTCTTTTTCTGTCGCAAACGATGTTTTTTTTTTGCTCATCCGTTCGCTTAGACACCAATTCTTCACCTAATCTATTCGATTCTTATCTACACAGTCGATTTGACGCTCACGCAAACACCATGAGCCGCGAAAGATTGATGGCACATTGTTGCGACTTGAATTTTATTTTATTTTTTCGGTGGTTGCCGCCAACGAAGCGCGTTTTTAGAGCCGTTTGAGAAGAAAAACGAAAACATGCCAATAAAAAATGGGACAAGAAAAACAAATTCCTTTAACGGCTTACCAACGAAACATGGCGGAGGCCCCCGAAATTATTGGGGTCCATTGTGTGCAGAGGGGCACAATTGCAACATTTCATTGGGTCAATGCGGCAACAAGTGTGCGCGCGTGTGTGTGTGTGTGTGTTAGTTGCGAACATGTGCAAGTGCACTTTGAACCGCAACCGGGTGATAGATTAAAACACAACCGATTTTTTTTGATGGAGAAGAAGGTGATGATGATACAGCAGGGGAATCTCGCGAATGACGGTGTCGATTAGTTGTCGCGCCGGCGAGACGGCGACATCAATCAAAAACGAGATTTATTGTTATCATAATCGAACGGACAGTTCGGTTCGACGCGGCTGAGTCAGCAATGATGGTACATGACTTTGCACAAGCCGGCCGCCCGACACAGCTGAATTAGACATCGAGGCGTCTGTGTCGGTCGGTCGGTCGGAGCGGCGGCGGCGGCGGAGGGCCGATGTCAAAAACGGAACACTATGCGCAGCAGAGCGGTCCGATATGAGAAAAAGCAGCAACCGCCGCCGAAACAACAACATAATAATAAATAGTGCAGAAAGGAAGCGTCAGCGGCGACCATCGACATGGTGACTAATTAGGGGCCTGGCGCTGTTGAGCCGTCAGGAATCAAGAAAACATAGCGCGCGCGCACAAGGCCGATTAAAATGAATGAGTGCAACAAACACGTAAATTTGTCAAATGAACGCACAAAACAACAACAACAACAACAACAATAAGAAGAAGAAGAAGAGAAAATGGTGAAAAATGAACGAGGAGGAGATGAAGACCGATTGAGGAAACGGTGAGACATGTTGTGCGATGCCTAGGCCTTGCGTGTGTGTATGTATGTATGCCTCTGTGTTATCCCATTTCAAAACCGCCCATCTTGGCGAAAATGTTCCCAAAACAAATAAACAACAACGACTTGGTTGGTGGAGGTGAAGACGAATAAGAAGAAGGAGAAGGAGAAGAATGTTTGGCTCGGTGTGGGGCGCCCGACGGCGCCCTTCGGAGCGCCTCCCCCCCATCCGAGACAAATACACAAACACAATACATCGACTCGATTACTGTATCGGTATCTTGCGAACGATAAACATTCGAGGAAAACATGATAGATTACGGTAGGTGTTCCAGAGATCGCAAATTTGGCGAGAGCGGTTTGAGGCGACCCGACACGACGATGAAAGGTCGCCGTCGAATTGGACGACACCTTCGATGGGACCCTTGTCAACTGAGAATCGATTCTAATCTGCCTACAGTTGACAAATGTTCAATGCTGCGTAGGAGTGAGGAGGGGATCAATTTCTAAACCGTTGCGCAACTACGACAACACAAAGGAACGTCTTATTTACAAAATATTCGGGGGGCGAAGAAGCCCGACAGGCACGCGAGCGATTCTACTTGGAATACCGTAGACTAAATTCCGCTTCCAGACTTGTTTATATGTTGAATGAAATAACAATAATAATAATAATAATAATAATAATAATAATAATAATAATAATAATAATAATAATAATAATAATAATAATAATAATAATATTAATAATAATAATAATAATAATAATAATAATAATAAATACTTAATAGAGGCGACGATGTTTTTGTTGTTTTTCATCGAAATATTGCCGTCCTTGGGATGTTGACATTATCAATTGTTTACGTAGAGAAATGAAAAATAAATATTTATGCCAAGACCACAAAAACGATGTGATATTGTTTTTTTCTTCTATTTTTCTGGCTATTCGCTTCGTGTCCAATTCTTTTCAAATTAGCGAGCAATCACTGGTTGCCTATTGTTTGAGAGGGGGGCCCAAGGTAGAAGGAAAGGAAAAAAACGCATTGAGAGAGCGCGACGATTGGGCCTCGGCCTCGGCCTCGCGGTGGCAATTATGAGGCGGAGTTCAACGACACAGCAAAAAAAACCGGAAGAATAATTGAATTCGAATTTGGAAAATTGTGAGGAAGGCCGGACGGACGCCGGCCAATTTCGGCGCGACTCGCCAACCGTCTGAAATCATTTTGTCGGGCCGCCAACAAAATCAATCTGGTTCTCCTTGTGCGCAATGACACGAAGAGCAATTATGTGATTTTTCCAGGACCGCGCCGCAGGCAAACATCACACACACACGCACACACACACACAAAAAAAATACTAACAACTTTTTTATGGGATGGGGCATTGTTCAAGGTCTAGACACATTAAAAACGCGTTTCGTCGTTATTCGACGTTTTTTTTTTTTCAAATCGACCAAAGACGCTCGATTGGAACACTTCAGAGTTGACGAAAATTTTTCAAAAAAAAATTTTTTTTTTGGAGAAGACACTTGAGAATGAACTTTGCCTCACGTGACATGTTCGATACGTGTGAAACCGCAAATGGTGTGCCAAATATGGAATTCACAATACAAATAAATAATTTTTTTCAAGAGCGTCGCGCTTCAAACCCCGCTGAACATTTGATTTCGAGCGCAGCGATCCCAAGACTCATACGACGACAATTACTGTAAGACACTGTAGGCTAAGCGCGACGTTCGAATGCTGATAAAAGCGGCTGAATGCTCATCGGAGACGCCGAAATGAACTGTGGCGATTCATTCATTCAATCAATCAATCAATTTCAGTCGTCCTCGTTTCTGTCGGTCTGCAATTGATAAAAATGAGGCGAGGACGAACGGACGAAAGGCAAGCGAACGAGCGAACGATTAAATAAGAAAGTAAGACCGATTGAAAACGAGAGTGATGATAAACCAGTTCTTGTTCAACGTCTTCAACTCAACAACGCGGTTGGCAATGAAAAAGGCCTTCTTTGGACGAGGGTTTTGTACGAAACAAGAATGAGAAGAAATTGAAGAGGGAGATGAGAAACGAATAAAACAAATGGTGAAGGGGGGAGGTTTTTGAAACAAAGATGTTGTGGGCGGAGTCTCGAAGGGACGAATGTTGATGAAAAACTCCAAGTTTGTCGCGATTTTCGCACCTCGCCGCCATCGTCGTCGGCGGCGGCGGCGACGACGGACGACCTGGGCAATATTTGAAAAGCGCGTCTCGCGCGCTGACACACACACTATCTGCGGACGGCGCCACACAAAAACAGTTCAAATATTGCGCGAGTTGTGTGTTTGTCTTGGATAAACCAAGGCGCGAAAGATCAAAAAATGAGGCACACGATTGAATCGCTTCGCAGGTCGCACTGATTAAGCGCGACGCAAGCATAATGGAAGCATTGTGGGAAATCTGTGGAACGGAAGCATAATGCTTCCATATAGGAAGCATAATGTAATTCTTAGTGGCTGTGGAAGAAATATGGGACGAATATGGATGGAATGAAAACGGGATGAATATGCTTCCGGTGTTTGCGAGCCGTGGAACGAATATGGATGAAATATGGATAAAATAATCATATATCATTACACATTATACAATTGGCGTCTGGACGGCAGACCAAGACAATTTCTAGAAAAATCAATACAAAAAACTTATGCTATCATATAAACAATGAAAATTTGAAAATTACATGATACACAACATACGAAATTTAGCTTCTACCATTTAATGACTTATGCTACTCAGATTTATGTTAATTCAGTCAACTGTTCCTTACTTTGTTTAAAGATTGCCAACTACAATTTAGTCGTATTAATATATTTTTGCCGGTTTTTCCGAAATTGGCATCGCAAACTACTCACAATTTGCTCCAAACTGGTAGCAGACGCGCGTAGAAGAGGCGTGCCGCAGCATTGCAAAACCGTGCGCCGCTTTGCACAATGCGGCCACGCCTCACATTTTCGAAATTCGTTTTCAAAATTTTTGTCCTTTTGCTTTTTCTCAATGAATTTTCAAGATTTTTTGTGTTTTTTTTGTCAAAAATTAAAGAATTTTTTTCAAAATTAAAGGAAAAATGTTTTTAAAAAATAAAGGAAAAATTTTCATATTTATCATCAAAATCGAAACCAAAAATAAATTGATAGCATTCGAAAATTTTAAAATCGATACGATGTTTTCAAATCGTTTCCGACACTTTTAAAATCGAATTTAAATATTTTCTCAATCGAATTGTGTTTAATTTCTCATCGAATCCGTTTTATTTTTATTTACTTTAACATATTTTTTATTATCGCTCGCTTTTTTCTTTTAATAAAACATAATGTTTTGAAATTTTTTACAGATGAAGACAAGATCGAGAGTGTTGTCAGATATAACTGAAACTGCTCTAGAAGTCAATAACA